AAGGTACTTATAAGGTTTTATAAGGTATTTATAACTTGTAAAACCTTATAAAAAACTTGTAAAACCTTATAACTTGTAAAACCTTATAAAATTGCTTGTAAAATCTTATAATATCTTATAAATACCTTATAAATACGTTGTAAAACCTTTTAAAATACATTGTAAAACCTTATAAATACCCTGTAAAAAACCTTTAAAATACCTTGTAAATTTTTCCCGCCAAAAATTTAACGCCAAAAAAATTGCGGAATCACTTTTCCCGCAAAAAAAAATTTTTGGCGGGAAAAAATTTTACGGGAAAATTTTACAAGGTATTTTAAAGGTTTTTATAAGTTTTTACAAGTGTTTTGGCAGGAAAAATTGCGGGATCACTTTTCCCGCTAAAAAATATTTTGTATTTTGTGGACCTAATTTTGTTATATTTCCTTATATATTTGTGATATATTTTATTAAAAGAAAGGTAATTTAGTCATTTTGTACATAAAAAGGGGTATTTTTAAAAATGGACAGCCAAAGGGGGCATTTTTGAAAAGGGGTATTGAAAAAGGGGCATTTTTGTGAGTCTCCCTATTCTTTTTTAAAAATCACTAAATATGAGTTCTTTTCTCCGATGTAATGTTCTTTTTTTTTTTTTTTTTTTTTTTTTTTTTTTTTTTTTTGTCAAACCTCCGATGTAATGTTCTACCATCGTATTTTCGTCTGTGTTACAACTTCCAAGATGTATAATATAATAAATTATGATAGACAAGAGAACTATAATCTTATAAACTAGTAAAATAGTTAAATAAGTTAAAAAGCAGCAGAGACCATTAATATTTTTTATTTTCTTACAACTCACGAAGGCTTCACGTGAAGCCTTTGCTTCATTTTCCATTCATGAGTTCTTTAATTTATCTTCGTTTTAAATTTTTAATTCAGTCACAATAATACTATTTCTTTTGGGAATTGGCAAGAAAAAAAACGAAGTGTGACAATTCCATAATCTTTTGCTTTTTGTATAACAGTAGTACTTTCAATCAAACATCTGTTTTCATACCAAAATTTATTGTGATAATAATAAATCAATTTACATATGGGTTACTCCAATGTATTTCTCTATTTTTGCTTTTAAAATAGAAAAACTCTGATCTATACTCCAATGTATATATATTCTTCTATTTTCTCTAAAAGAATAGTCTAAATACATTTTATTTTTATTTAGTATTAATATCTTTTATTTATAAAAGTTGAAATTAAACCATTTACTTTAATTTTTACGAAATTTTCATAATGGAATCAATGAAAAATAAAATATATAATTTACACATTTATAAAACTGTATGTAATTTCTCTTTTGCAATTAGTAGTCTCAAATTTTAGAATAGATGTTTATACCCTTTTTTTTTTTTGGCAAAGTAATAGATGTTCATACCAAAACCTCTAAAATCAACCCAAAATATTAATTTATTTATTTTAATCATAAAAAAAAATTAAAAATTAAAGAATTACTTTGTAAATAACAAAACAAAATTCTATTATAGAGGAATAGCAAAAAATAGCAATATCTATTTTAGATGTAAAAATAGAGATACGTTGACGTAGATTTTACTCTAAAATAAAGTTTAGAGACAAACATAGAGGTCTTCAATTAGTGATCGTCAACAATTTTAATACCTCACGAAATACAAGTGTTTTGTTTGGTTTTAAAATTAATGTAAGATCTGGCCTCATTTGTGATGATGATGTTCATTGTGTTGTGGGATCAAACACATTGCAAGTTGCTTCTTTAACGGAAGTGCGAGTGACCATGAACATGTGGTTGTGTCAAGGCCTATGGTCCTCTTTGCTAAGATTTAGGGATTTGTTGGAATCAGGTAAGTCGATCTTATTTGTGATTATGCTAAAGAAAATTACAAAGTCAAGTTTTTTCAGAAAGACTTTGGTACGGAAGTTTTGGTACCACCATGTCTACATTTCGGAGTTATTTATGGACATATCGGGTTTAAAGCTACGGTTTGCGAAAAGAAAGTTCAGCCACAAGTTGTTGTATGCCAATCGTAACAAAGAAAAATCAAATATGAAGTTGGAAAATAACGGATCTCATGGTCGGTTAGCGAGTAAGGCTACTCTTCGGAAAGCATCGTCAATCTCCCTTCTGCTGTATTTTTCTTAGTGTATGGCACATACATCTGCGTATGTAATAATTATGTTCTAATAATTCTGTAAATGTCTTTGTAATAACTTTTTTAAATGAATGAAATGTTGTTTTTGTCGAAAAAAAAAAAAGACAAACATAGAGGTGAGTTGGGGATCCTCAAGACCTATATTAAATCATCTAGACACTCGAAGTTATGTTTTTTAAATCATTTAAATTGACCAGAATTAAATAAATATATTTAAATTGTGAGGATTTTAAGATTGTTATTTGTTATTAATATTTGTGAGGCTGTTAAAAATATTAAATCATGTGGATATAATATGGTTCTAAACGCCTTAAAAATATTAAACTTCCTACACTTCTTTTTTTTCATCTGCCCAACCAGCTCTTATATTTGATATGTAACTCCATTTGTCTCTTTGCTTTACTATAAATGTGTTTGGAGGTGTCCTTTTCTTTTATAATTTTTGAATTTCGAAACAGTTTTGATTAAATTTATTTTGCTGAGACAACAAGGACAAATTTCAATATGTCCAAACCTTCAAACATTAATCCAAATTCGAATTGATTTAAAATTAACAAAATAGAAAGTTTTTTCTTTTTTTATTAGTATATATATATATTAGGAGAGGAAAATAGATTCTCATATTTAATGTTCATGTACGGATTGCCACTTGCGTGCCTTTGAAGAAGAAGATAAAACTGAGCCGTGAATAAGAAATTGTTTTCTAGTAACCCTTTTCTTAAAAATATGATTAACATTTCAAAAAACGATAACCTTTAAACTTCTCCAGAGCACTTTTCTTAAGAAATACGTTACATTTACCAATATTCAAATATGAAACTATATAATATGTACTCGAATAGTAGAAAATTGAAGAATATGCTTTTGAATCCCAAAATTAATCACTACATTTTCCAATTCCCCAGTTAATCTACCACACTTATAGTAAGATTCATTCATTCACAACTTATAGATGAAAGATTGTTGAAAACAATATTGGAGGGTAGTAAAAGAGAGATGTACTTGTTTTTATCCATCCATTATTTTCCTTTTATAAAATTAATAATTTGGCATAGATATGATCATATGAACATGAAATAATTAACAAATTAAAGTTAAAAAGAAATATTAATATATGTCTGTCATCATTTCTGACCTTTTTGTGTGCTTCAGGTTCTCTTTGCTATTGTAAACTCCAATCTCTCTCAGTGGTCCTTTGGTAAAATTTCTCCACATTTTCTTGTTATTAACAATATACACAGTTTATGAGAACACTAGTGCCATAGAAACTAGAAAGTGGAAGACAACCCACAATTACCCCAAAACAATTTTTATAAAGAAATTTCAGTTTTATGTTATTTTATGTTACCAAATACAATTTTTGAATCCAATTTCTGCTGGTAAAAGCTTTTATAAATCTAAGAAGTAAAAAAAAATCAAAATACAAAATAATCAACTTTCACAAAAGAATATCAGACAAAGACCCAAAAGATAAAAAGACCAGAAGAAATTTATTTTCTTATAGGTGTGTGTTGTTGGTACTATCCTCTTCTACACTTTAAGAATTTCTAATAAAAAAAAGTACTCACATGTGTGTAATCAAATTTTCTTTTCAAACAAAAATTCTTCCTTTTTATGGGATGTTAGTGCAGGACATGTTAATGATGAACTCAGAAACAGCATCAGACCCTCTCTCTCTATAGCTTTAGATCCACTTTTTACCTGAGTTAGGTCACAGTCACAGGAGTGCTTGACTTGCAAAATTTAGGGCAAAAATAAGAAACTCTAGTACAACAATAATTCACCTCAAATATGGTAACAAAGAGATGACCATACCATACCTCTTTCAACTCTCTGCCACTCTCAGATGTTAAAGAAGATTATGTTCCATCACCACCTCTCAACTCAAATATCAGTCCTTTTTTTTTGTGATTTTATTAGTGTTCTCTAATCACTCTCTTTTGCTAATCATAAAAACTGGGTCTGTTCCAATTTTTCGTCAAAAATCTACGACGCCCGCGTGCTCTAAATGGTGGTAGGGTCTGATGAGGAGACACTAACATATTAAAAGAGGGTTTGTTTGATAGCCACAGAAAACTAAGAGTGATCATTAAGGTTGAAACAAGGTATGTCCTTGTTTGATCTACAGGAGATAACCATGTGAACTCTCATTATAAAAAAAATTTCCAATGGTGGGCATTGTTCTTCATGTACCATCCTACTTTGTGTGCCTCTACTTTTGCAGCATACATTACACCAAAGAAAACAACACATACCAATCCCATAATTCTCATAAATGATGCCTAAGAACCAATCCAAGAATGACAACACATACCAATCCCATAATTCATAACATACTCACACAAGCAAACTCATAACCGGTTGGTTCTGGTATGTGGTTTATTTGGTTAACACTAAGAACCAATTTTAAGGAGCAATATGGTGGATGGAAACTTTTAAATGTGAGATTTGTTACCGTGAGAAGGTCATATCAACTGAATTTTGAGATCGGGACTTTACACCTCCTTGGCCATCTAAGCTTGACTGTGTTTTCTCAGTCTAATCAACAGAGTTTTCTGCAGGAAATGCTGTTGAAACAGCTGACACATAACAAATTCTGTCAGCGATAATTGAGCAAGTTTATGATGTCACAGTCAATCAATCACAATAATACCCAGCTTCTAAATTTCAAAAAAGAAGTATTCAAGAAAGAAACAATCATGGACCTTTCTCATTCAAGCTTCAATTATAGCTATTTTAACAAAATAATATCTCTCAACAAGGTAGCTCCACGAGTGTAGAAGACAGTCTCTTACATATTGCAGGCGTGGGTCCAATTTCACAGGCATCTCCTGCAACCTTAAACATTCGAAGTTATTACTGAACCTTTGATGTACTTAGATTACATGTTGAAACAAATACCTATAATTACAAACCTAGGCCTAGAAGATGCATAACTTTCACAAACCTTAGACAAAATATGAGATTAGCAAACCAAATGCAACACAAAGAGGTAGAGATTCGAGTGAAAACCTGTGACCGAGCTTGCAAAAGTATATCCAACAAAGCGAAAGCATCGGATGAATCAATCATTTGATTCTGGCAAATTTAACAACGGTTTTCTTATCTGACGATAACGAAAGACTCTGTAACATAGTACAGAATATGTTGGCTACACTAAGAATGAGAGCAAAGATAAAGAAACCTAGTTACAGGTAAGAAATATTCCCAAACGCAGAGGAACCACAGATATTGGCAAGCATAGCATGTTCACAGTAACGAAAAACATCTAATCAATCAGGCATGGTCTCATTCCCAACATTCCACATGCTAGTGTTTATTATTCCTCAATTTATCTTTCCGAAGCTCGAAACAACGGAGAGAAGTTACATATATCGAACATGGTAAAATCTCCACAAACTACAAAAGTAAGCTAAGAAGATTACATTCATCCTCAAGTTCATTGTTTCAAACACAATAACATCATGTGGAAAAGGTTTAGCCTTTCAATGTTTCAGGCCTAGCTCGATTACGATGCAAGTGTATAAGATCTCTCATTAATCACATTAAGGATTATATAACACAAGATTTCATACAAAAGCATTGTAGTCAAACAAAAGGAACAATCTTTGATTCATGAACAATACAATTCTTCTTCTCAATGTAATCGAAACAATTTCAAATTACAGCAATTTGTTGAAAACAACAACAAGAACATTTTGGATACTTTTGTTACCTTCCAAAGAGTTCAAATCTCAGAAATCGAAGAGCAAAGAGAGCTTCTACAATCCCAAAGCAAGCACCAGCAGCTACATCGAGAACATAATGTCTTCCTAAGAGAATCCTTGAAATTGCAGTCACTGTTGCCCAGATCCATACAACCACCACAACTTCTGGTTTGACATCGCCATCGTGATTATCTCTGATCCAACCATCTAAGAAAGAGTAGCTCGGATCTACCATTGTAACTTCAGCAGCAGCAGAGAAGAAGTGAACGGAAGCGGCAACGAAGAAGACGCGAGACGCGTGACCTGAAGGAAACGAGTAGTGATCAGCAGTTACGGCGGCGGACATTGAAGGGTGATTGTAAGCGGGACGAGCACGACGGAAGATTAATTTCACTAATGCGATTAAGATTAGATCGAGGAGGAGGCCGAGGAGGAAAGGGATGAGGAAGGGGCGTAAGGGAGGGGAGAGGAGGAGGGAAAGAGATACAGGGAAGGAGAATCGAAAATCGGCGGAGATTTCTAGGAGGAGGAGGAGAAATGGTGGAAGGAATGGTTTCGCCGCCGTGTGAATTGCGTGAGATACGGTGGCGTCCACCGCTAAGATGGGACCGACGATGATCGCCGCCGTCGACGGAGACATAACTGTTGTATAACAGATCTGTGACAAAAACAGACACGACGACGTTTTAGGGACGGAAGAGATTAATCAAAAAAAGATTTTTAATTCTGTAGTTTGGGAGGACCCATGGATCCCCACTATCCCTGCGAGACCCGCCAGGAGTCTTCTCACCACCAGAGACCCTCTCCTCTATGTCAATGATCTGATTGACCAAACAACAAAGCTTTGGAAATTAGACCGTCTTCAAGCTCTGATGGACCCAGCCGATATTCCACTCATTCTAGGGATTCGCCCCAGCCGAACCTACCTGAGTGATGGCTTCAGCTGGTCTTACACTAAGTCCGGCAATTATACTGTTAAATCAGGATATTGGGCCGCGCGAGAGTTATCTCGTCCTACTTGTGACCCCCCTTTTCAGGGACCAGGTGTTTCGGCACTTCAGGCACAAGTATGGAAGCTTAAAACTACGCGAAAACTTATGCATTTCGCGTGGCAATGTATCACGGGTTGTTTGGCTACTTGTCAGAGGCTCTCTTACCGACATATCGGAAATGAGAAGGAGTGTCCTCGTTGTGGGGGCCCAGAAGAGACAATAAATCACCTTCTCTTTGACTGCCCACCTTCGAGACAAATCTGGGCCTTGTCACCTATTCCCACTTCAGGGCACCTTTTCCCTAGGAACTCTCTCTTCTATAATTTCGATTTTCTTTTCTGGCGCGGAAAAGAATTCGGAATAGGAGACGATATCATGGAAATCTTTCCATGGATACTATGGTATATATGGAAAAGTCGAAATAGATTCATGTTTGAAAATGTGGAAGAACCGCCCCAAGAGACTTTAGAGTTGGCGATTCAAGAGGCGACTGCTTGGAAAAAAGCAAACCTTCACGAAAGATCGCCCGTTGACCCCTCTTCCCTCGGGATACCTGTTGCTCTCCCCCCCATTTTGAGTGTGGAATGTCAACTTGACGCTTCCTGGCATGCAGAGGACTCCCTAAGCGGGCATGGTTGGGTTTTGGTAGACCAAGGTAGAGTTCGCCATCTAGGACTCAAAAGTGCTCGTCGTTGTCTCTCTCCCCTTCACGCTGAGTTTGACTCCTTGTTATGGGCCATGGAATGTATGATCTCGCTTGGCGCGTCTTGTGGTGCCTTTGCCTCAGATTGCGCAGATTTGATCTCCCTCCTCGATAATCAGAAGGATTGGCCTACTTTTGCTTCGGAAATAGCCTCCTTCTGTTCTCTCCGCTGTTTTTTCTCCTCTTTTAGCATTAGATTTATTCCTCGTACTTTAAATTGTCGGGCTGATGTTTTAGCTAAAAAAGCTCGGGCTCGAAAGAGTCTATTTTCCCATGTAAGCACTTCGGTTCCTGATTGGCTCTCCCTAGCGGAGAGTCTCTTTCCGAGATCTTAATTTAATGGTGTTTGAAGAAAAAAAAAAAAAAAGATTCCCTTACCTTATTGTTACACTACAGTAAATTTACTCGGATTCCTATTTAATATAGTCAATATCTCCATAAATAACACCCGACACAACACTTAATTCATTCAATTCTTGATATGTTAAAAGGAAACACTACGTCAATTTGCTTTCCTCATTAAATGTAAAGAAAATTCTTGCTTCTTCACCTAACTTCTCTCTTATCACTCTGCCTCTTTTAACCTTAAATTCATTCTTCAATAACTTTCAAGAAAATAATATCTTATCATCAATATCAGTCCTCGCACGTAAACAAATCAACAACCAAAAACAAGAAAACCAAAACTAATACAAATCTCGCATTCACAGAATATTTCTTTAGTTATAATCGATCCGTTATATGATTTGAGTCACCAAGTTGAGCCAGATATTATCATATTTTTGTTCTATTATAAAAATAAACAAATGGAACAAAAAATCATTGCAATGGGCCAGGCCCAGGAGAAAAAGACAAGGCTAAAATCGTAATTTTAGCGATCATAATAAAAACGCTCGCGGGTAGTGTTCGTAAGATACATACATAACTTGTTGAAGACTGAAGAGAGAAAGAGAGACAAGACAATAAAGATCCGGATCCGGTAACCCGAACATGCCAAACGGGTGGATCAAATCATTGCAATGCAAATCAAAAGCGTTCGATGATGTCTACAATTTCAACAGTAAATCACTATTGTCGTCGTCAAGTTACAATTGTAGTCGAAAGAGCTCACATTGCGTTAAAGACGTGATCGATACCCGATTCGGTAAGAAAAACCCCAAACCCGACCCGAATTTAAGGCGTTTGAAGTCTTGTCGAACCGAAACAGAGCTTCTTAACCCGACAACCCGGACCCGACGAAGCAAATCTGCCCGAACGTCAGACGCATTGACCGAGCTGCCCGATGGTCACCCGTCAAGAAACGTAGTGGAGATGATATTTCAGTCAAGCTGGAGCTCCGATGAGTTTCCGGGTCGGATCGAGATGATTTTCAAAGTTGAAAACGGGTCGAGGACTGTGACCCGGTTTGAGGAGTACAGAGAGGTTGTGAAGTCACGTGCGGGCTTAAACGAGGGCACGTGTGAAGAAGAGGACGCACGGTGTTTGGCTGATGGTAACGAGATGATGAGGTTTTATCCGGTTCTTGATGGGTTTAACGGTGGCGCGTGTGTTTTTGCCGGCGGGAAAGGTCAGGCGGTGTGTACGTTTTCGGGTAGTGGTGAAGCGTACGTGAGTGGCGGAAGTGGCGGAGGGAGGAAGGCGATGATGATTTGTCGAGTGATAGCGGGTCGGGTGGATGATAGAATCGGGTTCGGGTCGGACTCAGTAGCGGGTCATGACGGCGAGTTGTTTGTCTTTGATACACGTGCGGTGTTGCCTTGTTTCCTAATCATTTTCAGATTGTGAGATAATAAAATTATTTATATATAGTTTTCGTTTATAGACCTTGAATTTTTGTCGTTTTTATGGTTCAACAAACCTGAAATTTCACAATTAACCAGTTCGTCAATCCATTCCAATTACTTATGTTATCGTAGTGGTGAAGCGTACGTGTCAATAATTGCATGAAAAATAAGCAAAATATGTTATGGACACCGTTGGATAGATGGATGATATATGTCACTTATATTGTGGCCTCCGTAACTCTTCTTGCGGGTACTATATGTTTTAATGCTTTGAGTGTTTGAGAGGTTAGACCATTGATCGGCCTCTTCACAATATATGATCATGATGTGTTGCGATTTGATTAGCGACCAACATATCAACTTTAGTTATCTCACCCAACCTGTTGAAAAAAAAAATTAGATGTCCGACCCATAAATCTTTGTTTTGATAAGAATCTATATATGAATTTATGGAAAGAAACACTTTATCTTAAAGATAATTGTAGAAACATACATTTTCTATCTTTTTAAGTGGAATAGATATTTTAAAAAGGAACTAAATGTTGGATAAGCTTGAATAGCTTAAGGCCCAAGCTAAGTATATTTGGGAGTTATCCAAATATGCATATGTAAGTTCTAGGAGTTATCTAGAATATGTTATATTTCCTAATTGGTTTTGGAAAAGGTTTTTGAGGGTTCGATATATAAGAGCTACTAAGTTGTGGTATGCCTTATGAGTTTTGAGAGAGAGAGAGTTTGAGAGATTGTGTTTAAGAGATTGAGAGAGACCAAAGTTTTGAGTTATTTTCTTTGGTGATTAATAAAGAGAGTTATTCTTTATTATGAGTTCTTAAACCATCCTTACAAACTAGATTTGGTATCAGAGCCACATGTTTCGAGATCCTGAGAGAGAATTATGATGGAAGTCGCCATTGTGACTAAAAGAAGAGAAGGAAAAGCTTCTTCGATTACAATCAAAAGTATGAGAGATATTAATGTTATCAAAGAAACAAAGGAGGAAGGAAGAAAAGATCCTTCAGAAGGAGAAGAAATTTCAGAATCTGATGCAGAAGAAGAACAAGAAGACGACTTTGTTGAAAGCTACAAGGAAGTTCGTAAGGCACTGATTAATATTGGAAAGGAGAATCAAGGTTTGGTAAAAGAAAAAATTTGTCTTGATGCACTTGTTGAATCACTGCAGAATGAATTGAAGGATGAGAAGAAAATAAATCACAGGAGTCTGACATTGATGCAGGACAAGCTGGCTCTTGCTGCTAAAGTAGACAATCTAGAGAAGGATTTACGTACTGAGAAGGAAATATCAGCCCGACTACAATCAGAGCTTGATCAACAACACAAGAAGATTCACATGTTTGCTGGGACTAAAACACTTGATACAATCTTGAGTTATGGAAGAACAGAGAAGTCTAACAGAGGCTTAGGTTATATTGGACAAGAAGGATCTAACACAGGACAAATCAAGTTTGTGTCAGGAGGTGTCGCTCAACAAGTACAAGACAAATCAGAGAGTAATACAATCAAACAAACTGGATGTTATTTTTGTGGAAAGAAAGGACACATAAGAGCTTACTGCTACAAGTATTGGGAAAAAGTAAACAAACTCAGACGTCAAGGAAAATTTTTGTGGAATGGATATCGTAGTCAAATATGGGTAAAGAAATCTGATCTGTATGCATCAAAAAGTATGTCAAGAAAATCTGATCTGGATCAGGATACATCAAGAAGGTCAGGAAGTACACGAGGGCTTGGATTTAGGTGCAATATGACAATTGTGACAAAAGAACATGGGGCTACTAGTAGTGGATATTCTCGCTATATGACAAGAACTCCTATAGCAGCACCTATAACTGCAGCAAAACCTGCAACAGAAAGTGATAGCATGACAGGAAGCATCGGTGATGAAAAATTTGCTGGAAATTACAAAGCATTGTATGAGCATTGGCTTAAATTGATTGAGGAAAATTCAGTGCTGACTAAAGAGAAAGTCAAGTTAGAGATTCAAATTGTTAAAGGACAAAAGTATGCAATAGAGAAAGAAGAAGAAGCATCACAAGTTAGAATTCAACTTGAAGAAACTCAAAAGAATTTAAGAATGCTTAATAGTGGCACAGACAAATTGGATCATCTTCTGAACATTGGGAAAACAGATCGACATGGTCTTGGATTCAATGGAAAGCCTTCAAACTCAGGGTCCTATTTTGTTTATGGTGGAAAAATCACATCTGCAACATGAGCTGCTACAGAGACTACAACTGGAAAGGAAGGAGACCGTGAATTGAAAAAAGATGAAGAAAGGAAGGAGATTTTTCGATTGGTTGGAAATTTGGGTCAATGTCTGTTGTAATTAAATCAGTTCCAGAAAGAGTACAAGAAGAGGAGTTAAAATTATTGTGTAATGATGCTTCTAAGAGAGACAGAGGATCTCAAAGATCCTTTCGGGAAATTGATGGGAACGTGTGTTTGTGGACCACTAATCCGATTGGAAGGCTTCAAGAAGAAATCGTTAGATTTCGGAGATCATTAGAGAAGTGTTCTATGGTTACTAAGATGAGATTTGAGATAGAACAAAAAAAAAAAAAAAAAAAAAAGGAGAAGAGTTTTTCAAAAAAAAGACGTGACACTACCAAAGTTTCACACAAGCGAGATTCGAGAAGTTGTTCAGAAGGAAGTGGTACCTAGTATGAAGTTCCATCGTGGCTGTGAACTTCTTAATATCCACTAACTGAAGAAGCAACTCGAGGTAACTCGGGTGAGTTAATGACCTCGCAGAAAAGAGAAGAAAAGATTTAGGTGAGTTCATTATGTGAGGTAGATTCATGTGTAAGGAAGAAAAACAAGTTGTTACACAACAAGAAGGAGAAAAGGAGTTACCTGTGGAGTTCTGAAGCTATGAGAAGAAAATCAGAAATCTCAAAAGAGATGTTAAGAGGAGCTTGAGAATACCTGAGATTACAGAGGGTATTGGTGATAGAGGAATCACCGGAGATACAAGGATTTGTGGTAGAAATTGCATCTCACTAGCAAAGAAGAAGATAACGATGACGATGAGATCACCGTAGAAGAAGATGCTTTACCGAGACTTGAGACAGAAGCTATTGAGGGAAACAAGTCAGTTTCAAGATGATTTTTCATTGTCGATAAGAAGACAATTAGAATTGATTAATGGGTTCATGGAGTTACCTAGAGGATCCAGGTGAGTTTCTGTGAGGAGGATAGTGAAATCAAAGACATGATTTCACGGGTTTATGAAATCGGAAGTGATAAAGTGTGAAGGAGATGATCACTGGTTCAAAGGTTACCAAAGCTCATCAAAGAAGAAGAAGAACACACGTTTGTTCATCCGAGAAGCTGTGAAATGAAGAATCAAAATTCAGAAAAACTTCAGAAAATTTGTAATCTCAGAAGAAATCAAACTGAAGTCGTCATAGTAGAGATGAAGAAGAGTTTGATAGGTACCGGAGTTGCAGAGATCGGTATTCGGTTTCGCCATGGAGGAAGAGAAAAACGGCGGCTTAGTCGGGTAAAGAGAAGTCTTAGAGGATTCTTAAGTGTTGGGTGTAGAGTCGGAGAAGTCTTCGGCGAACATGGAGGTGACCGGAGTTGTCGTCGTCGGAATAGTGTTCAATTTTGGTCATTGGAGAAGAAGAGTCTTGTCGGGTCGTCTCCATCGTTGGAGAAGAAAGAGAGGAAGAAAAGTTCATGGGCTGGGCTTGTGAAGAAAAGAGTTGAATTTGACAAAAGCCCATGGTGGAGATTGTGAAGTTATGGGCTTTAATCACATTTCCTGGCCCAATCCGAATTGGTTTCTTCTAAAGTGGACCAAACTGTGAAGTCTCAATACAAGTCGGTAATGCTTGATTATTAAAGGAACAGAGACAAGACCAAGAACCCTAAAGACAAAATACAAGCATATAAGAGAGAAGAAAGCCGTAAGAAACACAAAGAAAGAGACGGTGACATTTTCTTTGTGTAAGGACTAATGAGGAGTTTCATTGGAGTTCAAGATGTGAGTGAAAGTAGCTTCAAGCTTAAGGGGGAGAATGTTGGATAAGCTTGAATAGCTTAAGGCCCAAGCTAAGTATATTTGGGAGTTATCCAAATATGCATATGTAAGTTCTAGGAGTTATCTTGAATATGTTATATTTCCTAATTGGTTTTGGAAAAGGTTTTTGAGGGTTCGATATATAAGAGCTATTGGGCTTTCTAAGCCCATTCCAACTCCCCCTTAGTATGATATTGTCCGCTTTGGGCCTATATGCTCAAGCCCGCACGGATTTGTTATTGGGCTCCTTCCCAAAAGGCCTCATACTAATTGGAGTTGGACTTTGCTTATATATTAGAAACTTCTTTTCTAAACTTCCGATGTGGGACGTTGGTTTGTACCCAACAATCTCCCCTTCAAACCAAGGACCACGAACATTGGGCCTCCTCTTCAGCGAAACCTTAGCACCATAACTCGGCACCTTCTTGATCGCGAAGTTCTTGAGGCACCTTCTTATCGTGTCACATTTGAGGGCTTCTTCCACACCGATCATAGGCCCAAGCCCACTCCCCTAGGTCCACTTTTCAACCTAGGCTCTGATACCATTTATTGGGCTTTCTAAGCCCATTCCAACTCTCCCTTAGTATGATATTGTCCGCTTTGGGCCTATATGCTCAAGCCCGCACGGATTTGTTATTGGGCTCCTTCCCAAAAGGCCTCATACTAATTGGAGTTGGACTTTGCTTATATATTAGAAACTTCTTTTCTAAACTTCCGATGTGGGACGTTGGTTTGTACCCAACAAGAGCTACTAAGTTGTGGTATGCCTTATGAGTTTTGAGAGAGAGAGAGTTTGAGAGATTGTGTTTAAGAGATTGAGAGAGACCAAAGTTTTGAGTTATTTTCTTTGGTGATTAATAAAGAGAGTTATTCTTTATTATGAGTTCTTAAACCATCCTTACAAACTAGACTAAAATCATGAAAATCAATTATAAGTTATATGTACTTGAAAAATTATGTTATCACAATAACTTTAAAATAAAGTGGGTTTTTACTCATGTCTTAGATTTTCACTTTGTTAATATAGTGCAACATTTAGGTTATATGCGTCGGGCCAATTTTTTACTCTTTTTTGTTTTTGTGGGATTGATATATGTGTTTTAGTTTGACTTCAGAAAATGTGATCGGGAAAACATAATCATGGCAAACACAATCTGGTGGAAGACCAAATGTGATGATATATAATTACGATATCAATGGAGATCCTAATCATAGCTCTTGTCGACTTGACCTAAGAAAATATTTTATTTGTCTCTTATAATTATGTTTCTTAACCATATGATGCATGTATGTAGAACTCGGCAGACACGATATATGGGAATGTTAATGTTCAAAGAAAGTTAGGTAATAAAACTAAAAGTGCCTGTCAAAAATTTTGTGGGTGTTTTGGCTGTTTGCTAGTTCAAATACTATGTTAAAATTTTTTAAAAAAACAACAACAAGAACACTTTTTCTCAAATGTATTTTAATTGAAACATATGTATTTCCACCAACCCATATATAGATTCTCAAACCCATAAACCATGTTAGTGTAATGATGGGTATATACCGATACTTGTAATGATTCACATTGATCTTACCTAAAATGTTTGAAGTTACTCCATAAATGATAATTGTTAACTACTTTTTAACAGCAAAGAACTTTGGATTATTTGTTCCAGCTAATCCGCCAGAACTTAAATCAAAATATTTTAGAATCCAATAACAAGTCTGCATAATCCGAATTTTCGGTGCATAACCAAATTAATTAACCGAATAATTTATCCAAATAAGTAAAGCTAAAATCATCATCATCGGTACTCCACAAGCATACATAGTGGCTTCCCCTTAAGTCTCTGCCTTCCCTGCAAAAAATTAAATTTCCCACCTCAAAAATATTAAATGTCACACCAATACAAAAGATCTCAATTTATTGTGTTCGAATATAATGAATTAAATTCCACGACAACGAACCTTTAATTCGGGTAACTCGATCACACATGCACATTCCACAACTTCTGCTCCAACCCTCTCTAACATGGTCCAAAAACCATTCACAAAGAGTAATAAATTTCTGATATCGGTTAGGTTAAATTCATAACTCAATTGTTTTTCATATAGCTTAGGGAATTTACCGAGCAAGTTAATGGCAGCGCAGAGTGTACCACCGGTCGCAATTAGATCATCAACGACCAAAGCTCGATCTCCAGCCTCGACAGCTCCTATGTGCATCTCTAGACGGTCATTTCCGTACTCTAACTCGTATTCCTCAAATATTGTTTCACCTAGTTACATTTCATGTCATGTAACAATAAACGATTAAGTTAGGGATTCAATGGTAGTACTGCTTCAAAAATAAATCATATGAAGGTATGCAAAAGTATAAGAACCAGGCAGTTTCTTGGGTTTCCGAAGAGGGACGAATTTTGCTCCAATGGCTAGCGCGATTGGTGGACCGAATAGGAAACCGCGAGCCTCTATTCCTGAAATGATAGCAAACTCGGTTTTATACATTTATGCCAATTAGCAAATAAGATCTAGTTAAGTAGCGTAAATCACCATAACTTTTATCTATCTTTAAATATAAACGCAATTATGTTATATGTATGTGGTTATTATTACAAGAGTCCAAATAAGAACATTGGTATAGAAGAAAAGCTAAGGTATGACTCTCTGTCCCAACAACAAACCCAATAGACAGATTCTAGAGCACTAACACAAAAGATACGGGTCAGTGCTACAAGTAGTAGATAGGTAAACGTATGGGCTTAATAATATGGAGTCATTTAAATGTTTTTAATATGTCTTACTTATTTTAACCAAGAAAATATTGAATCATGTGTTATGCACATATAAACACTTCCTTTAACACGGGCTTTATGACAATATTAAAAATGTTTAAATGTTTAAGACTTTTTTAAAATAGATAAATGTTTAAAACTTGTAATTAAAATGTTTAAACATTAGAATTTCATCGAGTTTTTCCCTGTTTTCCGCAGATAACTATAAAGTTTTTTTTTTTTGGTGATCTGATAACTATAAAGTTTGGTATAATATCAAATGAGTTTGTATGGTTTTGATGATTTCTTTCTTTTAAATCTGTCTAGGCAAGATTCTATTGATTTGAAAAGGCGACTGAAAAAGTATACAGATTTTAAAAAGTAAAAAAGAAATGATGTACTTCAGCATACTTTATCTTACAACAGTAACAAAGTTACAAAGTCTTTGTACTTCATTACATAGCAGAAGAGAGACATACAGAAAAAGTGAGAAGAAAAGAATTGGCCAAAACAATGATGATAGAAAAAGAAAGAAAACCCAAATCAAGTTTTTTTTTGGGGCCAACTCTTTTTAAAAGGTTACATCCATCACTCAACTACTCATCGATCCAAACAATACCCACCACATACACACACACAAACACACTTTTCACATAAGTAATAAGATCAACAATTATAAGCTTTTAGAAAGTAAAAGAATATAGACAAAAAAAAAACTTTTTTCTTTTATGGTTTGGGAGGAAGAATGATCCAGGCAATCAATCTCATTCAATCACTCAATCACACAGAAAGGTTAGATTTCAGAGATAAGAGAGAGTCTTGTCTCAACCAAACTCGATTCGAATCTTTATCTACAATTTGTGTATATGTAAACGTCAAACACAAACGATATACATATTTGCATTGACCCTCTAATTTTGATACATCATATTAACTGTTTTTGTACACATAAATTTATTCATTCATAAATTCAAACCTAACCGCACAAAAACAAGGACAATAGTTTTTTTTTATATATATATCAAAACAACCAATGATAACAAAGTTTAGCCGAATTTTCAAGTATTTTCCATCAAAGTACAATGTAAAAAAGGTTTCATAATACCAAAAAATTACACAGAAAATGATTTTTTAAAGATTCCACTAATTACCATTTGACTTTTTTCTTAAAGACTCCACTAATTACCACGCACCAGCAAATCAACTATTTACGGGTCAGATATACATTAAATTAGCCTTTATAGGAAGAAAAAAATGAATTTCAGTAATAGTTTTTTTCCTACATAAACTAAAATATATACGTCACTATAAACATGACCTACCCACTTTTTTCCCGGAATATCATCAAAACAATAAAATAATCGAGTTCACTCAAATATGTCGAATCTTTTGAATAGTAATTCCATCGAAATTACACTATATCCAATGTTTAGAAAATTAATAAAATCATGAATTGCAAAGAGAGATAATATTACCTGCAACCACTGAGATGTTCTTGTCTCTGTACCTCTCCACAAATAGATCAATTGTGTCTTTGAAGGCTTTCGGATCCAACAACACTGTTGTTATGTCCTGAAACATTATTCCTGCAAAAAATTTCCTTATTTTAGTACCCTCTTTACTCATTTTCACACATATTTTTTTTGTTCTCTATGTAACACTAACAATTCTTGTTTTTTTTCTCAGGAAAATATGTGAATGGTCAAATTACAACTTCATAACAAACCAAAACAAAACATATTCAAGGCCAAGAAAACTGTTAAAAAAAAAACTTCTAAATCAAATTTTACTGTCGGCAACAATATATATTAGAAAATTAAGACTAAGAAACCTGCATTTTCTCGTTTTTCAGCCAAACAACATTTTCCAATGCGATGAAACAGAGCATAAGACCTCCATAAGAAGGAAGGAAGAAGAAAAAGTTACCTTTCTTGGGAAAATCTGGAACGACACGGATCTTAGTTTTGATTCCATGGATACGAGGATCCTCTTCTTCTTTGTTTCCCGACATTGTCAACGAAGAGCAAAAGATAAATAAATCAAACAAAACACAGAGAATGTAAATCCTCTGTTTTTCTTTAAGGGTATCTTCTCTTCTCTCTCCCTCTTGTTCAAGTAGTTTGGGTGAGAGAAAGAGAAAGTGAAGCAGTCATAGTACTCTTACCACTATTTATATCTTGAAAAAAAAATTAAAAAAAAATTGGCTAGATTCTCTGTGTTTAAAATGTAGTGTGCTTAAAATGTGTTTCTGTACAACTGTAAAGTCCAATAAGATAATTAGTAATAAATAAATTTTCTAAAAATATGTCATCCAACAAAATCTTCCAAAATCTAAAAGGTATATATTTAGCATAGTTTATTAGGTGGCCAATAAACTAAATTATAGGTTTTGTAATTTTTATAATTAAAACATTTTAGATGATCTGTAAGAACTTTGTATAAATGTTTAATACTATAATCATCATGATTTTTGGGTGGGTTTCATAATCTTTGGATGATTTGCTTTTTATAATTTATGCATGGAAAATCTATTAGATTCATTTTAAATTTCAACGTATAAGATTGTAATGAAGTAGTTTAAATATTTAATAGAATAACATTTATTTCAGAAATCTCATAAACGTAAATTCAAATCCAGTAACACATAATAATACTAGTTAAAAATAGAATAATATCAATATTAACAAATTTAGATAATTATTATTAAGAACTTCACCAAAAAAACAAAATAATAAAATTTTAGTTAAAAAGTTTTTTTGATGACTAGTACAAGACATATCTAATCTATGTCTCATTAAAAGACATGATCAAAGCTGTTAAACGTGTCGTTCAAACATTGGATTATCTTGATTTTTTGTATCCCCAAATAATTCTCATGTAATTAAAATAAATACAAAAAGCTTAAAAGACGAAGTGTCCTCGTTAAATTATGAGAGCTATAGCATTGCAGAGAGACAAGTGGTCTGTTTCATTATCTTATCTTGTAGATTAGAAATTTAGAATAAACTTGAACTCCTTTTTCTTTATTTGTTGTTTTAGTTCGTCCTTATAATTATTAAAAGTAAACATGTGGTTAGAGTTTCTCCGATTATTTGGAAAGAAATCGTCAACAAACCCAAGTTGGAGAATGAATAAGTGCGTTTTAAGCTTTAATACTTTCGATAACATTTACCTAGTACATTTCAGCTTATACTATTTGATTAAATTTCTTGTATGTCGTTCATACAATAAAACACTCTGCTACTTCGTGTATATTATTATTTTTTTTCTTCTGAAAACGTAGCTAACAAATCATAGAACAAAAGAACATTAATAGTGTTGAAATGGACTGAAGTAAACAGTATTATTACGACGAATATATGTAATTTAGTGGTTATGCTAGCATCGTCGTTGTGTTATTAACCGAGTTCAAATTTTCACAATGCATATTGTTAGCAAAATTATATATAGTGTGTCGACTACATATTCACTAGTGATTTTGATGGATATGTATGATGATATTTCTTTTAAATCACGTTCAGCTATGTAGAACTACTTTTGAAATAAATGAATATACCTCTAAGATCTAAGTTTAAACATAGTTATTACTTATTACATTCACTTTCTTTTAATGAAATGGTTAACAAAAATTTTTGTTAACAAATTCGTGTAACAATATACTCATGAAATTTTGATAAATGGCCTTTTGGCTTTCATACACCATGGTCCATGAACTAACTAGTTATTCACTAATCACTAGTGAAATGTACATGCTAATAGAAAATCATACCCAAAATCCAAGTATGTGGATATGGTCGTCAAGAGAATTTAGTCCGATACTTCAACACCAAACTCAAATTAGGTTCCCGTCATTCTTTTGTGTAATGATATATATAGCTTAAATGATTGTCTTTTAGACAATGAGAGATATTATCGTCAAATATAATATATAAACAAATATCATCAAGACATCAACTAGTTCGAGCAACACCCTATAGATTTCGCCTAACTCTCATATCTAAACACACTTTACTGCACAAAGTCCAAGTGGGTTTTTTGAGTGTGGCAAATCTCTAGTTATAGATATTGTTTTTAAGGCATCTTTTCTTCTAAATAAATTAAAATATTCAAAATATAAATATCGAAAACTCATAAAAATGAAAGCGATGTTTCTTTCTTTACTATTTTAGATTTTATTTTGTCTATTTTTATATTTTTATGGAGCTTTTAATTAGACCTGTCCATGGCCTAGAATAAAATAAAAAGCTCACCACCTTTTGAATTTTGATAGGCCACTCTTCAATTCGAATTCGTATCTTACCAATTTACCCCTCCACCAGTCTTTTCGTTTCTTATTCTGTCTATTTCCTCAATTATTGCACTAAATCTGGAGAAACATGCTCAAAATCTAACTTGGGACAAAGGTGTCCAATACTTAGCGTGATTCGTCTTACATTTAATGGCATCTTCATAACCTAGAATCCCATTATACAATATACAAATTATTTAGTATATCGATACAGACAACAGTTCTATGAAAAAAAAAAGTTTTATACATTACAAGTAGCATCAACAAAGTTGTAGCTGCAAAAGTAGGCGAATCTCTTTTATTCCGTGTTTTGGATGATGTCTAGATTTCATATGACCACTTTTGGTAAGCATATTGTGACTCTACTTTTACTTTTGTACTAAAATGGTATATTTGTTGTTTCTATTATTAATCTCTTACAAATATAACAAAAGAAAGACAGAAATTTGGAACACATATATATCAAGTGTGTTCTCAATTGATTTTTTGGCAGTAGAAAATTGAAGTTCACAATTGCTTTAATCTGGTTTAAGATTAAAGTTCTATAGTAAAAAACACAAAGTAAACCAAGTGGTAGGGTCTAGTGATTTCCATTTGAGTAAGAATCTTTTTGTAAGTCTAAACTAAATATTGATTCCTCTCAAGCACATAATTTATTAAATCACTCCAGTCGATGTGGTGTCATGCTTTAAGCTCATTAAAAAAATTGGTGAGTATATTAGATTTACCGGATGGTAAATGCCTAGATGACTCATTAGTTATTAAAAAAAAAAGCAATTCGGTAAAATATCACATAAAAAAATCTTAGCCTAACATAAATGAAGAAGAACCTAAGAAATTCTAACACTTTTATGGACAAAAAGATGGACTATACCTTTTAATAGTAGATATACAACAGTTTTGTATATTAATATACATTCACGATAAATTAATATAATTTTGTATACTAATATAATAAGTCCACAAACTTATTTTTTTCTTGTTACTTCTAGAATAAAAATGTTAAATTTTATTGGCAACCAAACTTTTTTTTTTAAAATGCTAATTTTCGAGAAAAATAGCCCACTAAAAATATTGGAAATGAGGTTAAAGAAAACAAGGTATCGATTAATTTATAAAAGGGACAAAAAGAAAGTAGTAAAACTGATAGTAATAGATTGTGGAGTGTACTATAATCGGTCGAATCAATTGGATTTATCTCATAATATTTTGTGGACAAGTGTTAGTTGTGCTCCATTAACCATTTGTCTTCCCACTAACACTTTTTTTTTTCTCCTCTCCTTTTCACATCTTTAAAGTCTTTTTCCTTACCAAAAAAAAGTCATTTTCCTTAATATTTTTCCTGTTGTATTCCTCTGTTCTGTCAATTTCTGCCATATGATTTATTTAATTTAATGAAACAAATCAATTTCTCTGTAAAATTTTATTACTAGTTAATATATTGGGCATATACGTGTTTTTTCTTCTACGGAATCCCCATAAACACAAGTTCATGCCACTGCTATAAAGTTTTTTACTAAATAAAAAATATAGAAAAGGAAAAATATGTTCATTCTCGATGATATGTTATTAAAAAAAAAAATTAAATAGAAGAATTTTGAGAACATATATTTTTCAAACTAAAGTACTTAAACACAAAAGAAAACATAACATGTCACAAAATTATATGACATAATTATAAAAAAAAAAAAACAGAATATGTATAAAGTGCCTTTTATACATACTAAATACTTGCATATGTTTAATAACTAAAGAGTAAAAACAATTATAAGAAAAGAAAAAAAAACAAACAAAAAGACTGAAAGACAAGCAACGCAAACATAACAGGCCCAAATACGTGAATGGGTTCAGTGTTGGAATAGTGGCTTTAGCGTCACGTTAATAGTCTTCGGCCTGCTTGGCTTTTACCGACCTCAAGACTTTTTCATATGATTAACAAGCATGGGTTTAAACATAGAGATGATGACTTGGGCCTCAATGTTTGTTTGCGTGTATTTTTTTTTTTTTATTTAATAAATGAATCTGTAATCTCAAGTACTAGAAGTCTAGAACCATTCCTTCATGATGTCTCTTTGTGAAACTGTCTTTACATGTAATAGATGCATGCAAACGCAAAAACTGATGATTGTAAATTTGTAATTGTCACATTATAGATGCCGTTGTTGTAAACCTTTTTCATCCGGATTGAACAACCAATCATGAAGATTACTATCTTAATTTTACTAGTGAATTAGTGACTAATCGATTTTTGTTCCAAACATAGGAAACTTTCAAATGTGTAATACTAATTTTTGATGCATTCTAAGCCATAAAACATCGTAATGATTTACAGATACAAAAATACCGTATCACTTACCAAAAAGAGTCCATTTCTCGTTGCATTCAAAGTCCAATAGTTCTTTACTAGCAAAAACATTACACTACTAATCACTAATCATTACCAGGACTTACAATGATCCAAAAAAACAAATCTCACCTAAACCTTAACATTCATTATTAATGTAACCACAAGTATATATCATTGATCTCAAACATGAACAATCAAAAAGAATTAAAGTATAGTAATTAAACAAACAACAACATTATACATACCTGTTTAAACTGTTGTTAATAATCATCAAACTCTAGATTTAATCTTCTCCAAAACTCCATCAATGGCAATATCAACAGCATCTTTTTTATTCATCAATCCCATTGAAGCACCATGTCTTCTATACATAACTCTAGGCATCATCTCTATAACTTTTTCTCTCATTCTCGTAACTTCTTCTTTAGGTATACTCATCAACACGTCTTGGATTCTAACTCCTCTGAATACAACATCTTCTTTCAGAATCGTCACCGAAAACTCCGCGAATTCGGACTCCGGGAAATGCCATTTGTACTGCATTTTCGCCGTTTGGTCTTCGAAAAACACCGGTATACATCCGGCGATGATTCCGTCGAATGTAGCTTTACGTGTTGGTGTATCTCCTGGTGGTTGTAAACAAAACGATGATTGTAACATTGGTCTCATGAATCTGATCGGATCATGCTCACAGATTCCATTAGAACAATCAACAAAATCGCAGATTTTATCCGATTTCGATTCGGTTTCGGTGGCGTTTACGCTTGTGCACTCTAATCGGATGCTACGGCGGATGTTCGGAGAAGAGGAGGTACCTCCGCCGCCGGCGAAGAGCATAAGAGAAGTTCGCCGTGAGCGACGGACACGACGGATCCACGATTCCAAAAACGGCAAGCTGTGTGGGTGAAACGACGTCGGATAAGGAACGGCTTGTTCTTGCCACGGCCAGAAACGAGATTCGAGAGTTAACGCCGTTAGATTGAAAAACTCACGGCGTTCTAGAAACGACGTACCCCAAATCGGAGGGTCAACGGTCAACGGCTGAGAGAAATCCCAAGCGGGTCGAGCCATAACGAGGAAATGATCATGACCGGAGCGACGAGACCAGATCTCGGGTTGATCACGGGTCAAAAACTCGAGAAGATCCGACCCGTGATCAGCGCTTGAGTTTAAATCGGGTCCGTAGAGATAACGGAGAGAATCGATACCGGCGTAGTAAGGGAGGTAAACGGCGGAGGCTAGATCCGGGTCGGGTGTGAGACATGGATATTCGAGAATCCGACGGTGGAAAATGAGTTCGAGAAGTAACGGGTCGGTTCGATACCAGCTTCGGGTACGGGTATGAGTTTTTGGGCCAAGTCCGTGATTGGCTAAGTAAGGGCAAAGATCGTCGGTGATTGGGTAACGATTACAAGTTGAGAGAAGATCGAGATTGAATCGTGATGGGAGTGTACGGATGTGGATCCAACGGTTGGTGCATTCTGTATCGACGGCTGAGATTTGCTGTGAAACAACCCTAGGCTCGACGAAGAAGAAGAAGAAGATGGTCAATGTTGTGACGGTGGATTTGAAAGCCATTGTTAATGGAGGTTGTCGGAGTGAGAGTGGTAGTTTCTCTCTGTTTATTAATGGTAGGAAAAAGATTTGGTAATTTCAAACAGGTCCTTAACTTTATTCGTATATTTTAATATTACCCTTATTATTTATTAAATAGGAAATAAACCTCATTAAAGGCTCAAAATTTGTGAATTCGAGGCAATAACTGAACGTTGGATCTATTTTTGGATAAAAGCATAAAGTGAAGTTTGGAGAATCTAACGGTGGTGTGCAATTTTGAACACAAAAAAGTCGGTGATCGTGTGAGTGTATCCTCACGGACGCGGGGAAGATTAATTTTCCATTTGTGTGTTCAATAATTAATTTTCCATTTGTGTGTTCAATAATTAATTTTCCATTTCTAACAATAAGGAAACAAATTAAAAGCACACTGGGTTTAAATTGGTATGGCTCTTTTATTTCACTGAACCGAATTGAATTTACGAAGGATATGGGAAACAATGGCTGGAAAGCCACTTTTCGGGAAATAAAATGCTGGAATGCCACCTTCGTATTTTCATTTTCTTTTACAATTTTTTTATAAGTCAAAAGCTAAGGAAATGTCCAAAAGCCCTTTCAAAAGGTTAACAATTACAAAACCCAACATGAAATTCACTATCTCAACAACCAAACACTCTCAATCGTTCTCCTCCTCTTCTTCCAGATCCTGTTGCTTTCTTTTGCCAATCGTTTGTTTCCAAAATCAACACAAAAAAAAATGGCGAGACTTTTCGTCTCTATCCCTATGTAACCCACACAAATAAGCTTCTCTGCGTCTTCTTCTCAGCCACTATTCTCGTGGCCGGTGAACAATTTCCCCGATGGTGTAGCCGGAGGATTATGTCTTAGACAGAGAATCAGAGACTGTTCCGTGGTGAAGCGAGCAGGGCCTAGTACGAGCATCTACTTGCTCGCGTTCGCAAATTCCTGCTACTTTTGTCGCCGCCACTGTCTTCACTTCAATCAAAATCGCTGATAAACTCGACGAAGATTTCCTTGAGGATGTAAGATCACCGTTTCCAAAAACAATATAATTCCTTCAATCTCTGTCATATCTAATTCAGATTCGAATTTCGTCTAATTGTTTAGTGTTAACATTGCTTTAGGTCTAGTTTGGCTCAATGCTAGTTATAGGATTTGAGGTACATAGAAGGTAATTTTAATTTCTAGAACAAGAAACGTTCGAAGAATTTGGGGAAAACAATGAACAAATGAATTATTAGCACTAACTTTTGAATTTGGGTTGACTTGGTTCAGTTTGGTTAAAGTTGTTGAATTTATGGCATCCTTAGAAAGTAAGAGAAAATCACATCCTCTTAGAGTCCATTTTGCATTCTAGTAGAATTGGATTTCTTTGATAATGCGCCAAGCAGGTTTGGTATCATCCCCAAGAGACTGAGGCTTGAGCCGACCGAGAGAGGTCGAGATTTATATCTCCAAGATTGCACATGACTTATGTTTTTGTATTTCATTTCTGTATTTTGTTATGTTGTGGATCTTAAACATATGACTTCATGTTTTTGTAAACAAAAAAAAATATTTAGATTATATTTATGTTCAATTGCTTTTGTAGGTACAACTGGTCTATTTAGGTACCACTACGTGTATGAGTTACACATAAAAAAGTACAACTAGATCACTTAAGTACAACTGAAACAATTAAAATAACCTTTTTAAAAAATAAAAAATAATATTATTTGATATTAAAATAAATTTAAACGAAGTATAAAAAATTAAAAAAAAATAAAAATTAAATATAACCCACGTAAGCATGATTTTTGGCGGCGGGATATTAATTTAAAATCATCACACGTGCTGTAAAGTGGGGCAAAGACAGCGGGATATTCATAAAAAATTGTTTGATATAAACGTAGTTGTACCTAGTTGTACAGTTGTACTCACATATTCATAGTTGGACTTTGGCGATTTTTGCGTATTTTCAGTTGGACTTTAATAAAAATTAGTAATTTTAAGTTGGACACATGTTGTTACACTATTAATTATCATTTAAGAAGTTTTCATAATACAATTTGTACAAAATCATAATTTTCACCTATTTTGCATCAAAAGAGGTGATCACCTACAAAGTGTTCCTTGTACTATAAGGAGTGTTTCATATGAAAACAATAGTATGCACTAGGAAAATGATAAATTCAAGTTTTATTTATTTAAAATTGTTTCTTTTTAGTTCAACATGTTTTTGGAATCCTTGTTAACTCTAATTTATCGTTTTTCATATTTGTTGAATACACATACAAATACATGTATGGTCTTAGTTGTACCTTCTCAAAACCTAATTATACCCAGTTGAACATAGTTGTACGAATACGACAAGTACATATACTGATACATACATGGTTATAGTTATAGTTTTAGCTGTACCCAGTATTTATGGTCTTAGTTGTACTAGTCGGTCCTAGTTGTACCAGTCGAATCTAGTTGTACCCAGTCGAACATGGTTGTACGACAAATACAAATGATTTTTAGTCATCAAATATTCTTTTAATTAATATCATTTATCTTCCACAGGGCAATGAATTTGGTTCTATTAATCACTGTTAGTGTTGCACAATAGAACGATAAACTAAAGACACTTTGAGAATCCTTAACCACAAAAAAAAACTTCTATATAAATGTGCGAACATGAAGTCTACTTAAATTATTTTCTTAATTTTAGAAGGGAAAGCAAGAGAGCATGTCAAACAACCCTAGCACTAGCAGAACCTAAATCTACTTGCATAAGAACTCAAAAAAGTCATCAAAAACACCGTCATCAGACGACGAGAGTGGAGCTATGGCAGCCAAAACCTTTGCCTTTTCTTCCAACAACTTTCGCTTCGAGGTCTGAACACTTTCGCTTCACTTTCTCCAAATGAGCTTCGAGCCTTGAACACTTTAGCTTCAAATCCTTCAACTCTTCCTCAATTTCTTTTCTCCTGAGTCTCACCAGCTTCCTCTTTCTTTTTATTTTCTGTCACTTGATCAAGTTTCTTCTTCAACCAATCTAACTTAATTCCATAATCAGTCAGGGATTCCAGCCCAACATAGTAGCAAATCAGATTTTGCCTTACACACATTACAATGATGGCAAGAGACAATTACAAGCAATGACTTACAGATTAAATTCATTACAAGACTAAATTATGAATTTTGAGGTAGAATTTGCCATAAGAATTCATGATTACGAAATTGACAGTTCTCGTTCCCAATATCGAATCCTACCACACTCATCTAAACGTATCAACAAGAGATCTTAGATATAAAGTTATAAACGCATAATAAAATTCTTCCTCTTCGAAGAGAAATCAAATCAAACGAGAAGAAGGACAAAAGATGAAGAAGACTATACAATTAACAGAAACTTCGAATCGTTGATGCAGAACCTCTAATAACTGAGAGAGCGTTGTCCTCGTTGGAGCGGTGGTGGTTGTTGTTGATATCAATGGCGGAAGATTGAGAAACTAAGAAATAATCTCTTAGTTTCATCAATGGCAGAGGAGAGGAGAACAAACCAATTGCAAGGACGAGACGCCGGAGACGGTGGGCGGCGAGATCGGCGAGGTGAGCTCTGGTTTGTTGGGAGGAGAGAATCGGAGGTGAGGATGCGATCAAATTTTTTTTTGCTTTTTTATTTTTTTTTTGTTTTAATTTCTAATAGTTAATTAAATAAAAATATTCATTAAGGATAAAATGGAAATAACACATACTAGAATGGCATACAGACTCCAAAATGGCAGGCCAGATTAATATTTCCGGTTCAGTGGCAAACAAGCCTCTGTGTCAGGATATGGCTATGGTTTCCACTAATTAAACCGATTCCATTTTAAGGCCTTTTCCTTCCGAAACAGTGAGGAAAAGATAAAACCCTTTAGAAAATACACTGATTTATCTATGAAGACTGGACTGGGCAGGAGAAGCCCATATTTAACAAAGCAAAAAAATGGAAAATTCGGAGATACACTCTCAATCGTGGTTCGGTTTATTATATAAAGGTTTTTTGTTAGAGATTTCTCCTCACTCTCAAATATTTATTTGCTGCCGTCATGGAGAAGAACCAAAACCCTAATACCTGGTCGGAGCTTCCTCTAGATCTCTTGAACTTAGTTTTCAAACGCCTCAGTTTTGCTAATTTTCGACGAGCGAAATCGGTGTGTTCGTCTTGGTACTCTGCTTCGAAACTATGCGTGCCCAAAAATCAGATCCCTTGGCTGATGCTCTTCCCCAAAGACAAAAACAGCAATTCATGCACGTTTTTCAATCCCGAGGACAAAGATTTTTTATACAAAACGCAAGATCTTGGTGTGGAATTTGCCAAGAGTGTTTGTATAGCAACCTACGGAAGTTGGCTTCTTATGCAAGATTCAAAGTATAATTTATACATTTTGAATCCATTCACCAACGAGAGTATCGATCTTCCGGCTGTGGAATCACAACAACCTGCCATGGTAAAGGTTGAACGAACCATAGATGATGATTTTATCACTTTCGGCGATCACAACCACGTTAAGTTATTTAAAGGTAATAATACCGTACGTACCCCTGTGTTTTGGATTGACGAGAAAACCAAAGATTACATAGCTCTGTGGGGGCTTGGATATTGGTGTGTGGTTTATGCCAAGAAAGGAGATAAGTTGTGGAATCAAATTCCAGAAATTATTTTAGATTCTCTTGACATGGTTTACAAGGATCACAAGCTTTACTCATTTAGCTACAGAGATCTTTTCACAATCTTAGATTTTTCTGGAGAGATTCCTCGACAGACCTTTCAACGTTTTATGCATGTGTATAGATTTGAGTGGTTAAGTCCTCGTAGTCGTCAACTAAGTAATTCATGGTGCCTTGCTGAGACAAAACTTGTAGTCACAGTAACCGGGGATGTCCTCTTGGTTGAAAGAATTTTAAGACCTAGGTCTAGAATCCAGTCATTCAACGTCTACAAGTTTTATTCGTCAGGGATTTTTTTTGATAAATATGAACTTGCTGATTCTTTGGGCGACGAGGCAATGCTTTTGGATCTAGGCATCACTGTGCTCGCCAATGAAGTTGAGGGACTGAATAGAAATTCTATATATTTCAGTGATAGCCATGACACGACCACAAAAGATCTCTATGTCTTTAATTACGAGACACGGAAGATGGAGCAACTGCACAAATTTGACTTCGATTGTTTGTTACTCGAACTCTCTGCTCGATGGTTCTTACCGAGTTTTTTGCATACATGATGATTTCAACTTGATTCTTCAATCTGTTGTTTCCGCTAATGAATAATGATGGTTTCTTTTACACATTTTTTTTCTTTTCTTTATGTAACAATTCTTGTTTTACTTATCTGCCAATGATGATATTACAACTCCAAAATAGATTCAAGTAAGACCAAGAAAACTATGAAAAATACTTTGATGTGTTCTAAACATTAAAGATCGTAATGTGGATACACAGAAACCATACTCATGAGTAACTGACGGATTTTCTGATATTCTACTCACTAAAAAGAGTCCACTTGTGGTTGTATACAACGTTCTCTAGTGATCAAACACAAGCTAGAAGATCTTCTTACACTAATCATTAATCATTACTAGGACTTACAATGATCCAAATAACCATATATGATTACAGAAATCTCTAAAACCTTAACATTCAGTACTAATGTAACAACTAGAGTATATATTACTAACCAACAATATTATCTCAGTGAGATTTCGGATCCAACATACAAAAATAAATCATTGATCTCAACAATCAAAACACGTACAAACAAAAAAAGAATTAAGTATAACTAAACAGAAACATGAGTAATACCTGTTTAAAGTGTTGTTAATGATCATCAAAATCTAGATTCAACATCTTCTTTCTTATATCATCAACTTCAACCCCATTGAAGCTCCATGTCTTCTATACATATATAACTCTAGCCTCTAGGCATCATCTCTAATAGAGATATACTATAACTCTCTCGTCCTCGCTACTTCTTTTTAGGGTATACTCATCAACACATCTTGGATTCTAACCCCTCTGAACACAACATCTCCTTTCGGAATCGTCACGGAAAACTCTTAAGTATTCGGATTCCGGTAAATGTCAATTGTACTGCACTTTTTTTGCCATTTGATCTTCAAAAAACACCGGGATACATTCGGCAAGGATTCCGAGGTCTTCTATGTTGGAGTATCTCCTGGTGGTTGCAGAAAAAAAAAAAAAAACTTTACAAAACTTTTGTGAAACAACTCTAGGCTCGACGAAGAAGAAGAAGAAGATGGTCAATGTTGTGACGGTGGATTTGAAAGCCATTGTTATGGAGGTTGTCGGAGTGAGAGTGGTAGTTTCTCTCTGTTTATTAATGGTAGGAAAAAGATTTGGTAATTGCAAACAGATCCTTAATTTTATACGTATATTTTAATATTACCCTTATTATTTATTAATAGGAAATAAACCTCGTTAAAGACTCTAAATTGGTGAATTAGCGGTGATAAGTGAACGTTGGATCTATTTTTGGATAAAACATAAAGTTTGATATCTAGAGAGGAGAATCTAACGGTTGTTGTGCAATTTTATACACAGTAAAGTCGGTGATCGTGTGAGTTCAATAATTAATTTTCCATTTGTGTGTTCAATAATTAATTTTCCATTTCTAAAAATAAGGAAACAAATTAAAAGCACATTGGGTTTAAATTGGTATGGCTATTTTATTTCACTGGACCGAATTGAATTTACGAAAGATATGGTTTTGGTTTCCACGAATTAAACCGATCCCATTATAAGGCCTTCCCTCCAAAACAGATAGAAAAAGATAAAACCCTCTCGAAAATACATTGATTTATTAATGGGCTATGACGGACTAGGCAGGAAAAGCCCATATTTAACAAAAGCAAAAAAATGAAAATTTCCGAGATACACTCAATCGTGTTTATTTAGGCATGTTAATCAGGGCGAAAGTCCGCATGCTGCTACGGCCCATCCCTGAAAAAACTGCGGATTTAAACTTAAAATTTATATTCAAAACAAATCAGATATTTTATGCTAAAAGGGTGTTCTAGGTTTAATCCGACTGGATTCGGGTCGATCCGGAAAACTTTAAAAATATTTTAATTTTTTTTGTTAATATTTTCGTTTAATCGAGAGATTTGTTTAAAAATTATTTTTAATAATGTTAAAAATCCTAAACTAGTTTTTTTTAATTGTGTTTTAGTATAAATCTAAAAAAGCAAATTTTGGCTCTTCTCTTCTTAACTCAACTCGTTCGAGAATCCGTTTCTTTCCTTGGTGATATCCATTCTTATATCTTCACGAATCTCGTCTGATCCCTTATCGACCAGGGAAATCTTGATACCGATGTCAATCTATCTGAGTTGGGTTTAACAAATATACCTGATCATCCGTGGAATATCACTAGGTCGTGGAGAGATCCATAAGATAAATTGCTTAAAACATTGGAAGAGGTCGAGCAGGAGATGCAAATCTGTTAAGGAAGAAGGTGATCACAGACCTTTATTTGTGATAGTGATAGGTGCATGGGATACGGCTTTGTTGTTTATTAAGACGAATCTGATCAACAAAGCGAAATGAGAGAAATGCAAGGACTTTATTTGTTAAACAAGCGAATGAGGCTTGGTCGTGCTTGTGCAGAGCCGGTCCAAATATTTATAGTGTCTGAACGAAATAATAAATATCACATTTAAAAAACAAGTAGTTTTAAAATTTTCTTGTTGTTTATTACTATATAAAAAAACTATTGTAACTTAATATTTATTAAAGATAAAATAGTAATACTTTTATTGTATTATTCGGTCATAAAATTATTTAAAGATGCTAACAATATAAATTTAATCAAAAGATAAAGTATATATGTATATATATATATATATATATTTAAGATTACAAAACTAATTAATATTTGTAAGTTTTTGTTCAAATTATTTCATATATCTTTGAAAAGTGGTGGATCCATGTGATTCTATAAAAAAAAATACATTATTGAAAAAACAAACAAATCAATAAAAACATTAACCTAAAAGATAAATAATACTATATGACATGGATGAAATGACTACCAGCGCTAGAAACTTTATAGGTTTTTTTTCTATGTAGGTTTTTTAGTTTAATTATTTCTGATAATTCCTTGGTTATTCCTAGGTTGATGATGTTCTTATTCAGAGTTCAGAGAGTATTTGTCTCAACTTTTTTCGAATCTATGATAATAACGAAACGATCTGATTCTTTTCTCTACAATTGTGAACATGGATTTGTAAATCGTCAAACACATCTTTCCGTTTGCATAATGGATAATATGAAAAAATGATAACTTAATACATATATAGTAGAAACCGTGAAGAAGGCAATTAAAAAAAAAAACTAAAGGGTAGAGAAAATTAAAAAGCAGTGTAGAATGAAGAAGCTTCTGATTCTCCTACACAATCATCAAAAACTTGTAGAGTTTTCCACCTTCCCCCATTTCGCCAAAGTCTTGAGAAACTTCTTCACCTGCAACAACAACATTACAAATCAAACTCACACATTACAAATCTACATATATAACATAACATATATGATGATTTAGACTATATCTTATATAATTCGTACCTCGGAAGGGTCTCTAAGAGAGTAGAATGCATTACTTTCTTTTGGTACAGACGATACCAATATTCCAAATCCTCTGTTCCCTTCCCTCAGTACCTTGAATGCATCTTCATCGGTCTTGTCATCTCCAATGAAGATTGGGAGAAACTCATCGTTGTTGCTTAATCCGAGAGACTCTAACAGAAACTCGACTGCTTTTCCTTTGTTCCACTCAATCACAGGACGGACTTCTAAAACCTGATCATATTAACAAAACTATGTTAATGAATTTGGATCTAATATGAGAAACCAGAGTGATGTTTGTTCATCAAGTAAAGTACCTTTCTCCCGTGAGTTAGACGCAGACGAGGGTATTTTTTCAGGTGGTCATGAACGCGTTGAGCAACGAGTGGCCAGTCCTTCTCGTCAACATTACGGTAATGTACAGAGGTGCAGAATTTGTGGTTCTCCACTTTTGCACCTTTGATACATTTAGTTATCTCAACGAGGCTATTATAAACCTCTTCGATGACGGGTATGAACTCTTTAGCAGGCTGAAAGAGGTTTACCTCCTCGCCCTATTCAGAAAGAAAAGATTAGAATTCACAAAAGTTGATTCATATACTGTTTTAAGACAAATGAGGTCATGAGCTCACCTGTTGGTCAGTGGATTTTATACAATTGGGGTCTTCAGGGGACCCATGTGGATTTACAGGAGTCATTATGTCCATCCCGTGACTACCCGCGTAGTAGAGTTCGGTTAGTCCTACCAATTGGTATACCTGGCATTAACAAACTCAAAATGTATTAGTGTTTTGACTATTGTTTGGATTGTGCTGATACAATGTTATGGTTAATGGTTCAAAAGTTTCACCTTGTCACGGCTTCTACCACTAATTATTGCTGTTGGGAAGTACTTGGCGACATCTTTCACAGCAGCACGCATCTAAGAGAGATAGAGAGAGCAAACTTAGCCTCTTGTGTTTTCAGACCAAAGAACAAAATTAACAAAAAGGTGTTTTAGTTCTTACCGCATCAGACATGATGGCGCGATCAGGGTCATCAACGATTGGGGAAAGCGTTCCATCATAATCTAGAAACACAGCTATCTTCTTGTTCTTCGCTTGAGCTGCAATATGCGCAAACGAGGTAATCGCTGAAGGATACTTGAGCTGTCAAGATTAGAGAATGAAATTAGTGAGGACTAATAAAACAACAGAGAGATCAAAACATTTGTGAATGAAAGCACGATATATTACTAACTAACCATCCAGGCCCGTTGAGCAAAGTCATCCTCCGGAGCAATCTCAATGTTGAAATCCTTGACAAGCCTTTTACGCGGTGGGGACGAGGATATCATCGCATCCAACCAACCGTTAGATCTAACATCATCGAGTTTAGGAATCTTCTTCCTAGGATTCATCATGAATCTCCCTGAAGGGAAGGATGATCCAAGTCTTGATTTGTTGACTGGTGTAGTAGGGTCACTAAGAACAGGGGACGTTTTATTTATATTCAAATCCATCGAACTCTCCAAACAAAAATGCTTCAAACAAGAAATTCGATGGTTTCTTCTAAACACACTTTGTTTTTATCCAACTCTTTTGTCAATGAAAAACCACCTCTTTAGTGTTTTCTTATCACTGCTTGTTGTTGAACTGTCCATTAAAAGTAGGTTCCCTGAAAACTGAAAGTGACCACAAAACAGAACACTCAGCAAAATTGAAAAGCTAACCATAACAATACACTAAATGTATGTTTCATGGAAACTTAAAGTGAGAACAAAACCGAAAGCTGTTTTACATTACCTTATCATCTCTAAATCTTTGATTGTACAAAGCTTTTACAACACAAAAACAATATCAGACAGATCTATAGCTTCAACCCCAAACCTGTATAATTGTCCACCAAAATACAAGATTTAGTAACTTTTGGGGTTTCATAACATTAAAAAAATGAACTTTACATGTTCTTTAAAGAAAGTAGAGAGCAGAACATAACACAAAAAAAGTCAAAAAGAAAGTCATGTGTTACCCATCTTGTAGTTTAATGATATAAAGAAAAAGGAGGGAGCCACTGATTTTGACAAGTACCGAAATTTTCAAACTGCCTTCTTCTATAGGACATCTAAACTATTATTAAAGTGGCTACCGACAAAAAAACTTATAGCATACTCACTCAATATTTGACCAAATCACGCGTTTTAACAAATCAAACATTTCTAAACATGTCCAATTAGTTCCTAATTTCGATTTTAGTCCAAAACAATATAAAAGTCACAGAAAGAAGGACAATTTCGGTGAGTTTAGCCTAAAACGCAGAGAGATCTAGAAATCTCAATAATAAACCTAAAACGGATCCAAAAACTAAAAGAAATGTGAAACATAACGCTATATGATTTGAGAGAAAACGTACCTGATTCAAACGAGCTGCTGTGTAAAACACAAAACAGAGCTAGAGAATCTCGAGAAAAAAAATGCAGATTTTCTCGGAATCTCAGGGATCTCGAAAGGAGAAACCACTAAGAGGGAGATTAGGGATTTTTTTTTTTGTTATTTCGAAAAAAAACCCTAAAAATTGCGAGAGCTCACTAAAAATACGGAATTTAGGAAGAGGAGGCGAAGGAGGAGAAGAGAGAAAATGAAGGAGATGGGCTTTCGTATTTATAGAGTCCGATTCTCTCAAACAATACATTATGCAAAATATATAAAAATAAAATTAAAATGTCAGTTTCTCAAAGAGACAGAGAGAGACGTGGTTAACAAGGATATTAGGCTGTTTTGTTTGAATCCCGAAAAAACCTCCTATGTTTGACTTATTTACCAATTTGCCATCAGACGACCAAGACCACGTTATAACTTATAAAACTTTCTTATTAGCTTCGAAAATAAATATAAGATAGTATACGATTAACGAGCTCGTCATTAGTCATATTCGGTTGTTTTCTTAATTCAACGAGTTTTTTGTAGAATCTTTGAACGAGTAGGTATATTATTTTGCAATACATTTACGTTTCAAATCTTTGTTGTTATACCAAATGTGTAGAAAATTAATTTCTTACTTGACCAAAGGTCGTTAATTAATCTTTGTTTTAAACGGCGTGAAGCAGCCGTCATAACGGCTCTGCATTTCCACTTTTCTAGAATAATTATATAGAAGGAAAAAAACATTTAACGACAAATTAGAAACCGTGTTCGAAAAAAAACAAAACCTTAATAAAAAAACAAAACAAAACCGTGAGGCGGACGTTAGTTGTTAGCTGGTTCCTTAACGGACACGTGGCTACGAGTCAAGAGAAGTGAAAATATCGTAGGATCCACGTGTTAAATTAGTAATGGTGACGTAACCACGTGTTAGTTGGGCCTTAATGGGCCCATATAGGAGGAACTTGCTTTTCTAGTTCCCATGTCACATTATTTGATTATCATTGCCTTTGGTTACAATTACAATGTTCGATAATTATATTGACATTCAACCAAATTAAGATATTTATTCTACTCAAAAATATAAAAAATATTCGTTAATTAAGATGACGGAATGACGTGGATCCTGACGCTAATTTAACGTTTATTAACGGTGTTAAGATGATGAAGAGTCATAATCACAGGACCCATAATAATTTAATGACCTAACTAAAGTTTAAGTTGTAAGTGGACCTCTCAAATACTGAATAAACGGTTGTGATGATTTCACTCTCTGTGATCACGCTTTTGTTTAGCATTGCATGCTTATTGCTTTTTTGGTGGTGGAGTTGACAAAAAAGCATAATATAATCTATTTTTAATCATATTTTCCATGTAGCTAAGAATAATTTCTTTTTCCCCAAATGGAAGAAAGAAATTCCTCGTATATGAATTAATTATATAAAAAATCAATATATAAACGTTTTGAGTGATAGCAAATTAGCAATGGGAAGTTAAATAAATAAATAAAATAGGTCGATTTTGGTTTTTGTTTTTGCAGCGGATTTGGAAGGTTCACCACGTGTATCCTACGCTGCATATATGACGATTGACGAGTCACAACCATACGCTGACGCCATGATGACTCAACTTCACTTTACAAAAAAGGACAAATTCATGAATTCGGAATTTTGACAAGGTTCCAAGGTAGAGAACATTTGACTGATAGTTCAATCTCATACCTTCTCGAGTCTCCATTTGGTTACAAAACTTTTTGGTTAAATAATTTTTCTGACAACTATTCAACATATGTGAATATGAATTATGAAATAGAAAATAGGGAGAATTATTTATCAGATACTCATTCCATCTTGGAGTGGTGAAACTTTCACAAGATGGACAAATAAAAAAGTTGAATAGTTGTCAGAAAAATTATTTAACATTAGTAAATAGTTGTCAGATACTCATTCCAAAGTTCCAATGTAATAAATCTACCACATACTAATGTAATTCTACGGTTAAAAAAACTATCACGGTCACTTTTCTGCTCTCTTTATAGTCTTTGCAATATTATGATATTGCAGAAAAAACAGCTTGCACTAGTTAACCATTTTTTATTTATAGAAAGAAATATACTATTTTCTGTGAAGACAGCTTGATGTGAAGAAAATGGTGATTCAATAATGGAAAAAAACATGTGTGCCGACCACTAAGTCTAAGCTCAGTTTGTCAAAGTCCACATGTTATCAGAGTGATAATGATAAGACAACATTATATGTTAACATATAATGTTATAAGTCATCTGCATATGTGTCTCCACGTATCTTCACGCGTACATATTACAGTCAAGCATACATCGTATTATATCATAAATGTCTCAAATTACATGATTCGGCTACTTAAATATGCGACAAGTTTTGTAAAATAATCTAAAAATTTGTTACGAACCATCATAAAATAATGGAACAAAGTTGTTAGTGAAAATGATTGTTGCTATTTGCTAATGTAAGCAAACAACTAACTGCGATTTATAAGTCAGTACGTGACAAATTATACATAAAACTACCTACAATATGTATGTAATATTCAGCATATAAAACTATATGTTTGGTCGCTCGGAAATTAGTTTTGAATAGTGATAAAGTTTGTAACTACCATATTAGATATTCAAGTGTCTACCAAATAGAAATCATGCGATATATGATTAACGCATTTACACAAAAACTACTTCATTATAATTAACAAATGTAATTTGATTGAATGACCAAGGAATTTAATTAATTACAAGACTCTATATTAGGGATCCAATAGATAAAATAACTCAAATATACGTATACCACATGTTACGTGAATATTATTTAGTTTTAAATTTTATATTTTGCAAGTGGTTAATAATCCTATAAAAATGATTACAGTAGTTATCTTTTTTTTCTTGGTCACCAACAAGGCAACAAATGATTACTCATTAATCTACCGACTGAATAATATTATTCATATGAACAACAATTTTTATTATAGTACTGAATGTAGTCACAAATTAATGAAAATAATAATTTACATACACATGTACAACACTGCCAGCTAGCAATAGAGGAATTAAGCATATTGATCGTTAAACAAATTGGAAGAAGTGATAAGCACTATTGATTCAACAAAGCCTCGAGAATAAGTCGTGTATCATTCATACAAAAAAAAAAATAAGTCGTGTATCTTATTATATATTATGTGACTAGTTGGTCAGGCCATGTATACTATTTATAAATTGCATGAGTATTTTTTGATGATTTCCAAAACGGTTGATATGTCTCTATTACTCGATATATAACACCCAATTAATTAGCTCCCTCGTTTATTTCTAGGGATTACTATACTTAGTTGGTCGACGCCGACGTTATTGTCAAATCTTTATTTGTTTTTAAAAATAGTTGTTGAAGATTTTTAGTTGGCCGTGTGATTTAGGCAGCGAAGCCATTTACGTTTCAGAACAATCAAACTGTTTAAATGAGTTTCTTGTAAGTTTTATAGTATGACTTTTAATATGACTTTAAACTATGATTACCATTTTTATTTTGACTCTTGATCGGTTGATCCTCTTGACAAAAAAAGAGAGAGTTCAATACAAGCCTGCCTATTGGGGTTCTTCTTGGGCCACATAATGCTTTTCAGCTATGTCATTTTTGGGCCTACTGATGAGTGGTAGCAATCAAATACCCATTCTGGTTTAACACATTCAATCACATAGTATGTATGATTCACAACCAATAAAAAAACTTTAATTTCTTTGAAACTCTTTCAAGTGAGAGATACATTTTCCAAAAAGCAAAAATTTGAATAGGAATCAAATGGTACTTTTTCTTTTTGGTTTCTATAGTTTATCCACTTAGACATTCAAAACAATGAAAAAATTGACCTGAAAACGGATTTATCCTAATAGTAATGTTAACTCAATTGCATAACAATCTCAATTTCAGGTGATTAAGAATTTGACATAAACAAAAGGATCATTTCCCCCAAGTACTTTTGTTCTTATTGCTTGTTTCAAAAGGAACAATAGAATTTGTTTCCTCTCACCCAAGAGCAATAGAAAAACAGAACCATCGCCAAAAACGTTATCAACGATACTCTAAACCACATTTTATTAGCATCAAACCAAAGTAACAACAAGAAGAAACTGAACCTAGAGATGTTTAATCCGTAACATAACATGGCAAAATCCACACAAATTCACATATTTCTAAACAAATTCTTCTTTTCTACAACTAATCAATCACCTTGCTGATCAAACCCCCCAAAAACCCTAATCTGACAAAAGAGAGATTTTAATTGGGCAAAGCAAGAATCTCGAAATCTTGAAGAAGAACCTGATCTTTAAACCCAGCAAGAAACTGACATAAACCCTCAAGAAACAGAGCCGCTTGATGCTCACTCGTAGCTCCAACAATGTCCATAATCACACTCTTCCTCAAACGATTCGCATCAACAAAAATACTCACAAGCTCTTCCATCTCTTCCTTGGCCGCTTCATCCACCGACGTTGAAGCTACCACTGCCGTCGCGGGAAGCTTCTTCTTCTTCCCCAATTGATACGACAAGACCCAATTCTCAGAAACTCGAGCCACGAAACTTCTCTGTGCTTTCCTCATACGATCCATTAAACCAGGAACCATAAGTCTCATCGTACACTCAATCTGATCGATTCTTTTAACCAACTCATCAGAAGGATCTTTCCACGCCGTCGTAATCTTCAACGGTTGATTCATAAGATCAAGAGAAGTTTCGTCGTCTTCTTCGGAATCTTGATTCTCACGATCGATGAAAGAACGGAGGAGATTAGTGAGGAGGTAAGGATGGATATCGCCGAGGAAGAGAAACGGAGTCTCGAGAGAGTTGCGCCATGAAGGGAAGAGAAGGTAAGGGATGGTGTTTGGATCGGCAGCGAGATCTAGGGTTTCGTAGTATAAGACTAGGTGACGGAGGACGAGGTCTACGTTGGAGGAGAGGACGGAAGCTGAAGCGGCGGAGGAAAGTGATTGACGGAGGAGAGGGAGGCAGTTTTCGGTTAGGGTTTTGGACCAGTCGTCGTAGAAATCATTGAAGCGACGAGAAGGTTTCTTGCGGGAGAAGAAAGAGAAAGGCATTTTCTTGCAGAGTGAAGAAGACGAGAATGGAGGATTTGAAGATTTCGTGAGGGTTTTGATCTGTTTTTAGAGGGAAGCAAACTATAAGGTATAACTGATCAGTGTTATCGGTTTAATGGAAACCAAACCAATCTCGTAAATTCAATTCAGTTTGGTTTAATATATAAACAAGTACTATACCAATTAATGGGCCTTTTCTTGTAGACAAGTTTTAATGGGGAATGGTGTTTGGATCGGCGGCAAGTTTCTTGTATACCGAACACCACAAGTCAAATATTAGATATATTTATACAACAATATATGTATTTTCATTTTTAATATTTCATAGATAACATTATAAAAAGAATAAATAAAGTTAGTATGTACTATCATTCGAGAGTAAATAATAAATAATCTAGAAATCAAAAAAAAAATTGAAGAAAAGTAAAAGGTTCTATTTAAGTGAGTAAAGAAATATTATCATTTGTTCATTACCTGAAATCAAGTATAAGTGGATATATTTCGACCATATATAACTTCAAAGATCACTAAACTAAAGATATGACATAAGTGAATTTTACAATACGAATAGTATAATTGATGACGAATTATTAACTAGTTTGGTGTTGGATTCTATTGCTTAGAAATTTCTCTTCACAAAAGGTCAGAAGGATAAGAACATGGTTATAGTCTTATAGATTTAGCAGCAAAACATTGAGATCCGTGATTGGTGGATTAACAACAGAGTTAATGATTTTTTTTTTAATCGCATCTCATGTTTTATTTTTAATTGATTAGATTGTCTTCTTGTCCCCAAACATATCTGACGTTTTACTTACCTCAGTCTTCCAATGTTCGTTTTTTGTTTGCGCATATTGTTTAACAATTATAGTGTTGATTGCCACATATCGATTTTTCGAGCAGTTTGACCTCGGATCAAGCCAGTATATAAGCCCTAGACATAGAAACGAACACTCCGATTAAACTCGTTACCAAACCACACGGTCAACACCATTGCAAATACTATTTATATCCTCTTAATTAAGTAAACTCTTTGGTTGAATCTGTAACGGATTAGGAGATGAATATGTGGTTGAACCTGATATTGTCACACCTCCAATCATAAAATATGCAGTCTCTAATATTGGATTTCGAAGGCGACATCAAATATTGTCTTTCAAAATTTGTTGCATAATACAAATGTTTAGCTGAATGTTTAAAAGATTGCATATAAGACTACAAGTTCCGTTAGAAAGAATCAAAAACCAATACAGATGTAAATTTCTTACAATAATCATTGAGTTTAGAAAAATCTTTTCAAAATTAATCGCATGCATTAGTTCATAATCTAAGAGGCATTAGTTCATAATCTAAGAGGTTTTTCAACTATAAGTATGCAAACAACTCAACTATGATTTATCCAGTAAAAACCAGCTTGTGCACGTTAGCTATATAACATTGTCATAAATATTTTACAAAAGTATATATTTGGAAAGAATACATCCATTACGGATGTATTGTACCGAATGCTTCAAAATTAGGTACACAAAAGTACATAAATTTGTTACTTTCAAACCTTCCCTTCGATAAAGCCTACCAATTTCTTTCTTTCCAATTATTTTTTGGCCAAACAAATACATTTGTCTTTTAATCTAAAAGGTGGTAATTAAATATATTATTTTTATTAAAATTTCATGAACAATATCAAATCACTAATAAGTCTATAACTAGTGGAATTTTGGCCAAAAAAATCTCAGGTAATAAAAACATGTTTTATTCATATATATATGAAAGAAAAAAGAAAAAAAAAGAAAGAAAGAAAGAAGGCACTTTCTGTGAACCGAAACATGTTACACAGATCGCAGGCGCCGTGCCGACTGCCGACCAAATCCCCACTCCATGTCTCTCCAACACACATGCTTGGCTTTTGTCTTCTTCATTATCCGATCATCTTTAAAAAAATATTTTTTCATAATATATATTTTTGACCTGAAAAATTAAATATTTGTGGAAGGTTTTCATTTGATCTCCATATCTAGGCTATATCTTTAAACATGGCCGTTTATGTTATCTTTTATTTTCTATATATTATAGATCGACATCTCTTATCAAAACCCATATTATTAAATTTGGACTAAGACTTAATTAGTCCATATACATAGACTGATAGACACACCCATATGTGCATGTACACTAAACGACATATTGAACATAAAAATGATTAAATGAGAATTTATTAATAACAAATTAACAATACACAAGAATCGGATCTTTTAGATGCAACTACAACAAGAAGCATAATTTTTACTCACTTGCATAATGATCAGAAAAGTTTGACTATAGCTACTGTTTTTATTTTGTCGTGTTAAGGAATAATGAACACGCACATATATATAACATTTCAAGTACTTTCGATTGGAAAAACAAAGAGTTTTCGTCGATCTCTCAAGTTTGCATTTAAATTACAACGAACTTGTGACCAAAAAAGAAAAAAAATACTACAAGTCTACAATGAAACTTGTACGTCAACTCTTAAATTGCATATTACCGTACGAGTGTACATAGTTGAGATTGACTTTGTTAAAACGTTTTGCTTATTAATTGAGTTTGACCTTGAAAACGCTAATAAGGTATGACGACTATTCACCAATGAAAGACATCACAAAAAAGGTCTGGTCACCAAAAACTTAAGCTTAATTTAATAAGCTAGGTTGAGTACTAACCAGCATCGGTTTATAGAAATACCCGGTTCAGAACATCTACCTTATGTTTTTTTTTTTTTCCAACATCGTAATGTCAAATTTTTGTTCTCAAAATTATGATAAAATCATGAATAGCATGTTGTTTTGTTTTCAACGATTTGACAAATATTCTTGAATTAAGAGTTTGGTCTTGACACAACGTAGCCTCGTGGCATAAAACATCAATCGAAGAATCGAAACACATATATCTCGTGATCATACGAAGAAGTAAAAACCTTTTTTTCTGAAGTTAAAACCTAATGCTAGATAATCAATAAAATTTTATAATTAAAAAACAAAAGTATTTTTGTATTAATGACATGTTAAATTTGGAAAACTATACATCATGCACATGTATACACGCACGAACACAGATTCAACGGTCACACAAACCTCAGAGGCTATAAAAAGAGGTTGCTTTTGCTCTATTCTCAGAATCAAATCAGTCTTCTTCTTCATCTTGAACTGTAACACAAAACACAGAGAGATAGAGACAAATAGCAAAATCAAAGTTTCGGAATTTTCGATCTCATCATCTTCTCCCGACAAACCCATTTCATAATTTCTCCAAAAGGTTTCATTTTGTTATATGGGTCTCTGTTTTCTCGGAACCTAAACAACTATGAAGAGGCTTCGAGGTTTCAAGATTGGACACAGATTCGTCAAGATTTTCAAATGGATAATCCGAACAAGAAGAATCCAAACCGGGAAACGCCAATGCCTAACCGGAATTCTCAACCCGGTTACAAAAATCTACTCTTTAACACGGCGGTGTCTCCGTCGTGGAGCCAATAGACTGTGCGGAGGAAAGAAACCGGCTCAACTTGGTAACGAACCGAAGACGCCGTCAGTTCCAAAAGGGCATTTAGTTGTTCATGTCGGCGAATCCGGCGATGATACACGACGCGTGGTGGTTCCGGTGATTTACTTTAACCATCCTCTGTTCGGAGAGTTGTTGGAGCAGGCGGAGCGGGTTTACGGGTTTAATCAACCGGGTCGGATTATGATACCTTGTCGGGTTTCAGATTTTGAGAAGGTTCAGATGAGAATCGCCGCATGGGATCATTGTCGACGGAAGCGAACTTTTAAGATTTTATAAATTCACTTTTTATTTTTATTTTATATAACATATATTTTAAGTTCTAATTTTTTTTTTTTAATTACCTGAGAAAAAAAGAGAGCAAATGTCATTTAGAAAGATGAGAACTTACCCTATAGTTTGTGTAAATATCAGTTTTATAAGTTATACTCCCTCCGTTTCACAAAGAGTGTCGTTTTAAGGTTTTATTTTTGTTTCACAAAGAGTGTCGTTTTATATTTACAATGCAAGATATTGAATAAAATTTCCTTTTTAACCCTATTTCTTTGTTGTGTTAATAAGAGAGATAATTTTGTTTAGTGTATTAATGAATGGTATAATAGAAATTTTAATGATTTTCTTAATATGTGAGAAAAAGTGTAGAATGACACTCTTTCTGAAACAGAGGGAGTACACATTAGTACATTACCCATACATTTTCAATGTTATTCAAACACAGAATTGTAATGAGAAAACATTTATTTCATCAATTTATTCATTTTATATATCATGATGCCGAGACCTTATATATTTGGGATATGTCTTCTTTGTTTTTATTATTATACACAAAAGTAATTTTGGTATAGTGTTTTGGTATCTAATATCTATCACGTATCAAATATTGCATACCAACATAAGTAGGTCAAGATTTTTTTTGCAACATGGGGTGTTAGTTATATACCTATATGGTTATCTCGGAATTATTTGAAGTTATTGAACATGTGAAATTGATCGAAGTTCAGAATAAAATGGTACTCCATATCGTGTTCTCGGAAGTCCTTTAGGTACAATTAAAACAAAATTGTTGATGCTGGTTTTGGGAGTAAGCAACAAACGAATCATGGTTTGGGCTCATACAAAAATATTTCAAGCCCCACAACACAAAGTCGAAGCCCAGCAACCCAACAAGAGTGTCGTCTTCAACAAAACAGCCGTATAGAGAGAGAAAACATTTAAACCGGTCAATTTCTTCAGCTAAACCGAAATTGTTTTAAAATCTAAGCAAGTTGTTTCATTCATATGCAAATGGAAATATTCTATTGAGAATGATATGAGAAGCATAGAAAACTGAAAATACTATATTGCGAATGCTCTAATGCATTAATGGTTTCCGTTTATTTATCTAACGAATTCTTTGGAATGGTCAACGTCAAATGAGATTAAACCGATCTAATTTGTTTTGGTTCTATTGGTTTTGTAATTGTGTGGAATGTGGATAGATCGGTTATAAACCGGTTCTATAGGTGTGGCCTCACGTTTAATTTTAGACACAAATGCTCCGCAGACCGCACGTTGTTCATAATCTTTTTACGCTGCATCACGTTGTTACTGACGTATTCTTGTCATGACATAGTTATGACATAATTGACATATGAATATTAGATTCTAGGATTTAAATTTGGGCAAAAATTCATAGAAAAATTAGGATTATAATTGACACATTATTCTTGATAACCTATAATCCCATTTCTAAATATATTCATTAAAGAAATTAGGATTATAAACTGCAAAAATATATGAAATTAGCTAGGATTTAAGGATACTAAAATTCTAAAACATAAGTTATAAGAAGTTTTTCTTAAATCATAGTGGGAGATTTTTTAAGTTTCTTTCCTTTCTATTAATAGTGTACACCCAGAAGAATAACCTATATGCAGAAGTAAGATCATGGCTTACACAAACAAAGTAGCGGTTGCGGTTGGAGCCGCGGTGCTGTTTCTTGCGGTTGTAATGAATCCGCGGTGGACAGAGGCACAAACGTATCCAAAATTGGATCGTTTATGTGTGATGATGATCCCTGACATTCTGGAAGAATGTTTCACCCACGATAGACTAAAACCTACGGAAGACTGCTGCAACGATCTCAAAAATGCGACATTGACGCAGGTTGATTGTCTTTGTGACAATTACCTCGAAAGTCTCAGTTTCTCTGACCTCGCGAGAACTTTCTCCGCTGGAGTTTTGAAAAAGTGTGACGTTTCTCACAAATTCATGTGCCAGGCTGCTAAGAATAGAGGTAACGCAACCTTTTCTTTTCTTTCTTGTGATTTAATCATGCATGTGTTATGATATAGCTGGTACGCGTTATGTGTTATGATATGTTTTCAGTATTGATCAAATCTTGATTATGCACACATATCCTACTCCAAAAATTTTGTCAATTAATGAGTTTGATGTCCTAGTGAAATTTCAACTAAGAATTATTGGTACCTAATAATTGTTTTTGGTTTGTGTTGTAATGTAGGAGAAGCAAAGGGAGGCCGAAACACCACCTGCATCAACAGCAATACCAGTGTAGGAGGAAAGAACAAGGTTCCTGCATCAATGAGTGCTTTTGGTTTGGTTGCAATTCTGCTTTTTGTTATGTTTTAATTTAATTCAACTCATTTCAATTTTGTACCGACCAATTCTATGTGAACTTTCATTTTATCCCCTTGTAACTCTAAACAAAGATGTTTCTTTGACTGTGTCATCCGTTTGTATTAGAATAATCATATTTTAAGTTAATATTTGTCAAGCAACAACATCAGATATCGAAACCAAGGATTTTTTTTTTTTTTTTGTGTGACATGGGTTATGGGGTTAGACACAAATGAACCATTTCAAATACAAAATAGTTATGTTTAAAATTTAACTAATCAACAGGATAAACATCAAGCTGGAGTAGCTCAGTTGGTTAGAGCGTGTGGCTGTTAACCACAAGGTCAGAGGTTCGACCCCTCTCTCTAGCGATTTTTTAAATGCATTTCTAAACCAAACAGAACTAAACCCATCATCAACAAACCAAACTTCCCTTGTCTCTTTAATTTCGAGAAAGAACAATATCTCTAAGAATGACGACATTAACTAGATAATGATACACACAAATTCGCTCCTAAGCATGAAATTGAGAGATCATTTTTTTTTCCTTGCATCTGAATCTTTCTTTGTACCTTGCCATTGAAACTTTCAGCGAAGCTATTACAGATCAATGACTAACTTAAGCAACTTTGAAGACATTGAATGATTCTTAGAAAGTCAAGAAAGAGGCTGAAATAACTCTCTTTTCTGAAAAGTACAATTTGTTTTTTTTTTTCCTTTTTTCTTGTAAATTTCGTTTTCTTCTTCATTTCGCAGTTATATATTATTTTCTAATTTAAAATTTATGATATGGATTATAAAAAAAAGTGCAATATGTTCTAAAACGTCTCGAGCACTTAAAAGTTTAGGCAAAACCATGATTTCCACCTCTCTTGCTTATACAATCTTCCATAATTTAAAACCCACTAGCATTGCGCCTCTCCTAAAATAACGTCTGAATCACTATGCACGTCATTGTTATCAATGTAGATCCTAACGAACATATGTTAAATTCGAATGGACTAATATAGGAAAAAAAGGAATTTAGAATTTTTGTTGTTACAATAAAATAGAATGGCCATTTAATTTGTTGCTAGTTTTGCATCGGTGTTACAAAAAAGAGGTTCTCACGTCATATAAACAAAGAAATGCCCCACCCGAAATTTAGTTCCATTTCCTTGCTTTCTTATAAATATATATTCTCAGAACAAATCAACAAATCAAATGCCATATAGAAAGTCGTACACATTTGGTCAACATTGTGAAGCAAAATCAATACGACTAGCCGACTAGGTTATTATTTTGATTGGTTATATCAATAAGGTACATACCAAGACTCTCTATATATATGATAATGTACTTTGGAGAAGTCACATATTAAAAAAAAAAAAGAGAGCGAACAACTAGCCATTCACAAATAAATAAAAGAGATTAAACCTTTGTTTTTGCCGGCGATCATGGCTTACACAAACAAAGTTACGACAGCGGCTGCGGTTGCGACAGTGGTGCTATTTCTAGCGGTTACGATTGTTGATGCACAGTCAATGCCGCCAATGCCAAAACTGAATCCTTTTTGTGCGGTGGTGGATCTCCCAAAGACCGTCGAAATTTGTTACTTTAACTTGGAATTGGTGGCATCTGAAGAATGCTGCAATGATCTCAAATCGGCGAGCACGGTAAAAGTGACTTGTCTCTGCGACAATTTCATTGCACATCCTTCCTACGCCAATATCACGCGAACTCGCTACGACCTAGTCCACACCTCATGTGGTGTTGCCGACAAATTCGCATGTAAAGGTATGTAATTTATTTTTTAGGATTTAATCTCTGATTTTCATTGGCTTTTCCTTTAATATTGTTCAAACTACTACATTATGGTTTCAATAGACCAAGTTTAGACATATACTATTCTACCATTACTAATTACGCAAGATTTTTTTGGTTTCAAATTAGATGATTTTTTTTTTTTTTTTTGCTAACTCATGTAAATATCATAGATATGAAAAGTCAGGTTTTACAGGATATGTTAAACCTATACATATGATTCCTTGGCAAAAAAGATAAAACAAGGAAATCACAAGATTCTGGGAAAGATCTGTGTAGATTTTATCGCAGCCAAAACGCCATTAATTTTCTGAAATTGCGTCTGATTCTTCTAGAGGTGATGATGTTCTTGATGTCCCGATCGATGCATCTGAAAATTGTGGCCGGCGGTATTGAAGTCTGATTGTGGAGGACGTTGTTGCGTTGTTTCCAAATGTGGAAGATGGCGGCCTGAACAGCTAGCTTCCGGAGGATTGAAGGAGCGGCATGTGAATGGTGTCTTGTCCAGGAGAGGAGTTCAGACCAAGAAAAGAAGACTCCATGAAGATGATCTAGCCTTGACCTCACTAAACTCCAAATTTCCTTTGCAAAGTCGCAAATGATGAACAGGTGATCTCTAGTTTCCACAGAAGCAGAGCAAAGACAACAATCAGTGGTAATGTTCAAGCCCCAGGAGGCCAATCTCTGTCTTGTGGGAAGTCTATTTAAATGAGCAACCCACATGTTAAAGGCATGCTTAGGTACTGCTCCTTTAAACCACACTGAACTGACCCAATCCTTCTCTTCCTGTCTTGGCCTAATTACATCCCAAGTCTTTGCAGCAGAAAAAACATGAGAGCACTTACCATTGATTTCCCAAGCATAAGAGTCAGCAGCCTGAGAAGAGGATGGTAGTTGTAAAGTGGTAAGATGAATCTGAAGAGAAAGAGCACTGTCAGATCTTGGTGCTGCTAACTCCCAACCATTCTCATTACAACTGGCAGCCACGGTGCTACATAAAGGCAGTCTCAAGTTCCTGGGACCATCGTCACCCAGCAGCTTAATGATTGGGCCAAGAGGAGTCCAGTGGTCAAACCAAAAGCTAGTACTACGCCCATTACCCACCTTGCATCTAATGAAATTCTCAGCAAGAGGCCTAAGCTTTAAGAGGGAGTTCCAAGTCCAAGAGTTTTGATTTGATTCCTTAACAGCCCAGAAAGAATTACCTCTTAAATTGTGATGCTTGTGCCAATCTGCCCACAGTGAGTCCTGATTTGAGAAAAGCAACCAAACATATCTGAGACACAGCGCTTTGTTCCAAGTTGCAAATCTCCTTAGGCCTAGACCGCCCTCCACCTTTGGAAGACAAACACTGGACCATGCCACCTTAGCTCCCTTTCCCTTGTCAATATTTCCAGCCCATAAAAACCGTGAGCAGAGAGACTCGATCTTTTTAATGCAGCCCTGAGGGAGAGTAAAAGTGGTAATCCAGAAATTAACAACTCCATAGATTACAGAGCTTAATAACTGCAGCCGACCTGCAAAGGAAAGTGATTTTACTGCCCAATTTCTGAATTTGTTTGTTAGCTTATTGATGAGAGGCTCATATTCAGAAATCCGCAATTTCCTATGCATAAGAGGGAGCCCTAGATATCTGATGGGTAAAGAACCAGCCGGGAAACCATAGCTAGACATAGCAGCAGATTCCAAGGAGTTCACACCCGCAGAAAACAGTTGAGTCTTGTCCCTATTCATACACAGGCCAGACCAGCTCGCAAAGTCGTCTAAAGCTTCAGTAATGCCATGCAAAGAGGAACTACCACCATCGAAGAAGATCATGACATCGTCAGCAAACATGAGATGGGAGATATTAAGTTCTGCAGTCTTTGGATGATATCGAATGTAACCTGCATCAAATCTTGATCTCAGAAGACTAGAAAAGACCTCCATTGCCAAAACAAACAGGTAGGGCGAAAGTGGGTCTCCCTGCCTTAGACCAGTTGTGCTCTTGAAAAACCCACCAGAGCTGCCATTAACACAAATCGAGAAGGTGGGAGTGGTGATACACTGGGAAATCCAACACACAAACTTCTCAGGGATATTCAGAGCTCTCAAAGCTGATAAGATGAAATCCCATCTAACAGTATCAAACGCTTTCCGCAGATCAACTTTCAACATAGCTCTTGGATCGATGTTTTTCCTATTGTATCCATGGACAATCTCCGTGGCGAGCAAGACGTTCTCACCTAGGAGTCTTCCAGGCATGAAAGCAGACTGAGAAGAGGAGATTACCTCGATGAGGATAAGCTGAAGCCTTTTGGCTAGAAGTTTTGAAACAACCTTGTATAAGGTGTTTAGACAAGAGATTGGTCTGAACTCAGAAGCTTTTGAAGCGTTGGAAACCTTAGGAATTAGCACCAGAGAAGTAGCGTTCCATTGCTTAAGCATAGATCCTGTGTTGAAGAATTCTGAGACAGCCTCTACCACTTCTGGCCCCACAATGCTCCAGCACCCATTAAAGAATTCTGCGGAATACCCATCGGGACCACAAGACTTGTTCCTAGGTAGAGAGAAAAAAGCATCTTTAATTTCCTCGTGAGAAAACCTCAACTCTAGCCTATCACTCTGAGCTTGGGAACAACGGAAAGGGAGCAGCAGGTTCATATCACTTTGAGTAAGCATACTTGGCCCAACATCACTTCCCATTAAGTTACTGAAAAAATTTACACAATGATCTCTGATGCCTTGTTGTGAGTCAATTCTAGAGCCACCGTCTTCCTGAATAAAGTGGATGTGATTTAAGGCTTTTCTAGTGGCTGCCATTCTGTGGAAGTAGGCAGAATTACTATCACCATCTTTCATCCAAGAGACGCTTGATCTTTGGCATAAGAAGGATTCCTCCGCCTTAGCGAGAAGAAGCCATTTCCGTTGTGACTCAAATTCACTCTCTGCATTTGCCTCAGATGGGTTTCGCATCAATCTATTCTGCGCAAAAAGCAGCTGCTCATGTGCCTCAGAAACTCTTTTCTCAATACCAGAAAAGTTTTCTTTGCTAAAACCTCTTATCTCTTTCTTTAAGAGCTTCAGTTTCTTCGAGCACCTAAACATGGCAGATCCCACCACATTAAATGAAAACCAATGGTTGCAGATTAAAGGTAGAAATAAATCACTCTGGAGCAGGTAGTTGTAGAACTTGAAAGGCCGAGAACCCCTGGTGCTTAACGTCTCAAGAGCAACACTACAAGAAGCATGGTCCGAAAAATCGGGTTCTCCAAACATAGCAAAACTAGAAGGGTATTTCAAGGACCACAGCTCATTCACCAAAGCTCTGTCAAGCTTTTTAGCAACTGGATTGCTCTTTGATTTGTTCCACCACGTATAGGTGCTGCCCTTGAAGACCATATCAGTTAAATCAGCATCCAACAAGCAATCCCTGAATCTCCTTGTCTGAATATCAACATTTAGGTTCACAGGCCTAGAGTGCTCATTAGGGTGAAGAGATTGGTTAAAATCTCCTAACATCAACCACGGCTTACCCATAACTCTAGGAGAGTTAGCAGCCTCCACAATCTCAAGCCAAAGAGCATTCCTGAGAATAACATCATTTGAAGCGTACACAACAGACACCACACACCAATCCTTCGAGTCAGGTAAAAGAACCTCACACGTGATCATTTGCAGAGACTTAAATAGAACTACCACCTTCACACTTTGATGCCACAAAATCCAGATCTTTCCCAAGTCTGAAAAGCCATAATTACTCTCAAAAGACCAGCCGGGAAGTAAGCCATCTATAAACTTCTTCATCTTCGGCTCTTTTACATGAGTTTCTATTAAACCACCAAAAATAGGCCTGCAGCCTTTAAACCATTTTTTAAATCCGCTTCGGTGACTAAGTATATTGAAACCGCGGACATTCCAGCAAAAAATTTGTGTACACATAAATTATGTGACAGTGAGGCCCTTGCCTCTACTTCCTTTGTTACCTTTCCGTTGTCGCTTAGACAACACTTCTTCAAAACCCGAGTAGTCGTCCTCCAAACAACCAGAATCCTCTGATTCAGATGACAAAATATCGGAGGAGTCTTCATCAGCCTGAGATGATTTACCCTCTGATGGTGTCTGATCTTTATTCTGGGTAATAACTCCCTTACCAGAACATGATCCTTTCTCAATTGCATTAAACTCAAACGCCTTGGCAGTAGGATTGGCAATTACTGCTGGTTGTATCGCCTTAGGGACATACACCATATCATGCCTTAACTCTTTCCCTCGCCTCTGTCCCACAACCGGATCCTTTGAAAGGGAACGTTTTTGGTACCTTTTCTTAGGAGGAGCTGTCCTTTTCCTTGGACAGTTTTCGAAAGAATGAGCAGTAGAATTACAGGGCACACAAGATATAGGCGCCAATTTACAACGTTTACGGCTATGGCCTATTTCCTTACAGTGCTCGCAAACCGGTGGCATCCAGGGACTAGAAACAAGTACTCTCCTAATCTCCCCAGAGTCAAACTGAACATTTACGGCCTCAGGAAGCGGTTTCCTCGGGTCGATTATAGTGAAAACTTTTGCGACTTCCAGGTTGGTCTTGTTCGCAGTAGACGGGTGTAGGAACTTGGGATCTCCAACCAGGCTTGCGATACGTTCGAGACCCTCATCATTGAAAAATTGAAACGGAACCTGTCGGAGCTCTAACCAAATTGGTGCAGAGGTGAGTTGCGGTTTCATCGGGACCACTCCTGGTTCCCATTTGGCGACAAACATTGTCTGCCCCTCAATTTGCCATAGTTTTTGATTTATAACTCTAGCTCTTGTGGCAGCATTCGGAATCCTGAACAGAAAAGCATTCCCATCCATCTTGGAAACTGACACATCTCTATAGCTTCGACTCCAGATGCCGTTCAGTATGTTGTGAAGAGTTCCCTGAGCTGGAGGTTCTGAATAGAACTGCCCGAGAACAAAACAATCCCATGATTTCTTGTTCTTCTCAATCACCGAATTAGGGATCTTAACACAAGACTCGCCTGAAGGGAGAGTAAATCCTTGACCCGATTTGCGCAAACCCTTCGCTGTGCCTTTAACATGGTCTACCCACGAAACCTGAGGCATAGAGCTTGGAGCAGCAATCGTTTCTGTGGTCGCCGGAATGGCAGCAAGCACCGGAGCAGATGACAGGGGAGTAGTGACCTCGGCAATAGCCGGCTCCTCTGGTGAAATCGACGGCCCTGAATGAGCTACAACAGTAGCAATGTCAGAGGCGACACTTGAAACTGGATCTAACACTGTTGAGGGTTTCAGATCCGAGGTGGAATTGGCCAAGTCCGTCACTAAGACAGTCGATTGGGCAATAGATTTGGAAGTGGAAGCAGAATCCGGCGAGCCAGATCCATCACTGTTTTTCGAGACGGGAGAGGAAGACGGAACCGGAGAAATGGAACCGCGAGACTTTGAAGGAGAAGGCTTCTTCGGTTTCTTTGGTTTCTTCCTCATGAGGAGAGGAGGGCCTAAAAGGAGGGGCGGACGAGGAGCCTCACGCCGTGAAAGGCGCCGGCGCAGGAGAGAAAAAGACGACACCTTTATCGCCTTTAGTCGCCGCCAGAGAGAGAAAAAGACGACTGAATGTTTGCCTTTTTAGGTTGGTTGAAATTAGATGATTATGCATGTAGATTCTTAATTATGGTGATTAGTTGATTTTTGTTTCTTTGTGTGGTAAAGGAGGAGAAAGCGGAGGGTCAACGAACAAGATTGCTGTATCCATGGGTCTCTTTGGTTTGGTTGCAAGTTTGTTCTTTTAATTTATTTCTATTTGGCCTTTCAAATTCTATGTAATTCCGTGAGATCCCGGATATATATAAAAGAAAGATGTTATAAAGGAAATGTTCAAACCCGCTAATCATATTATTTGTTTACACATCATCACACCTACATATTTATTAATATGATTTTCAGCGAAAAACCTTTATATCGCTATTTTTGCAACTTTATACCCTTAATCTTCAAATAATGCATGTTACTTTGACGAAATAATAAAATAATATGTAATATAACCCGTCGTTATCACCGTCAAGTTTGTAACATATTCATAAATAATATATCAAATCGAAAACTTCAAAAAGAAAAAAGTAATCAAGCCCACCTTTAGAATTTTGAAAATCAAATGAATATGACCGTAAACCCTTTTAGTTGGTATATGAGAGTTCTACGTAGAAGGCAAAGTTGCAAATATACTATGTACTATTTTTTATTTTTATATAATTAATCTGTAAAATATTTTAAAAAATAGAAGGTAAAGTTGCAAAAAAATAGCGACTATAAGGTTATTTTTGGCATAGAATTCTGTTCATATGTCTATAATTCATTAAAAGTTTGAAATTCATTCAAATATAATGTTATATTAGATCCTCATAGAATAATATACGTTCATGAAAATACATTCATATTTCTTTTAAAAACTACTTGAGCAATTCAAATTAAACAAACAAAAAAAATAAACAATAGTATTTGATCAATTAAAAATACATTAGCAGTTTTGTATCATGTGTCAACCCCACGAGAGACTTACTGGGCAAAATACTTTTTTTTTGCTAAGCAACTGGGCAAAATACTTCCACTAGTAGTACATATGGTTGAATATGTACTAGTGGGTTCAAGGTCAAACCATGCTTGATGCAATATCTTTGCTGGCCGGAATCTTATTCCGAAAGGGTCAAGAGAATGTTGGGTAATGGACAGACCATTAACGTGAGAACAAATTAATTTCTTGTTTTGATTAATAGTATCAATAATGTACATAAGTATACATTCGACTATTCAAAGACTTCTGTATATGTATGTATATGATATAATCTACTTTTGAGTTTTGAGTAGTCACATGCGAAAACAAAAGTGGGGCTAATAGTCATTTAACATAAAACCCCTTTTTTGAGTTTGCCGGAGTTGGATAATCAATATTAAAAAGAATTCAAAATTTATTAGAATCCGTGGTAAGAAAAAGGCGAGATTGTTAAGCCATGGGTCCTGTAGATTCTTAATTAGTGCAATTTCTTTTTGTCAAAGATAAAATTTGTTAATTAGTGGAATTGTAAACAAGACTTATGGTGATTTTTTGGTATCTAATTGATTTCGGTTTTATGTGGCAAAGTAGGCAACTCTAATGGGCCTTTTTGGTTTGGTTGCCAGTCTCTTCTTTTAATTCATTTCTACCAAATTTTGTGTAATTGTTCTTGTCTTCATTTTTGTTTGTTTTCAAATCTGACTACTCGAACATATACATTTAGTTGATTGCATCTGTAACCAATTGGTTTGAATTCTTTACTTAAAAAAAAACCCATTTATTTGTTCCTAATCTGTATAAAAAGAAGAAAAAAAGAAATATGTTGAGAAAAAAAAAACCAACACATCATCATTATTCATTAGCGGAAAACAAGAAATTGAAGAATATGTATACGAAATATGTTGAAATCATCACGTATGCGAAAAGCTTGGTAAGAACCATCGAGCAGAGAGTTCGAGTAACATACAATCAAAATCAAATTTGTGCAGTAGCTCCATCTTCTGTGTCTCGAGATTGAAAAGAAAGAGATCTTTTGTGGTCGTGTGATCATGACTATCACTGAAATATATAGAATTTCTATTGAGTCCCTCAACTTCATTGGCGAGCACAGTGATACCTAGATCCAAAAGCATTGCCTCGTCGCCCAAAAAATCAACTAGTTCATAGTTATGAATGAATGTCCCTAATGAATAAAACTTGTAGACGTTGAATGACTGGATTCTAGACCTAGGTCTTAACATTCTTTCAACCAAGAGGACATCCCCGGTTACTGTGACTACAAGTTTTCTCTCAGCAAAACACCATAGATCCCTAAATAGACCACCAGGAGGACTTAATGCCTCAAATAAATCACCAAATGGAGACATATAACATTGAAAGGTTTGTTGAGGAATCTCTCCAGAAAAATCAAAGATTGTGAAAAGATTTCTCATCACTCTGTAGCTAAATGAGTAAAGCTTGTGATCCTTGTAAACCATGTCAAAAGAATCTAACATTTCTGGAATTTGTTTCCACAACTTATCTCCTTTCTTGGAATAAACCACACACAAAATTCCAAGTCCCCATATAACTACGTAATCTTTGGTTTTCTCGTCAATCCAAAACACAGAATTATTACCTTTGAATAACCTAAAGTGGTTCTGATGGATGGAACTTCACAATAACTCAAACAAGTTGCAGGAGAAAAAAAAGCAAATGATACATTTCCACAGTAAACGCAACCAACCATTCTTAAGAAAAATAAAACACCAAGATCCAAACAGAGATAAAACAATATTAACAATGACAAAAGTGCAGTATCAGTTAACAGACAACACAAGTTAGCTACCAGTAAATATCATGGAAAATGTATTCAAGCTGTCTATCACTACTCCAGCTCAGTACTCGGGTTGATTTCTGTTTAAAAGGCCAAAAATCAAACTTCAGTTGCCAAACCACCCACGTAAATACTCACACACACAACTCAAATGAGACCACACATTAAGCTAAATCCTATCTGATTTTATGAAAGCTCAAGGAAAATGTGTTGATGAAACAACAAATGAAGTATGTAGAAATTAGCAATGGTACTCTAAATCATCTTAATTCTTAACCATTCTTGACACTGTGCAAGGACAATCATAACCATTCTCGACACTGTGCAAGGAGAATCAGAACATTTAGAACGGGAATGAGATTACCCATCACGAAAGGATCAAGCTTTACTTGTAAAACTCAAAGTATAACACAATTCAAAAGCAACTACACAGAATTGTTCCTTTACCTGAGTGAATTGGAGAGAGAGAGCCGACCAGTTTCTCTGCAAGATCTCTAAGCAAAGCTTCAATCCCACGAACAATAAAGAAACCCTTTCCGATTGATTCTAAAGATACCCTTTTCGATCGAAACCCTTTTTCACCAAGAACAACTGAGAGACAAAGCAATGGACATCGCAGCAAATTGATTCACCGACATTGTTCTTTAGGTTCATTTATTTCAGAGAAAACCCATTTAATAAATGAGCTTAATTGGGTTAACCCATTTAACCAATTAAAACAATTTTCTATAAATGGGTCTAAATGGGCTATTTATTTAACCACATACCCATTTAACTAAATGGGCAGTGAAACCCATTTTAACATCACTATGAGTAGTATATAAGGGATATGGGCCAATTCTCTCATAGCTAATAGGTTTTGAGTTGGAAACCCATAAAACTTAACATGGTATCAGAGCCTGAACATACGCTGGCCAGTTAATCCGGCCCGGAAAGAGGTCCGATCACCCCTCTAATTGATGGCCCAAAGGAAGGCTCAATTCCGTCAAGATAGCTAGAAGAGCATTATCTCGAGGGGGCGTGATGGATTCTGTCGAGATTAATGGCTAAAATAACCATTATCTCGAGGAGGCGTGTGAAGAAAGATCCTACATTGGAAAGATGGGAAGGGACTTGAGTATTATATAAGGGATATGAGCCAATCCACTCATTGCCAATTGATTTTGAGTTGGAAGCCCATAAAACTTAACAGTAATGAACTTCTATATGTAACCATGATGGCATGATCATTGTTCTTAACTTTGATTGAAATACTTTAATTACTTGCATTGATGATGACTAATGAGCGTTTACGTATCATTGAGGCTGCCACAGAGAAGATGAGGAAGGAGGGTGCACTTGATTCAAACCTCAACCTTGGTGTGATAGGTTTGTGACTCAAATTTTCATTCAAACCTCAACCTTGCCACACACGCTTCTATCATATGTCCTAATTTTTTTTTTTTTTTTTTTGTATTGCTTCTTGAACCAGAAACTATAATTTGGATATTAAATTTTTAAAATTGGAATATCCTGAAATTTAAAGATATTTATCCGGTATCGAGTCACCGTCAGATTTCTTATTCCAAAATTCAAGTTTGCAAACTGTGGCCGCAGGTCAACCAATGCTTACCATCCACATTGGTTAATTTTGTAAAGGTGTCTTAATAATGTTTTAATACTAGATGTTAACCCGCGGTGTACCGCGGGTCTATATTTTTTTTAGAAAAATTTATTAAATTTTGTTTTAAGATACTCTATAGATATATACTATTGTTTTGTTTTTAAATGTATAATACACCGTGAGACGAAATTTTATAGATAGACGTAGTATAAAAACAATAGATTCAATTGTATGATTTTGAATAAGATGCTGATTTAACCCGTCTTATACTGATTTTACCCGCGGTATACCGTATGCTAAATTTTAAATAATAAAATGAGGATTTAATATGTGTTATAGCGATGTATTAGTGATATTTTAAATTTATATTAATATCAATCCTAACCAAACCCGTGTCATTCAATTCGTCCCGTAATATTTAAAACTATTTTATAAAAACTCAAAAACCATAGCTAAATGGGCAAACAAAAGCCAAAAAATTTATTTATATCAATTAGAAATTTTTGAATTTAATTAGAAAAGATTGCTCCATAATTTTAAATCTTACGTATTTAATGTATTTATGAAGATTTGATATTTGAATTTATTTGAGAACATTACTTATTTTTAGCAATTTCAGAAAAAGACATGGGTTAAAGCTTGAACTGATCCGATAATTAAGGTCTGAATTAATAGTTTTGCACCGGCCTTGTTATTTTATTTGTATTTTCTAATTATTTTATCACTATTCAAACCTTAATGATCCATGTAATTAACACTAACCTATTATTGTTAAATAATCACAAATATTAAAAATAATATGTTTAGAACTGCCATGAAAAAAAATTTAAGTATGCAACTTTCATTAGTTTACATAATGAAAAAATAAACACATGGAGTATTAGAACCCAATAACAAAGAATCATGTCTACCAATTTTGTAAAGACCTACAAAGCCCAATTTGTTTTTATTTAACTCTCTCATATACCCAAAATGAAAAACTTAGAAACGGAAAGTTCAAACTCAATCATCGGTGGTTTAGCAGATGAAGTCACCGTCGTTAACGGTCACAGTAACGGCTCCGTCGATCTGAGCCTTGTTTCTTCAAAGCTGCAGCAAAACGCATGGATCTACTCTCCATGTAGCGTATCAAGGAGTTCCCGGCGTGTATTTTGAAGCTACCACCGGAAGAGCATATCCGAAATCTGAAGATATTCGGTGTGATCAATTCGATGTTGCGTTTCAGGCGGTGGAGCTTTGGATCGCCGATCGTCTTGTTTTGCATATCGAAACCTAAAGAATTACGATCTCCTCCTCGTCACCATCTTCACATCGTCGGCGAGGTTTAGATCCCGGTTCACCACTGTCTCCTAGCTCTTCCCGAAGTCCGTACAGATTGAATCACGTCTGCGATTTCTCATTTTCTGTAAAACTGGTGAGTTTTTATTAGACTAATGAAAGGTATTTATAATGTTTTGAGAATAATATAGGGTTTTGGGTGAGTGAGTTCCTAAAATCTTGCTGATCAAGTACACAATATCTTCAAAATCTTTTATTTTTGGAATTGAGTAATTTTCTTGCAAATCTCGAAAAAAAAAAGAAATATAGGAAAGATAATTATGAGTAATTAGTTGGGATGACAGCCAATGGTAGAGATTTTAGAAGGAAAGCGAGAGATTTTTGGCAACAATTTTTGAACGTAACATCTTTGATTTGGGAGAGATTTTTGGAATATGCTTATACCGAAATATATGTGTAATTATCTACATTAATGACGGGTTTTTTTAGATTTCCTTAAATGTCTTATCCAAGATCCGGATATAGTAAAACCGAGTAAAACCCGGATCCAAATTATTAAAAGCAAAAAGCCCCTGCAAAAATATATATGTAGATTGTTATTTTGATTTTAAATTTATTGCAATTTAAATGGGCAATTGCCTATATTTAATCTGTTATTGTAAAAGAAAAATGACATAGCTTATTATTAGAATATTAAACAAATTTATTAACATAATATATATATATATATATATATATATATATATATATACTGTTAAAAAAATAAATACGTTTTTTTCTATATAATTTCATAATATATGTATATATTGTTAAAATCTGGACATTTATTATGAGCATAAATATGAAAACGATTTTCCATTAAAATCGACTATTTATTAGGGTCATTAATATGAAAGATATTAAGACAACATGGCTTCATTTATTAGTTTGAAATTAAGACAACATCCCTTAAATTGCTAATCCAAGATCCGAATAGACTAAAACCCGGGTCAAACCCGGATCCAAAAGAATTAAAGCAAAAAAGTACTATAAAAATGTATATGTAGATTAAATTTAATATTATGACCAATCATGTAATGACACCTAAGGTGTCTCAAACAATAAAAAATGTCTGTAAAGAGACACTTTGCTAATAAAGAGACACTAGAATTTAACCCGCGGTATACCGCGGGGCTATATTTTTTTTAAAAATGTAATGTTATTTTTTAAAATATTAACTGAAGATATATCATATTAATTTGTATTTTTAAATGTAGATATCTATCTATCAATTTTTGAAGTATAGATACGAAAACATACATTTTTTTTAAGTAACGATGTATGGTGGATTTTAAAATTTTGAATATTTTACTCTGCAGTATACCGTGGGTTGGTTTTTTATAACTAAAAATTTTAAATTTAAGTTGGATTTCTTTTGTTAATATTGTTTATTTTGTTTTGTGTTTAAGATTGTATAATTGTATTTTGATTGTTAATTTTAGGATTTCATCCGTGATATACCATTATTTATTAATATCGACCCAAACCCGTCATCCCATATAAATCCGTCTATATTATCTCGTTAGCTAAATGATTAGTATTATAAAATCCAAGAAAATAAATTATTATTGTTATAAAATCTAATAATTTTAGGATCTCACCCGTATTATACCGTTCTTTGAACGATTTTAAATTTATACTACTAATATATATTTTAAATTTATCATATAAAGTATATGATTTCAAGTTTTTGTGTGTTTTTTTAAATTTAAATAAAACAACGGCTTGAATGATGATAGATATAGTTCTTTTTCCTGTATGTGTATTTGATTTTTCTATGTGAATATTTTGATTATTATAAATTAGTATTTTTATTGCTATGCAAAATGTTAATATATATATTTGCTATAAATTTTTGTGAAGATATATGGAAAGATTATGTAGAGATTTTTAGAAACAAATTAGGCAAGATATTGTTTGGTTAATATTTTTTATTTAAATTTTGTAAAAGTAATAATAAATACCAATGACATTCTTTGTAAATACTGTCCAACCCCAGGATTTATTTGCTAAAAGTGTTCCAAAAATGTATATATAGACGATTGTCTTTGTTCATACATTTTTTCTTTAATTTTTATTATATTTTAATATAAGACACCCAATTTTTTTTGTCCAATGGAGTTGCTCGACACAAAAATTGGTGGCTTACACGAGTTTTTACCTGGTCTGTTTGACTCTAATGAGTCTAGAAGTGTAATTGGCCGAGCTCAAATTGTAATTTTTTTTTCAAATGCAAAACATTCCTACATGCGGGCAAACATTCATATTTGAAGCCTAATTAATTTTTTTAACATAAATGAGAAAAGATTTTCAACGGAACCAAGGAAAAAAAAACGACACAAAGGAAACAAACCTCCGAGGGAAGATGATGGAGAAAGATCAACAATGTTTGAGAAATCGTGTTCCAAACAACACCTAGTTATATAATACACAGTACAATTCACATTTAGAATTAAAATAAACATGTTATTTATAAATATTTTTTTAAATTCAACTAAAGTTCAAACCAAAGCTCGGCCCAGCCCATAGCACTATAATTTTAAAGTTTTTTCTCCGGGGAAAGCACTAATAGGATTCTGTGAGCTATAAAGCACTAATAGGATTCTGTGAGCTATAAAGTAAGGCCCATAATACACACGTCATATTAGTGACGTCATAATATTATTATGGTTCTCGATTCTATAAGCTAAAGTACAACCAGGATTCTGTGGGCCAATGACACTGCCTCCAGAGAAAGCCACAAGTTAATAAACTTTTATTTGATATTCAAATCATATAAAAATAGATTGAAAAAAAAAGGGACCTTTGCTGAGAGAGCCTGACATTGGTTGGATAATTAGAGTCGTTGGATCAGAGTGTGTTGTGGGTTTATATTTTAGTGCTCACCAGCTACAGCTCTCTGACACTCTCTTTCTCTCAACGCGGTTTCGTGTCACCTTCTTAACTCTTGAGTTATTATTAACCAATCCCACTTTTATATTTTGGAATTTGGTAGATGAGAGATTTATATTTCGTTGCACCAAGAAAATAAATATTCGATTTTAAGTTAAAAAGTAGTATATACTAAAGTTTAAGATTTTTGTTTTCTTCTAAAAAGATATGCAAATAACTTAACAATTTTACCACACGTCACTAATATGACATATTGACTTTGACTTGTCCATATATTCCTGGTTGTACTTTTATTTCACAGATTCTTGTACTCCGTGAAGATCACTTGAGTTCAACGTGAGTTATAATTTGATACAAAAGTAACTTACCAATTATCAAAAAAAAAAAACTATTGAATACTTTGTTACCTAATTGACTTTTAGAAAATACTATACTGTAGTCCCTTAATTCTATGATTTAATTGTGCTAGTTCACATATTAACCCTTAGGGTTAGGGATTAAAAAAAAAAAAAAAGACAAAACTCAAGTATCCCAATGTCTGAAGGGAAAATATTTTGACTCTCCTCGCCGTTTGTTTATTCTTCTCAACGAAGGAAAAGAAAAGAAAACTCTTTTCCAAGTCATGGCGGATCGCTCCGGATCACAGTCCTCCGTCGTCATTACCATGAAGGTGACCACTACTCCGGCGGCACATTTAGCTTTCACCAACTTGGCTTACTGCTCACTCTCTGATCTCTGTCAATTCGCCGTTCCCGGCACCGATCTCTTCCTCGCCAACGTCGCTGACGTCTTCATTCTATCGTTCTCATATCCTTTTTTTAATCTTACCTCTGTTTTAAAATTTTATTAGCTAGTACCTTATAATGCGATCTCTTTTAATAAGTAGATTGTTTTCTCAAGTGACACATGTTGAACTACCTCACTTGTTTAAGTTTTTGAACTGTTTGTTTGGTCGGTGAGCTTTATTTGTATCAATGCCCTACTATTGTCTCCCTGGGTACTTAATTTTTGTTAGTTAACTTAACTGTTACATACTGGACACGAGAATATCCATGATGGAACCATTGCTCTAAATGCTGTTCAACGAAGACATGCTAGAGTTTCTGCTGATGACATGGTAACCATCAGCAGGTAAATTCTCACTCTGGCGGGCCTTAAGATTTTATTTATTTGTTGGTCTCTAAAGACTGTCCTGTTCTTGCAGATTCATTCCTCCTGAAAATTTTGACCTGACTTTGCTGGCACTTGAGTTAGAATTTGTAAAGAAGGGCACTAAAAACGAACAGGTATGCATTTTTGTGACACCTGTGGTGATCCGTGAACATCTTATGTATGATATTATCTTTCAGGTTGATGCTGTGCTCCTTTCAACCCAACTCAAGAGGAAATTCATTAATCAGGTAAAGTTTTGAACCATTGCTGCGTATGCTGTGCTGACTTTATGTGTCCTAGCTCCTAATATATATGATTTGTATACACTAAGACCATGTAACTAAGAGGCATATAAAATAAATCAGGATGCATTATTGTTAATCTACATTCTTTTCCAATTTTGCGCAATATGCACATGGATTTTTTCTGTGTGTTTTTTGGTACTAATCACATTTTTCTTCTGCTGAAGATTGGTTTCTCAATGAATGTGTTTTCCTTGTCTCGCTCGCATTTAAAACATTTGCATGATTTATTGCATACTTATATATGCAGGTCTTGACAGTAGGCCAGAGAGTTACATTTGAGTATCATGGAACTAACTACATTTTTACGGTCAATCGAGCGGTTACAGAGGGGCAAGACCAGTTTAATGGTATAGAAAGAGGGATAATCTCCAACGATACATATTTTGTGTTTGAAGCATCAAATGCAACTGGGATAAAGGTCTGGTTTTGATCAATTCCCTTGGTAGTACTTTTTTGTTTGGTTCTGACAATACCATCCAACCAACATTTATCTTGTTTGAATTTGTCAAGGCAACTCGTGTTACTTGCTAAAATCTGATTTCATATACAGATTATCAACCAACGAGAGGCTGCTACTAGCAAAATATTTAAAGAAAAGGAGTTTAACCTTCAGTCCCTGGGTATTGGTGGCTTAAATGCAGAGTTTGTTGATATATTCCGAAGAGCATTTGCTTCTCGTATATTTCCTCCTCATGTCAGGAACAGGTCTTGTGATTCGTTCTTCAAGCAGATTTTGTCAGTTATTGCTGCTTGTAGTCCTTTAAAGTTTCTATTCTTTTGATCTTGCAGATTGGGGGCAAAGCACGTTAAAGGGATGCTTCTTTTCGGACCTCCTGGTACTGGCAAGACCTTGATGGCACGTCAAATTGGAAAAATGCTCAATGGAAAGGAGCCAAAGGTATATTCCTACACAAATGTGTGAGGCTGTTCTGTGTTGGCTTTATTCAACAAGTATAGATCATTTTTTTTTCTTATCTTCACATCATAGATCGTGAATGGTCCTGAGGTGCTAAGTAAGTTTGTCGGTGAGACAGAAAAGAATGTAAGAGACCTGTTTGCTGATGCTGAGAACGACCAGAAAAACCTTGGTGCGGAAGATTCTGTTTACCCTGACTTGTGCTATCATGTTTTCCTTTTCTTGCAAGTGTGCTAATTTGGCACTCTTATTAAACTTTTATTTTCAGGTGATGACAGTGAGCTGCATGTCATTATTTTCGATGAAATCGATGCTATTTGTAAGGTACACGACTATATTAAAGCTGCTGTCAATGTTGACATTAAAACACTCGTGTTTTGTGAACAATCATAGCGTCTGATTTGTGAACAATGTTCGTTAATTGGTAGGCTATATGAGTTAAACTAAGTTGTAGAAATTGTATGTTTTCAGTCAAGAGGATCAAGCAGGGATGGCACAGGTGTCCATGACAGTATTGTAAACCAGCTCCTGACAAAGGTTAGCGCGTACGACCAAGCTATTGGCCTAAATTTACGTCTTTTATCTTTCCAGATGTGGCTAACACTTGTTATTATCCAGATTGATGGTGTGGAGGCCTTGAACAATGTTTTACTTATTGGAATGACAAACAGGAAGGATATGCTTGATGAAGCTCTTCTAAGGTCTCTGCCTCCTTGTGCTTATTAGTAGTCATTAACTCATTTCATTTATAAAGTATTTCCTATATTCACTTTGACAAGATGACATCAAAAGCTTATTATGTGTTTGCTTTTATATATGCATGAACTTTAGATTTGAGTTAGTGGACATAGATAATAATGTTTTGTGTTCTGCATGCCTACAGGCCTGGAAGGTTAGAGGTTCATATTGAGATTGGGCTTCCCGATGATGCTGGACGTTTAGAAATTCTTCAGATTCATACGAAAATGATGAAGGAAAATTCATTCCTTTCTCCTGATGTCAATCTCCAAGAGCTTGGTATGCTTTCATCGTTCATACTTGTTCATATCATTTATAAGAAAAAAAGAAAAAAACTTCCCAAATGCCCCTTTCATTTGTATTAATATTTAAAGTCCGCACATGGACAACCACAAGCATGTGTGACATAGAAATTTGTTATTTGCTAGCATAAAATCTGACTATTGAACTGAGTTGTCCAATATTTTTTTACTGAAAAGCTGCTCAGACGAAGAACTACAGTGGTGCTGAGCTTGAAGGTGTTGTGAAAAGTGCTACATCATATGCTTTGAACAGACATCTGAGCATGGAGGATCTTACAAAACCAGTGGATGAAGAGAATATCAAAGTTACAATGGAGGATTTTCTTCAAGCATTACGTGAAGTAAAGCCTGCATTTGGAGCCTCTTCAAAAGACCTTCAAAACTGCAGGTAAATTTGGTTGAGTCATTAATGTTCTTACTTGAAGTTCTCTTGCACATTATTTATTGATACTAGTTACTAGCACCTCAAAGTCCAGTCCTGATGTTTTTTCTTACCTAGAGCCTGCTTATGTTGCGTCTGAGATAGGTTTCATAGACAAAGATGGGCTGAGATTACTCTAGTTATAGATTTTCTTTTCTTATCTTTTACCTTATTGCTCTAGTTGTAGATTTTATTTGCCGTCAAATGCATTCATATTGATCTGCTAATGCTGGTATTTCCTATATTTACGACATATAATATAGACCCAAGGGATTTGTGGACTGTGGTGATCGGCAAAATCTCATCTATGAAAGAGTCATGTTTCTTGTTGACCAAGTTGTCAACGAAAGAAGTCCTCCAGTCACTTGCCTTCTTGAGGGACCTAGTGGAAGGTACCTTTACACTTTATTTTGAAACAACACATTTTCAAAAATAGAATATCTTTCAGTTTCTTAAAATTTAACTTTGTAAATTATAAACGCAAACGTCAACGGTAGGAAAAACTTCTGTTTGCGTTTGCGTATGCGTATACAATAAACAAAAGAAGTTTGCTTAAGATGTGAAAGGTTATGGATTCGTTTGGAAGAAAAAAAAACACTGAACACAATAAGCAAAGGCAAAGATAAACAAACATTAATTGAGGCCTATATCATATGTTTTGGCATGTTGTTTCTAGCGTTTCCTAATATCTAAGCTTCTTTGGCCAGTGGGAAAACTGCGTTAGCCGCGACCGTTGGCATGGACAGTAACTTCCCATATGTTAAAATAGTAAGTGCCGCTCTTTCTTTCATTATACTGGTTAGTTATTTTGGACCCTTATAAGTTGTTGACTCTTTTGTTTTTGTTTCACCACTTGGGCAGGTCTCTGCAGAGACAATGGCTGGTCTTCAGGAGAGCACAAAGTCTGCTCACATTGCCAAGGTCCTAGCTTCAAAGCCTGCTACTTGTTTATTTTGTGCTCTGAATGTCTACTAATTAACACTTGTTTTGGTGTGAATGATCAGGTCTTTGAGGATGCATACAAATCACCATTGAGCATTGTTATCCTTGACAATATTGAAAGGTGGTGCATACATTCCTACTCTTTCTTTCCTTCAAATACTTGATTGGTTTCATAATTCTTTTTTTTGTTTTCTATAACATTTGTAGGTTGTTGGAATACTCAGAAATTGGACCACGATTTTCAAACACGATTTTTCAAACATTGTTAATCTTTCTCAGTCAGCTTCCCCCGGAGGTATGTAATTTTAGTAATTTTCCTCTACGGTACAAAGTAACATTTGTCTAACTTGGTAAATGTTTTTTGTTGACAGGGGAGCAAACTTCTTGTACTTGGTACAACAAGTGAATTAACGTTCTTAAATGCCGTTGGTTTGCGTAAAGCTTTCTCTGTGACATACTCTGTTCCATTACTAAGGACAGAAGATGCTAAGAAGGTAATTTGTTTTCCTTGCAACTCATTTAGTTTTGGTTCCGTTGGAAATATTTTTTCATTCATGTTAGAGTTAGGTTTCTAAGTTCATTTTAAATTCCAAAAAAGGGTACTGCATATTTATTTGCTTTTTAATCCAAAGTTTTACATAGGAAAAATTATAATTATGTAAATGGGTCGCATGAAAACAACCTTAGTGTCTAACATGTTCTATGGTGCAGGTGCTGAAGCAACTAAACGTGTTCTCAGAGGATGATATCGAAGAAGCTTCCAAAGCCCTTAATGATGTATGTACTCGATCTCATTGTGTCTTTAACTATTACTTTTTTTATCAGAACTGACAAACAAAAGGCTCGTAATTATGAATTTCTCACATCTTTCGTAGATTCCAATCAAGCAGCTGTACTTTCTTATCGAAATGGCAGCCCAAAGAGATGGCAGGTCTAAAGAGACTATCTATACAAGGAAGGAGAAACTCAACATCACTCATTTCTTTGATTGCCTTGAAGAAGTTACCGGATATTAGCATCTGATTTTACAGTTGCACAAAACAGTAATTAATTTAAGACTCGAAGACTCATATTGCAAGAGCCTTGAGATGGCATTGCCGAGATTGGTTTGATTCTTATTGGATTATTAAACTCTATTTAACTAAAACGAAAAAGATTCTATTTATACATGTGGTTATGGTTTTATTTTAGTAATCATTTTTCTTATTCCAGAATTGATATATGATTCTTGTAGATGGAACTTTTCAACGGTATACTTGATATAGCAAATAGGGAGAGAGAAACAGAGAGTTGTCAAAATAAAACATTTACCAGTACGTACCAGACATTAATTAAACTATATGCATCAGATGATATTATCACCATACAATAAAGTAGTATATGCATCAAACCCATATCAGTAGAGTATAATTTGTCTTCTTTCTTGATATACGACCTAGTCCTCTGTCTTTCCTCGCCAGCAGCATCATGGAGAAGAGCTAGAGCTAAAATCATGGAGATTTAAAAGTATTTGTATCAGCTTGAAACATAAATTAAGAAATAACTCAAAATATATTGAAGCAAAATCATGGAAAATATATTAGCATGCATAATCTAGAAGCTTCTATTACGAAATGACTAAAAAAGTAAAATCATGGAAAAATTTAAAAAGCATAATAACTTAACTCAAAACTCATCAAAGCAAAAATGACTACCTTTCATTCTCACTTGCAGGTTTCACATCCAATTGTCAGCTTCAAACCTTGAGTAGTGGGATCTCCTCTGTTTCTCAACAGTTGTGTGGATAGAGCATTACCTTGAGCAAGTCGAACAAGAAGCTCAAGCTCAGGGCGATCATAGTTCACGGTTCGAGAAGCTGTCAAAAAATTGAAAATAAGAATTAGGACATAAGATATAAGCGTGTGTGCCTGAAGAAATGAATGGAAAATTTGAGTCACAAACCTATCACACCAAGGTTCAGGTTTGAATCAAGTGCACCCTCCTTCCTCATCTTCTCTGTGGCAGCCTCAAGAATTCGTAAGCGTTCATCATATCTGAGAGGAGAGGTAACATCAGCCTTTGATCTTGCACCAGCCATATTGTGTTTGGTGTTGTGAGTGTAAGGAAAAGCAAGAGAATTAATGAACTTGATCTGATAGACTTATGATCGATCTCAATGCGTGTATATATACAAGGCTACAAGTGTGGGTCATTTTTTCTAAACTTTAGGGGCAAACAAATAAACAAAACATAAAAACAGGACTGGTTAATTAATTAAGTTGAGAAATTATCCTCAAAAATATACAGCACAAGTGTGTATATTGAAGGTCACTTTCAATCTCTTTGCTCTGTAAGGGGTAATCGTGGAAGTAACTATCAATCTTTAAGTTTAAAACCGCCTTGAGAATAATCCTCAAAATGTATATCAGCTGAGGCATTATGGACTTATGCGTATAATAATTTCCTTAGCACACCCCGATTTAGAAACAAAAGAAAAATTTCCAAGGAAAATACAAACTAGGTTAATTGTCACATTCAACTTCAGCAGGAAAAGAAAGTTGTTTCTGATTTGCTGCACCCTCAGATTGCCCCATGTAGAAACTAGTTTGATACTGCAGATATGATATTAATTATCTGTGTTCACACACATAATTATATTGCTCCAGTTTGTATATATAATACGCCTAATTGTATACATACCCATGTGGATATTTATTCCTTGAGTAAGTGACATTTTTTGTTATCCAACTTGCTGCTTTATAAGAAAATTATCTGTGCATGAATTCTATCTACTATATATTACTTCATATACCATTACAAATATAATATTTACCTACACTATGTAAGTGGAAGAAGCTCAGAGAATGTCATTTTATATTTATTCATTGTCAATTATATTTGAGGGAAAAAACCATTTTTATCAAAGTCATCATATAGAATTCTAACAACGACGTTTGCATGTTAAGTATTTTTTTTAAAGGTGAAGGTAATACCAATTATTTACGTTTTATCTCTGTGACACCTATTTTATTTTATAACTTGGATTTATTAATCCTTTAATCGCAAATGCTTTCGTTTCTGTTTACTACTTGTATCTGATTATGTCTTCTTCACATACACATATTAATACTCATTTGCTTCGGAATGATATATTTTTTCTATTCGTTTACATCGACTAGTCATGTGGTGATGTTTGAGTTACGGTTAGGATTTAGGAACAGGAACTTGAGCTGTCTGTGATGTTCTAGTTCATTAATATGCCTTAGGGGTTGTTACCAAAAAAAAAAATATGCCTAAGGGACCAAAAATGTCATAAGGGTCCATTATCCACGGGACGAGTCCCACTAATATACTACAAAACTATCAAGAAAATGTATGATGGACCAATTGCTTTTAGTTGACTACTCCGAACATTAATACTCCTTCACATGTTAGATACCAAAAATTGAGGACTTTCAAGTGTTAGCCTTTGATGAGAGATGTTTTATGTCAAGCGGCCTCGGTAGGAGGCTGCATTGGTTTTTGAGGTCGGGGTGGTGGTTGTGGCTTTGGCGGTGGTGGTGGAGGTCTCTTTGGTTTCACCTTATTGACTATCTCAGCTTCAACATCAAACTGCACGATGACATAAATAGCCACACACGGTCAAAGAAAAAGAATATATGCAACGACATCAAACTGAAGGCCAAAGCAAGAAACAAACCTTGTAACCACAGCCTGCGACACATGCGTGAAAGCATTCCTGAATTCAAAAAAACAGAGGAACAAGTTAGATATGGACCAGTCTATTTCTCTTTATTGCAGAAAAAGGTTAATTTTAAGAAGAGTGTGAATACCTCGGAGTATTTGGCATCTCCAGGAGAACGATCTATAACTGCACTCCATGGACGGTCTTTTACCACAGGATCTTTGTAGCAATCCTACACCTATAGAGAGTACACTACTATTACACCAATTCATTAACTTGGAAACTTAAACCTGAAAAGAGAAGATATTTTCATGAACATATGTAAATGTAGGAGACAAGTTTGGTTTTGTTATGTTGCATAGTGGGGACAAATCTAACTGCTCAGAGATCGAAAAGAAATGCTTACAATCTTCCCATGAGTCACTATCGGCATCACATCCCTTTTTGCAGAATACTCTCCCTACACAGATTCAGGATTTATCATCAGTGCCTAAACTGATGTTAAAGCTAAAAAACGGATTACTATGATCATGAACAAGAGTTATACAACAACATGGAGGATAAATATAATTCAGCTAGCTTTTGTGAACATGACTGGAATTGAGAGATCAAAGAATGAAAAGCTTTCATCAGAAATAGCCAAACCAATCCCATTTACTAGATATGTGTCTATACTTCACAGAAGCAACATCGATGCAGAATCAACTAAGGAGAATCAGAACATTTAGAACGGGAATGAGATTACCCATCACGAAAGGATCAAGCTTTACTTGTAAAACTCAAAGTATAACACAATTCAAAAGCAACTACACAGAATTTTGAATTGGAGAGAGAGAGCCGACCAGTTTCTCTGCAAGATCTCTAAGCAAAGCTTCAATCCCACGAACAATAAAGAAACCCTTTCCGATTGATTCTAAAGATACCCTTTTCGATCGAAACCCTTTTTCACCAAGAACAACTGTGAGACAAAGCAATGGACATCGCAGCCATTTATTTTAGAGAAAACCCATTTAATAAATGGACTTAATTGGGTTAACCCATTTAACTAATTAAAACAATTTTCTATAAAATGGGTCTAAATGGGCTATTTATTTAACCACATACCCATTTAACTAAATGGGCAGTGAAACCCATTTTAACATCACTAGATGGAAGTGATAAATTCATCATCTATGGTTCGTTGAACATTTACCATGCCAACTTGTTGTGATTCAATAGCCGGAAGATCGATCCTCTCGCAGGTGAATGGATTCAAAATGTATAGATTATACTTTGAATCTTGCATAAGAAGCCAACTTCCATAGGTTGCTATACAAACACTCTTTGCAAATTCCACACCAAGATCTTGCGTTTTGTAAAACATTTCTTTGTCCTCGGGATTGAAAAACGTGCATGAATTGCTGTTTTTGTCTTTGGGGAAGAGCATCAGCCAAGGGATCTGATTTTTGGGCACGCATTGTTTAGAAGCAGAGTACCAAGACGAACACACCGATTTAGCTCGTCGAAAATTAGCAAAGCTGAGGCGTTTGAAAACTAAGTTCAAGAGATCTAGAGGAAGATCTGACCAGGTATTAGGGTTTTGGTTCTTCTCCATGACGACGGCAATATTTGAGAAAGAGATATTTCTTAATTCTTATCAACAAATAAATATTTGAGAGTGACGAGAGATCCCTAATAAAAGATTTTATAAACCGAAAACACAATTAAATTTGAACAGATCTCGGAATTTCATGGTTTTGCTTTGTTCAAAATGGGTTTTCCTGGCCCATTAATTAATCAGTGTATATTTTGTTCACTTGGGTCCAATAAGGTGTAAGGCATGAAGGGAGAAAGGTAACAGAGATGAACAATTTTGTTCCCTAATAAGGTTCAACAATGTGATTCTCACGTCTTATAATGCTCCACCACAAATTTCATTTCATTACACACATATATGGGTCAGCATTTTATTTGTCACTGAAAGAGTTTGGAATAAATATACCTATTTTCTTCTTAGGTTTGAAATGTCCAGTAAAATACATTTGAATTGCAACGGATTTAAATGAAACACACCAACATTAGTTATACATACACGTCAACGGCAATGAAATTGTAATGGTAATCGGCTTTCTTCACACATCATTAGAATGAACTGTCGAATCCATCTAAATGATTGATCAGTTTTATTTTAATCCTAATAAAGATTGCTAATTAGTTGTATGATCGTAAGAATCTTGATTATATTAATGAAACATATCTTTGAATTGTCAGCGCCGTCCAGCTTATAATGTTTTTCGACATTCTAATCTCTCCTTAGCAACTTCTTCGCTAAATTAAACATTCCATTTTATATATTTATAGTTTTATTTTAATTTCCTTCGATATATTACATGAACATATGTCATAACATAAAATATTTATCCTCAAAACAAATAAAATGCGAAGAACATGGGTACTCGCGGAAGAAAGCTGTAGGTTTTTAGGTCAACTATGTAAAACATATATATCTATATTTAATAATTAGTAATCAACAATCTACATGCCAAGACTCCTATATATAAGTTAAATGTAGTGTTTAAGAAGTCACATACGAAAAAGAAAGTGAGATAATAATCCACAAAAAAAAAAGCCTTGTTTTTGCCAACGTTTTAGACGATCAAATGGCTTACATTTACCAAATTTCAGCGGTTGTGTTTCTAGCGGTTGCGATTGCTCCGCTATTAGCTGTACCACAGTCACCGATGTTTCCCGATATGACTCCTGAATGTGCCACGGTGATGCCTGACCTGCTCGAAAAGTGTTTCGCAACCGGTAGTGTGACGCCAACAGAAGATTGCTGCACCGATCTAAAATCCGCAACCTCAACACAAGTCACTTGCCTTTGTGATAACTACATTGCAAACCCGGCCGTTGCGAACATCACTGGACCTTACTCTGACGCAATCACATCCAAATGTGGCGTTCTCGACAAATTCTCTTGCGACGGTACGAGTAAAGGTACGTTACCAACTCATTTATGTTATAATAGTAAGCAAGAATGTTGCGTTCATGGTAATTAATGGATTTTGGTTTTGTGTGTTGAAGGAGGAGAAGAAAAGAAAGGAGGAAGCAGCAATAGCAACGGCAAAGACAATGGCACGAGTCACGGCAATGGAGGAGCAACGAACAAGGTTGCTGCATTAATGGCTCTGTTTGGTTTGGTTGCAAGTCTGGTCTTTGTTATGTTTTAATTTAATTATTTTTTATTCATATCAAGAAAATATAAGAACCGACAAAATTTTATGTAATTTTTCTTATTCTTCTTCTTACTTCTTTCTACAAAAAATAATGTGAACCCAAAACAATCACGTACGTTTATATGTGCATTCTTTGAATTCCAAAAAAAAAAAAAACGTTTATTTGCTTGCATCCTTTTACAAGTGTGTTTAACTTTGTTTGGGCCTTATTGATGGGCTTATAATGGCCCATGAAATACCGAGCTAGAAAAAATGAGTTAGTGATAATTGAAACCCGTCACCAAAATAAGTCGGTTTAGTTACAAAATAAAAAATCAGTCGGTTTATTCCAATTTCGACATTTTGGTTTGGTTCAATTCGATTTTCCGCAAATAAAAAAAAACATGAAGCCGGTCCAAAATCCGGCGATGCTTATCCGTTTAGAAATCAGAAGGTACTCGAAGAAACCCTTATTCACTTCCTTTTTTCTCCAACTCTCGAAATCGAAACACACGACTTAAAAAGAAAAAGACGAGACTTTTAACACTCAGACCTAAACCAACACTCTTCCTCTTTCTCTCTCTCGCCGATCGGAAGCAGATTTTTTCTCAAAGGATGGATTCAACGAAGCTTAGTGAACTCAAGGTCTTCATCGATCAATGCAAGTCTGACCCTTCTCTTCTCACTACTCCTTCCCTCTCCTTCTTCCGCGACTATCTCGAGAGGTTTGCTTCGATCTAATCGTTTTTCTTTATGCTTTAGTTTTGTATCTGTGATGGTTTAGATTTAGTAAAGTATTGATCTTTGAGTCTCTGTTTGTGTATAAAGTGTATTGCCCTGATCTCTAGCTGATATCTATTGTGGAATTGATAAACCCTTTTCCATCTTGTGGAAGAAAGTTCCTGTCTTTGGTTTTAATTTGTTGGATTTAGTGAAAAAGTGTTTACTTTTGATGTGTTTCTGATGAATTTTGGTATCTTTATGATATCAGTCTTGGTGCTAAGATACCTACTGGTGTTCATGAAGAAGAGAAAGACACCAAACCGGTATATACTTTTGTTTTGTTTGATTCAATTGAACTCGTTTGTGTTTTTGCAGAAGGGTTTGTTTTTGATTTGATTGTTTGTGTTTAACAGAGGAGTTTCGTAGTGGAAGAGAGTGATGATGATATGGAGGAAACTGAAGAAGAGAAACCTAAAGTGGAGGAAGAAGAAGAAGAAGATGAGATTGTTGAATCTGACGTAGAGCTGGAAGGAGACACTGTTGAACCTGATAATGATCCTCCTCAGAAGGTATGATGATGACCAAGCAAAACCTCAGCTTTTGATTTACTAGTTTCTGAGACTGTCTTGGTTTTGATACAGATGGGGGATTCATCAGTGGAGGTGACTGATGAGAATCGCGAAGCTGCTCAAGAAGCTAAGGGCAAAGCCATGGAGGCCCTTTCTGAAGGAAACTTTGATGAAGCAATTGAGCATTTAACTCAGGCAATAACGTTGAACCCGACTTCAGCTATTATGTATGGAAACAGAGGTTAGTACAAGTTGATGTTGTTCTTTTAACTTCCATCAGATGGGTTTCTGAGCCTAATTGTCTATATTTGTGTTTCAGCTAGTGTCTACATTAAGTTGAAGAAGCCAAACGCTGCTATTCGAGATGCAAACGCAGCATTGGAGGTACAGGGGTCTACAATTTTCATTGGAAATTCTCTTTTATAGTGATGATATTGAATCGTTTTGTTTTTGTGATCACAGATTAATCCTGATTCTGCCAAGGGATACAAGTCACGGGGTATGGCTCGTGCCATGCTTGGAGAATGGGCAGAGGCTGCAAAAGACCTTCACCTTGCATCTACGATAGACTATGATGAGGAAATTAGTGCTGTTCTCAAAAAGGTATGTGCGGGTTTGTCTATCTGTTTAATCTCTTTTGATTCTCTAACAATGCATTAGCGTGATTCAGTTACAAACTTTCTTTGTATTTTGTAGGTTGAACCTAATGCACATAAGCTTGAGGAGCACCGTAGAAAGTATGACAGATTACGTAAGGAAAGAGAGGACAAAAAGGCTGAACGTGATAGACTACGTCGCCGTGCTGAAGCACATGTAGCTTCCTAGACCATGAAATCGATTAGAATAATCTTTTGATAACATTAGTCTCAATTTTGTATTGACATTATCACTTAGCTATAGACTGTTGGGCTTATACATGTCTCTCTCTTTCTGTAAGGCTGCCTATGATAAAGCTAAGAAAGAAGAACAGTCATCATCTAGCAGACCATCTGGAGGCGGTTTCCCAGGAGGTATGCCCGGTGGATTCCCAGGAGGTATGCCCGGTGGATTCCCAGGAGGAATGGGCGGCATGCCCGGCGGATTCCCAGGGGGAATGGGCGGTATGCCCGGCGGATTCCCAGGAGGAATGGGCGGTGGTATGCCTGCAGGAATGGGCGGTGGTATGCCCGCAGGAATGGGTGGTGGTATGCCCGGAATGGGCGGCGGTATGCCAGGTGCAGGCGGTGGTGCCGGTATGCCTGGTGGTATGGACTTCAGCAAAATATTGAATGTAAGAGTGACTATTTGTCAACTACAGAAATCTAGATTTTATAAAGTTAAACTGCAAAAGAAGGGATTGACATTGTGAGATTTGTTTGATATTTGTGAGCAGGATCCTGAGCTAATGACGGCATTTAGCGACCCAGAAGTTATGGCTGCTCTTCAAGATGGTATGACTCAGTTTAAAGTTGCAGTTATAATGTTATACTATAATGTTTTAAGAATATCTTCTGTGTCTTGAATATTGAATATCGTTTGAATGTTAATAACAGTGATGAAGAACCCTGCGAATCTAGCGAAGCATCAGGCGAATCCGAAGGTGGCTCCGGTGATTGCAAAGATGATGGGCAAATTTGCAGGACCTCAGTAAACCAAACAACAAGTTTTCTTCTCTTTGCCAATTTCTGTGTTTAACTGCGTGAGATAAGAGATATGTTGGAGAATTTTTTTTTTCTTTTATGTTTTCGTTGCAGAGGAACTTAAAACAAGAAACAGAGCTCTTTTAGTAATTTACCCTTTTTCTCGTGCTTCACTTCCCGAGTATACACATGGACCATCAATTTGAGAATTATCCTTAAAATCTATTTACATTGAAAGATGAACAAGAGAGTAATTGTTACGAAAATTCATATGACACTTCCAATAATTGTTATGAGTAGACTGCAAGACAGCAATCCGTACCCTATAAGGGAAAAATGTGTGATATTTTGTGGACTTAAAGGGCTTTTACCTTTTAGTGTGAAGAAGAAGAAGCCAAGGGGATCTCTTCGTTTAGTTCGTTGACAAAACATGTAGGAGACCAAATAATATACAAGTCCAGTGTTGACGGGTTTGTTACATTCACATTTAACTTTGTCGTATCATCTCATTTCAAATTATTTGACCTCAAAATTTAAACCTTTGAATTTGATTCTATAAACAATTAAGATACTATTTGACTCGTTTGATATCATCATCAGGGTAGAAAATAGATATATTTTAGTTTTAAGGAGTTATTTGGTTGGTAAGTAAATCTATTTCCTTTAAATATTCTACACTTATGTAAACTAGTGAACATATATATTGTGAAAACGATATGATAAATGCAATTCCTTTGTCCAAAAAAAAAAAAAAAATGCATTTCCAAACTGTGTCTCCACAATGAGAAATGGTTTCAATTTTAGGTTATGTGTGTGATCTCCACAATATGAGAAATGGTTTCACTTTTGGATTAAATTAACAAAAAAGTATTGGTTCTCGTTACCAAAATAAAAAATTAGTGGTGCGACAACTAATTCCACAGAGGAAAGGATTGTGATGTGGAAGTAAATTGGGAAACTCCTCCACATACTATTTTTCATCGCAGTTTAAGTGACCAAAATCATATCGTCTTTGAAAATCAATACAATTATAAAAAGATGAAAAGTAATAGAGATACATGGTCAATGATGAAAAAACCAAAATTAAAAGGAGCCACATCTCTAAGTTAGAAGATTCAAACGCGTTGATAGCGAATCTTAAATTCCGAATCGTCCAAAGTTCGGTGTTGAAGACAGAACTAAACCTACGATGGTTTTTTTTTGTTTTTATTATTCAACATCTTGTTTGTGGAATGAAATAAAGTATTATTTGTATAGGAATTTTTAAAATTTAAAGTATTAAATATGTAATTTATGATGAAATTTCAAGCTACATAATATGTAAAAAGTAGAAATAATGATGCGTTAGTAATTAAGGAATATTAAATGTATATTCATGATTAAAGATAACAAAAACTAAATATTTTTGGAGTAATATTTTTTAACAAAAGTACAAAACACTCAAAATAATGTGATCTTTATTAGTTTGTATACTACTATTTCTCTTAAGATTGTTTAGTACGTAGAATGATACAAATTTATTTTTAAATAAAGAGAAGGAAAATTATATCCAAAGATATGCAGGAGAGAACTAGTGTCTCAATTTTTAAGAGTTTTGTTTAAACATAACGTTGGACCCTAATATTGAAACATTCATTCACATTATTTTCATAGTAATATATTTCCTCGGGCTTTGTTAACATGTGAATAATTTATACAAAACAAAGAAAGTAAACTTAATATGTATTCTTGACTTTGACGAAACCCTACCAAACCCTAATTAATAATACTTGAAAACCATGGTGCACACTTACTGCTTTACATGGATGTATTATCTTCTACTATATGTTTATGATTTGTATGCGTGTATATGTTATATATAATGTACACATATATGTATATGCCCTCAATGCTTGTGACATCTTCCAGAGAGTTGCCAATATGATAATGGTGAACAGTCAAAACCCAAAATCATGAACACCAAAGTCTTGACAATAATCCAAAAACATCTTCTCGTCGTTGATTCTTTCCGGTGACCATATCGGAAAATCTGTATTGGCGCCGGAAATATTATTGTCATATAATGTTCCACCAACGCCAAAGTTACTATCACTCCACGAGGCCTCAGCTTTAGTAGTTTCGTCGGACCATAAGTAACTAAACAATTCATCATCATTATAAATGTTGTCAATTAGATGATTTTCACTATCCATTGAATTGTTTTGATCAGTAACCGTGCTACTGCTTTCTTCTTCTGTTGTCGTGGCACTTATCTCCACGTCTTTGGTGTTAGTTGTCTTTGGTTCCATTGAGATATCTTCTGGATTCGACGAAATGGTTTTGGAATTATCGATATTAGAATGTTCTTGGTTTAGAGGTTGATGGGTCATAGGGTCGATTCCCATCTTAAGAAGTTTTTTCTTGATATGAGTATTCCAATGGTTTTTTATTTCGTTATCTGTTCTTCCAGGTAATCTTGAAGCTATCTTAGACCACCTACAATACAAACCAATGGTTTAAAAAAAACAAAATAATCACAAGAATATATAATATTTTATAAAGTGTTGGTGGATATATATGTTATAATCTTGGAATAGAAACACAAGAAGATTGACAAAATAAGTTAACATTATCTTTGCACGAGAAGGACGTTACTTTGTCTTGAAGTTGATTTCAAAGAAAAATAAATGCAAATCAAAACTTGTTCTACTTATTTGACCAACTTATTTGGAACTATCTAATTTATTATTTGGCATAATTTACATAACACATAAATACACTAAACATGTTGGATCACATGCAACTGACTTTATATTTTATGAATAACATACATGATCCAAACCAATGTTTATCTTAAGTCTTTAGTTTTTGTTCTTAACATAAATTTGAAAATTTTAGGCCTCCATTCATATATATGACACATATCATTAAGTAGAGAATTAGAAAATATATAGTGGAATTAATATATGATTAGTTATTTAGGCTTACTTATTTCCGAGATGCGCATGAAGATCAATTACAAGTTGTTCTTCATCATGAGATAGAAGGCCTCTCTTTAAGTCAGGCCGGAGATAGTTAGTCCACCGGAGACGGCAGCTCTTTCCACAACGGCGGAGACCGGCCAGCTTCGGCAAAGCACGCCAGCAACAATGGCCGTTGGTTAGTATGAAGTTTATGAGCTTCTTGTCTTCCTCCGCCGTCCACGGCCCTTTCTTCACCCCTAGCTTGTCACAGCATGGCTGCCTCCCCATTAAATACTAAATAATATGTGTGATTGTATATTATGTTATATGGGGATGTGAAATAAAGAGTATAGAGAGATGGAAAACTAAAGTTATTGAAGATGGAAAATCTCAACAGCTTGCAAGTTATGTCAAAAGCCTACCAAAGCTCACCCACCTATATATAACCTTCTCACACCTTTCCCCCACAATTGTTTTCATAAGAAAAACAAAATTTACATCTCTATATTTTCAAAAGAGTTTAAATAATTCTTATTAAAAATGTAGTGGCATTAATTATGGCAAGACATTTTTACTAGTAGCGGTTGTAAAAATATTATATATGGTCTAATTGGTTACACAAAACAGTACAAAATATTTAGCGGTTAGTGGTATGTGAAAAGTTAAAAGCAGTAAAAATAGCGGATAAAGAAAACAATACAAAAAGCTAAAACTATTTTTTTGTATCGTTTTTGGTATTGTATATGTGAATGATAACAATGAAAGTTGTACGAGATTATCAATCATGCTCAATATATTGCCATTTATTGATCTCTTGATGTAGCGGTTGAGTTCTAACTAGTTTAATCTATCGATTGAAATACAATTCAGAAATATTTTGAAGTAGTTTAAAATTTATTAAAAAAAATTAACAAAGTTAGTATATATACCCGTATTCACTACTTTATCATTGATTATAGAAGAAGAATATATGATCTAAATAAGAATTATGGATTACTCGTTCACACAAAAGTACATATAGACAGAATTATTTTTAAGGTACATATACAGATGTCATGATGGGGAAATGACAACAGTTTCAAAGAAGATCTTTTGTATCTGACTTTATACATACTATACGGTTCATTTACTTTTATATTGAATGGTTCATTTTAATTAGGAGTTATAGTCAGCTAAAGAATTAAGGTTTCTGTAAAATAAGGTTATTTTACTAAATAATGATTCTGGTTTTTTTTTGGTCAGAAATGATTAAGGTTAAGAAATATAATTTTGTCTTACTTTGTCAAATCTGTCGCTAATATGATCATAGAAAGGAGGAGTATTGGAGATGTCGCATTTGTTTTGTGAAAATGACTTTGGAACTAATGTGAAAGGATAGGATGCGTGCAAATGTATGCAATCACACGTGCGACTTATACATCTTTTACCCAAATACTTATTAAGTTTCAAATAAATACTTGTATTTTTACCATGAATGCTATAAAGTATAAGCTTATAGATTTATACAAAAATCATATCAGTAAAATTAAAATAATGTATCATTTTTTACATTAAAAGGATTTTGATAACTAAGACTAGTGCAATTTTAAATTGTTAGTCACTTAAATTTGTCACCAAAACTGTTTTTTTTTTATATACCCGATCGGCTGATCCGGTCAGCCCTGGGGGAACGCACCGAAGTGCTACCATGTGGACTCACTATCACCCCGAAGGATGGGCTACCACACTGCCTAACCCAAGTTTGGAATGCTTTCCGACTAATGCCCGGGGGTAGCTGGATCGCCTGTTACCAGACTACCAGGTAAACTGCCTGGGCCGAAGCCCAAGCCCAGACTTCCCACAAAGTGTTGATAACAGCGAGGGAGGAAGATCGAACCTGGGTTCGGGGATTTCACCCTCAACTCCAGACTCGCCCTACCACTAGCCCACCACCTTGCGGGCGTCACCAAAACTGTTGATAAATCACCGACTCTAAAACGAACAAACAATAGTTGTTGTCGCTATCGCTATCTATTGTGATATAAACACGAATAAAAATCATGATCCAGTCTTCACAAAACCGATTTTACATAGATTAGTCAGAATTTGTCCAATATTCTTTTGTTTTCAAAATCTCAAATAATCGGTTTGGTCCGGTTAAAAATATGGCAAATAAGTTTGAGATCTTCAGTCCATTGCGAATATGCGATAAACCATTTTTTTGGCAACCGTAACAAACCTAATAAGTATATACGTGTCTCTATTTTTGGTAAGATTTTTTTACATAACATAGAAGAAACTTAAAAGCTTCAATAATGAATTGCCGCAAAAAATTTGTTGTCGCCGATACGAAAATTAAGTATAGACGAATATCCATTTGACACATAGGTGTACACGTAAAGACCACTGTATCAATATATTTTGATGTTTATAATCTTTGCGACTTGTGGTGACTTGCAATTTTGGTTCATGGTTTGGTTACAAACTAGTCTATCTTTCAATATTAATTTAAAATTCTTCGTCTTATCCATAGTATATACATTTTTTCAGAATGTGATTTTGTGACACGATTAGTTCTTTGTTTAATCGGATCAGGAATGTTTCAAAAATCTTCCATGAAAGAATGTATGCTAAGATATGATATTAATGCTGGTAAATGTTATTGTAAATAATTTTTTTTTTGGTAAAATTGTTATTGTAAATATTGATATCCTAAATGATGAAATAGGCGGATATATTAGCAAGAAAGTCTTTGGCATACCGAAATAAGGGATGTGACCAGATTCTAAATATGTACACATTTTTAGGTTTTAAGAGTTTATATGTGACATTTCAAAACTTAATTCAGGACATTCAAGAGAAATGCCATTTTTTGTAAAGGAAGTTTGTTGACTTTAATTCGAATAATCAAATCGATAATTTACAGTATTATTTCTTTTAAAACCTCTCTATGTTCATATGGTATGGAGTCAGAAGAGTTTTGTTTTTCTGCTCAATGATGAATTTCGGTTCAACGAAATTAGTTAGTAATTAATGCTTTAGCATTATTTTTCTTGATTCCGATTTCTTTGACTTGTGTTTTAGTGCTACTACTCTACTGCTCAAAATAAAATAAATAAAACAATATTTTTTCTAATTACGATTTGTCCACCCCAAATATATATGTTCCCACTTCTTGGCCACGAAAAATTTTCCTGGCCCCAGACACAATGTGATTCTTTGTCTCTTGTCTTCGTTGTTAATCATGGCCCCAGACAAAATGTAACACACACAAGTCGCAAGTGTATGTTTGCGTGTAGTTAAGACTAATCCATAAGGCCATATATAAGACAGAGAAAACAAATCAAATAGGAGAAAAATATTTTAATGTAATAACAAAACAATTCTAAATAAGTGTTTCCCTCACGAATTTTATGGTCTATAAGATTAAAAAAAAATTGGACTATGGGAGGTCGTCGTCCCCTCATCTACATAAAAGATCTCGAAATGAGAATATATATTGTATTAAATGTCTAAAACTCAATAAACACAATTATAAAAGTGACATTTCAACACCTTAGGAATCGAGACTTCCGCTCTAAACCCCACCACTTTCTTCTATTTCTCTACAACTCTCATTTGCTAATTATTGATTAATTAAGATTCAAGACTCTAAATCATGGCTTGTTCCCTTAATCAAAAGTATAAATCAACGTCTTGCTTTAATCCCATTTCCAAGTCACCACTTACGTAACTTACGAGTAATGCCATCGTCATTATACTATACAATATGCATGCATATATATAATAAATTCGTCTGGCCGTCTGGGTATGTATGTACGGAACTGTATATATAAAGACATGGCACTATTGTTAGTCAAGTCACTTTTGTCCCCTTTATTGTAGGCTATTTATTTATTTAATTACTAACTAACTAGGAGTCTAGGACCATAATATTTACATATTCTGTAATTATTCTTAAAAATGGTTATAATCTTTGTCTGTTTAACATAATTATCTATTGTTCATCTTCACATAAAAACTATATTTCATTTTTAGCTATGTTACATGCTATAGAAAGTGTTAATATTGGTAAAAGCCGAACATATTATATCCTTTGTCACTACATAGGTTGCAATTTGCATGAGATGTTGCATGCTCAAAATATTAGTGTAGATTTGTTATAAAGTAACATCTCATGCAAATTGTATACCTAGTTCATATAATATAATGCATCATCATCATCATCATTTTATTTTCAGTAATGCATCATCATTTCATGAAATATTAGTCTAGTTGACCAAAATAAAATAAAAAATCCGGATATAAAGAAAAACAAGACATACTATAGATTTGTTATAATGATATTTTTAAATCATAATTTAAATATACTTTTGTACTTAATTGATTGGCTTTATAAATGTTGAAAAAAATAGCAAGTAATTAACTATTTTTAGATATTTGAAATAAAACATTGATGAGAAAGTTTCTTTTAGGTATTACTGTTACAGTTACTTATATACTATTTGAGTATTTGAATCGAAATGATTTAAATATCTAACCGGACCTACTCAAGAAAATGTTTTCCAATGGGTTTGAATTGATCTTCTTGTTGGGTCTTGTACGCGTACCGCGATGATCAAATGTTTTAGGGCCGAATTGTTTATGAAATTATATTTAGGCCCATAATAGTTTCACTTAGTGCAATCAAGCCCAGACCCGTGTGATCAACGACATTTGAACCATCGTCGCTGCTTTTGACTTAAAACAATTAACAACAAAAAATAGTGCTTTTGGACATTTGAAAATTCTCGGATTGTTTGATGTTTAATGTAAGATCCAATGGTTGTAGCTTTCTAGTGACCGTCATACACTAAGTTAGTAGATATATACAAAAGAAAGACTTTATATAGGAGAAAAATAAGTAATGAATGATCCGAATATGTCCACGAAAGCTTTATGTTCTTGGTCTCACTCTCATAATCATGTTAAGGTCTCACGCACGTAACTTTCACAATAGTAATTACACTACATTCCAACGATTTGAAAAGTATTTAAAGAAATATCAAAGTGGCACTTTCGTAATTATATGTAGATTTCACAATTTGGCTTTAGCTTACCTAACCAAAATGCCATGGCATTATGAGAGCTCGTAAATAGCCTTTTAGCCTTTTCAGCATTTGTGTTAACTCATGCATTCAATCTTAAACATTCACATCTGCCTAACTACACTATTTCAAGTAAAACACAACCAAGCCGATCTCTAATAAAAACGAATCAAGTTTTAATGAAACGCGAATTTTGCAAAAACTCTAACCTAACCAAAGCAAATTCGAACCATACTAGAAAATTAACTGAAATGTCGACCCCTAATTAATTCTGCAAAAGTTGGCTGCATAATGGTGTTTTGTAGTTCTTGTATTAGAAAATTAGAATCAGTTGCTTTTGTAATTTAAAATAGTTGTTATGTTGGAATGAAATTGAGCTAGATCCGATAGATTATAGCCGCCGGTCTTCACAAGTAACAACAACCGACACATGCAAGAAAATAAAAGTTTAGACAAAAGAGTTGAAAATATTGAAAAGTCTTGTTTTTTTTCTTTTAACCTACTTAAAAAATATCTAAAGTAAACATACAAAATCAGCGCAGATGCAATAAAATAAGTCAAATTCAACGTATTACGACTACTATTGATTAATGGATAATAAGGTTTTGAATATCGACAAGTGGAGTGATGTGTTAGTCCACTTTTTTTTCGCGGCTGCGTATAGATTCATGGTCCATCACTTACTTCTGAATTTATTTTGTCTCATTTCCTCTCTTTGAATTATTGAATGAGATTTCAACACTGGTGGCGACTTGGTCAAGATTGGCGTTGTATTTTTACATGTTTTATTATATTTTTATGTCCAATAATGTTATCACATATTTATGATAGTATATGGTATTAGTACAAAAGAAGAGATTATCTATTGTTAAACAAATCCTTCTTTAATTTTTTGTGATTTAGAAGATAAAATTTCACTTGTTTTTACTCAAATACACCCATAAAATAATTATTATTAATATGCATGTCTTTTTATATAGTAAGTGTAAGTTTGTAACTACTACCACTTTCAACGCCGTCTCAAATCTTGCACTATTTTTTTTGTTTTGGATATGAAGGAACATGAGAAATTTCATATAAGTTGATCTTATAATATAATAATAATAAAATAGTGTAATAATTCTCCCTGAACCTACAATATAAATGTCCACACTCCCTTTGTTCTATCTTCACCACCACACAACACAAAACCTCCAAACCAATAAACAGAACAAAGTGAGATCTTTCTCTCTGAAGACAAAGATGGAAACGGTGTCGTCTAACTTCTCTCTCTCGCAGATCCTCAACATAGAGGAACCGTACAGCTCTGTGATGCTAGGTGTCGCCGCTCTCTTGGCCGTTGTTTGCTACTTCTGGATACAGGGGAAGTCTAAATCCAAGAATGGACCTCCGTTGCCTCCGGGACCTTGGCCACTTCCGATCGTTGGAAACCTCCCGTTCCTAAACTCTGAGATCCTCCACACGCAATTCCAAGCCCTAACCCTAAAACATGGCCCTCTCATGAAGATCCACCTCGGTTCCAAACTTGCGATCGTCGTCTCTTCCCCTGACATGGCTCGTGAGGTTCTTAAAACTCATGACATCACTTTCGCAAACCATGATCTCCCTGAAGTCGGAAAGATCAACACTTACGGTGGAGAAGACATCCTTTGGTCTCCTTACGGCACCCATTGGAGGAGACTTCGTAAGCTCTGCGTCATGAAGATGTTCACTACGCCGACACTCGAAGCTTCTTACTCCACTCGCCGCGAAGAAACCCGACAAACCGTCGTCTACATGTCGGAAATGGCTCGTGAGGGATCACCAGTCAACCTCGGAGAGCAAATCTTTCTTTCCATTTTCAACGTCGTGACAAGAATGATGTGGGGAGCGACTGTTGAAGGAGACGAAAGAACAAGCTTAGGAAACGAGCTCAAAACCCTAATCTCCGATATCTCCGACATCGAAGGGATCCAAAACTACTCAGATTTCTTTCCTTTGTTCTCAAGATTCGATTTCCAGGGATTGGTTAAGCAGATGAAAGGCCATGTAAAGAAGCTTGATCTCTTGTTCGATAGAGTTATGGAGAGTCATGTCAAGATGGTGGGAAAGAAGAGCGAAGAAGAAGAAGATTTCTTACAATACTTGCTTAGGGTTAAAGATGATGATGAGAAAGCTCCTCTGTCCATGACTCATGTCAAGTCTCTCCTCATGGATATGGTTCTTGGTGGTGTTGACACATCGGTTAACGCATCCGAATTCGCCATGGCAGAGATCGTAAGCAGACCGGAAGTGTTAAACAAGATCCGACAAGAACTTGACCAAGTTGTTGGGAAAGACAACATCGTTGAAGAATCACATTTACCTAAGCTTCCTTATCTACAAGCGGTTATGAAAGAGACTCTTAGACTTCACCCTACGCTTCCTCTTCTTGTGCCTCACAGAAACAGCGAAACCTCGGTTGTTGCCGGATACACTGTGCCTAAAGACTCCAAGATTTTCATCAACGTTTGGGCGATTCATAGAGATCCTAAGCATTGGGATGAACCAAACGAGTTTAAACCAGAGAGGTTTTTGGAGAACTCGCTTGATTTCAATGGAGGTGATTTCAAGTACTTGCCATTTGGATCAGGAAGGAGGATTTGTGCGGCTATTAACATGGCTGAGAGGCTTGTTCTGTTCAACATTGCTTCACTTCTTCACTCTTTTGATTGGAAAGCTCCTCAAGGACAGAAGTTTGAGGTTGAAGAGAAGTTTGGTCTTGTTCTTAAGTTGAAGTCTCCACTTGTGGCTATTCCTGTTCCAAGGTTGTCTGATCCAAAACTCTACACCGCTTAAGTAAATAAGTATGAAGGAAAATTTGGTTTGAGCCTTTGAAGAAGTTGAATTGATTTTTCTTGTTTGTAGTTTACTTTTCTTTATGTTATGGTTGGAGTTTTGATGTTTTGTAAAAGGGGATGTGTGAAGTCACATTTTCTGATTATATTTACATATAATAAAGTTTTATTTCCAATATTAATGCCTTATTTTGGTATCCAAATAGTCGATGCCATAACCTACAGAATGGTAGTCTAGTTACAATTTTGGTAGTTCGTTCAAATTCTTGGGTCAAAAAATTATGCATATATATAACTATAGAAATTTTGGATGGTTTAACACTCATTTGAATTAAAAAGAAATTTAAAGGAGATGCATCGATTGAAAATCATTGGATACAACCATTCCCAACTGATGCAACAGATGAATCATTACAATCCATATCATGAAAAATAAATTAAACTCAGTGGTTGCATTTGTATCCACTGTAACAAAAGATAGACTTAATTAAAACAATACATATTATAAAATTTAGTGTGAATAATTGATATATTAATTAAGTAGAATGAATCACCACAAACTATAGATTGTTGATAAAAAACACACTTAAAAACATGTTAAATGATATAAAATATAATCATTGGATAAGATATATAAAAGAAACTCTTAACCCGAATCAAAAGATTTATAATCAAAATTAAAAATATTTACTAAAATAAATATCTAAAGTTTGGTTTAGCAATATAAAGTTTATAAAATATATTGCTTTTAAATTTTTTTTTATATATATAAATATGAAATCTCAATTTCTGTTGTTTGTATTTAAACACGCTTCCATTGATGATATGTAACTAAAATTGCATTTATTTTTGTTGTTCCTATAATAATATTAGAAAAGGTAAATGATCAAATCTGTGTGCAATAGTAAAACTAATAAAATAATATCTGATGTTGAAACTAATTATAAATAAAGTACAATACATTAGTCGGAAATAAAACTTGACATAATTAGTGTATGCCAATTTGAAAAAAACAATTAATTCACTATAAAAAATGATATTATCTTTCCAAAAATACATGTATCGCGCACAGTCAAACAATTACTCTCATTTATCTACAAATAAATAAGTCAAACTTTCGATATTTATTGGACATTACTATCTTACCTAAAATCAGTGATATAAAACTTTGAATCATGTTTTAAGACATGACTATAAAACTACGACTACTTTCATCATTATAGACATCTCTCACATTAGCTCCATTTTCATTTCTTTTGTGATATAAACTCTTTTACATTTTTGATCAAGGTATGCTACGATTTCAGTTTATCAACTTCTTATTTATATAATTTCACGTGTATTTTTTGTGATCTCCGTATATATACTAAAATGAAGTTTTTAATCTATCATTAATTGATAATAGTTTTTCACAAATATACACTCACGTTTTATTAAATCCATTTTATATACAATACAATTCTACATAAAAATAAATAATTTTACGTAGATTTGACGATGAAATCTTTACCGAGAATTTTTGTGTGTGTATGATCTTGTTTATGATTTATAATTTAAATGTGTAGAATTATTTTTATATATTAAAGATTTTTTAATATTTTGTTAATATATATCAAATGTACATATATTTAAAACTGTATTGATGATTTTATTCTCATACAATTTTTTTTATTTAGAAGTTAAAGGAGAAAACAAAACAAGAAGAATGGCTTCCAAACGTTGTGCTGTCTGCAAGATCTTGAAAGAAACTTGTGCTCTAGGGTGCATCTCTGCACCACATTTTCCATCGGACGATACAAGGTTCGATGATGTTCATCAAGTTTTTGGAGCTGTGAACGTCCGCAACATCCTCAATAATCTTGAATCTCCAGAACAACGTGAGATCGCTGCCAACTGTTTGCGTTATGCGGCCGAGGCTCGTAGACGTGACCCTATTTCTGGTTGTCATGGCATGATCCTACACTACAAGAATATTCTCAATAATGTTGAACAAGATATTAAATCTGCAATAAATGAGCTCGAAACCTATGTGGGACATGATCAAGTGCCAAAATTTTATGATCTTCCAATGCCAGATGATTTCCTCATTACACCAGGTTCTTCAGATTCCTTTATTGAAAAAATAAAGAACCTAAACGATGTTCAAAAGAATCAACTTATGCAACTCCAAACAGCTGCTGATGTGCAAATGATAATGAGTAACATATTTTGGAAGAGAGAAGATCAAAAGATGGATGATGGTCATGGTCATGGAGCTGATGGCGCATCAACATCTGCTAGCCAGTGATACTCAAGAGATTCCTCCCATACCTAAAAACCAGATATCTCCGTCACCTAAAAGGCAAAGCCAACAATAATTTTAATAATGTATTTTGTGTGTGTTTTTCTTCTAATTCTAGTCTCATAATAACTTTGTGTCTTTTTATTTATTTATTACCATTTTGTCATAAATCTATGTAGTTCTTTTAATGGATATTTGTGTTGTTTGATCTATTCTCAGATGATATGTTTCTTTAATTTGGATTAGACATCAATAACCAAAAATACATATAAAAATCTTTTTAATCGATCCAAACCTAAATCTGTTCCTTGATAATATAAAAAAGAATTGTTTTAAGAAAAAATATGTGAATAAGATCTTAAATGAGTAAGGTTAGATTTGTATAGATACTTATATTAAAAATACAAATAGGCCATCTATAAAATTGGTAATCTGTATAAAAGTTATCGAATTAGTAATTGTTAATTTGTTTGGTAATGAGTGAATTAGTTCCATTTTATTGTGGATAGTTATATTAATTAGTATATATTTATATCACAAATACAAATACTACATTTATAATATCAATATCCTATAAAAGGTCATCGAGTAGAGATGTCAATATACAAATTATGATTTTCTAATTACTTCGCCATTCAATGAGCTCACTCTATTTATCAAAGATGGTCATATTAATTAGTATATATTAAAAATAAATTTGTATTCCAAATTAAAATTTAGATCAAAATAAAAATTAATAATTTAAAATAAAAGGTAATAAACAATAAACAAATCCTTCAACGAAATTTTCTTTCATGGAAATCCCTAATTAAATTCCACATTTTATTTTCAACACCAAACCAACTTTAAACTCTAGTTGTCATCTTTTGACCGCTTTTTGGGTAAGACAAAATTCATATGGTATTTAGAACTTATAATTTGGAGAAAAAATTTCATGTTCTTGTAAGTACGTAATCTTGTGATTTTACAGGATAAGTTTTTAAGCATATGTTTCTTCGGTTACTCATGTCTATGTTTCACTATACATATACACACGATTTTACTCATCGGATAATACAAACGTCGTGGTTTTCCTTTCACCATAAAATATGCGTTAATGGGCTTGGCCCATTTATATAAAACTAATAATTGAGACGATTTTTGATTTATTTCTCATAAGGCGACGCCGTATTATAGCCTAGAAACTCAAACGTCGTCGTTTCACTTCCCGGCGACTTTATCACCGCCGTCTTCTTCTTGTCAAACTCTTTGGCTAATTTCGTTTTGCTTTGAGCTTGTGAGCTACTTCTGATTCCGACCATCACGCAGTTTCCAGGTTAGTTTTTGATTTAATCCAAACAAAAGTATATGGGTTCAGTGTGTTGTGTCTCCAATGGAATTGGTTTCCGGGTTTAGATTGATAAGTTTTCTAGGGTTTAGGGCTCTTTCATTGGAAACGATACTTAGGTTATACGAATCTCTTGTTGGGTCTCTCTCAATACCAATACCAATCCACGTAATGATCAATTTTGCTCATCATCGTCAACGTCTAGGCTTTAATTAGTGTTAGTTCGAATTGACTCAGAGTAAAGTTTGGGTTTTTATTTCACCTAGTCATGAATTTGTTGTTCTCTCTGTAGAAAGTTTCTGTTTTTTAATCAAAGAAATGAAGAAGAAGATGATAGCCATTGGTTTCGAAGGTTCAGCTAACAAGATTGGTGTTGGAATTGTAACATTAGACGGTACAATCTTAGCGAATCCTCGGCATACTTATATAACACCGCCTGGTCACGGTTTTCTTCCTAGAGAGACTGCACATCACCATCTTGACCATGTTCTTCCTTTAGTCAAATCAGCTTTAGAGACTTCTCAAGTTACTCCTGAAGATATTGATTGCATTTGTTATACAAAAGGTCCTGGGATGGGAGCGCCGTTGCAGGTTTCAGCTATTGTCGTTAGAGTATTGTCGCAGCTTTGGAAAAAGCCAATTGTTGCTGTGAATCATTGTGTGGCTCACATTGAGATGGGGAGAGTAGTTACTGGAGCTGATGATCCTGTTGTATTGTATGTGAGTGGTGGGAATACTCAGGTGATTGCTTATAGTGAAGGTAGATACCGGATTTTCGGTGAGACTATTGATATTGCTGTTGGTAATTGCTTGGACCGGTTTGCTAGAGTCTTGAAGCTTTCTAATGATCCGAGTCCTGGTTATAACATCGAACAGGTAAGTTTCATCTGAATTGTAAAGTTAACTCTAATCTATCAAAATTCAAGAACCATGTTAACTCGGTTTTTTATTCTTTAATAGCTTGCCAAGAAAGGAGAAAACTTTATTGATCTTCCGTATGCTGTTAAAGGTATGGATGTATCTTTCAGTGGAATCTTGAGTTATATCGAAACTACCGCGGAGGAGAAGCTCAAGAATAACGAGTGTACACCAGCAGACTTGTGTTATTCCCTCCAAGTAAGGCTATCACTTGGTTCTTAATTGATGAATTTTGTCAAATTTTGGACTGATGAGAGAAATATCATGAATTCATGTCTGTTAATCTCGCAGGAGACGGTGTTTGCAATGTTGGTTGAGATCACGGAAAGAGCGATGGCGCATTGTGACAAGAAAGACGTTTTGATTGTTGGCGGTGTTGGTTGTAACGAGCGTTTACAGGACATGATGAGGACTATGTGCTCTGAACGTGATGGTAAGCTGTTTGCAACGGATGACCGTTACTGCATCGATAATGGAGCGATGATCGCCTACACAGGTCTACTCGCGTTTGTTAACGGTATTGAAACGCCGATTGAAGACTCTACCTTTACACAGCGATTTCGCACAGACGAGGTTCATGCGGTATGGCGAGAGAAAGAAGCTTTGGTACTTGGTGATAAGAACGTTGCTGCTAATTGATTATGTGCCCATTTTTGTTCATTTTTCATCCAATTTGAGATTGAATCTTTCCCTCTACTAGATAAATTGTTTTTCTTTTAAAAAGTAGTTAAGATATTTAAATGTGTTTCATTAGTCAAAATTAGATGTTTGTTTTCTTTTGATTTGAATAAATTTACTGATGGGTCTAATAACACTTTCAAATTTCAAAGTGAGCTTTGTAAAAGTTCAAATTTTTTTGTGTTGCATTTCGACTTTTGTTCGCTTTTTGTTTTAATTGCTTTTAGTAGAATATGATATGATATATTGAAGTCGACATTTCTACCGATAATGGTGGAGAGATTAGTGGATTAGTCTTCCTTAATCATACAAAACAACTGTGAAAATTCAGCACTACTAAAAATTAAGAACTTTTTAATGTATCACGTATGAGATGGTTCAATGAAAGGACGCTTTTATGGAAATATCATTTTTTCATTTGTATTATTGTATATGTATATCATTTTCTCATCATGTAGAACTCACATACGGCTACAAAAGTTTTGATCGATTCATGTCATTTTTTGTAGCATCATGCACTGAACTGAAATTAATTTAGATATTCTTCTAGAGACTAGAGTTCTAGATAAACAAACATTCACACATGTAAGCATGTATACTAAATATAAAAAATTTCTAAACTTTGAAAAGATATCATCATCATGTAGATTCAAACAAGACGAGCGAAAAAAGAGAGAGTAGAAAATGACAAAAGTTATTAGTAAAACAATCAAGTAAAGGTCAAAGTAATTAAAAGAAAAGATAAAGTATCTCAAAAGTCTTCCTTCCTCCATCTTCAAATGCCAAAAAGAAAAGATGAATGATTGAAGATAAATAAAAGTTCTCTTATTATTGGTATATTGCATTCATCTAAAAACCTCGAAGTAATCAAGATCTGAATGACAGCCGTTGATAAGGTTTTATGCTTTCACATTCATTGCACTCGATCGTCGTCAAATTAATAGTCTCATTTTCTAGTTTTAACGTGCTTTTAGTTACTTCACTAATTTGTTTTTGTTATTATTTCCACCAATTTTATTCATTGTGAATTCACTAGTTGTCTCCACATTAGTAAGATTCATCGGTATTAATAGTACATATGATAAAAGTTTGTATAAAATCAAAGAGTACATACCTAAGAATATTTAATTAGATGAATGTTGAAGTCCACATTGGATTCTATTAGTAGTCAAACTGCATGTTCTTAACCCCAATTAGGTTTTAATACATGTACTAACAATTAACAAATAGTACTTCTATAACTAATCTTTAAATAAGCTCAAATCTTTTATCAATTTACTTTATAGTTTACAATTAATTAGAATAAGAAATAAAGAGTTAGACTTAGTGGAATGATTGTCCTCTACATCTCGATATATATTATCATTAATTTTTATAGACCGTATATACTATATAGTAATCAACTAATCATATTAGCGCATTATAAGAAATATAGATCTAAACAAAACATTCTCTAATCAACTAATCTCATCCAAAAACTCACTCGTTTTAAGAGACTAAATATTAATGTGTATCAGTGTATGTGTATGCAGGAGTAGACACGTGCACGTGGCACATGCAGAGAATGCGAAGGTGGAGTGTTGACAAAGAAGAAGAGGATGATCCAAGTTTCGAAATGATTCCAAAAGTTATGAACTATAAGCCAAAGTGCCCATTCGCCAAACATCAACTTAAACTTCACTCGTTAGATCGTTTTCTCACATTAAAGCCGCTCTACACTTTTACCCATTTTACACACAGATGTTCTTTGACGAAAAAACTACACATAGATGTTAGATGTTATAGACTTTATTCATAAACTTAAGTTATGATAAACATAAACTTAAGTTATGATAAAATAGCTAAGTGATTTTGCGATTTTGACACTAGTGAAATGTTTGTCTATCACTTGAATTCTATCTCATAGTTTTAAAGATGTATCCTTAGGGCAGGTTATCCAAAAAGCATATTTTTGTTTTGAATCGAAATTTGTGATACAGAAATATACCAAAAATGTGTCTAAATCATAAACCAATGCAAAGAAAGTGATATAAACCAAGATCTTTAGCAATATACATAAATAAACAAACACCTAATTCCAACACAAATGTGAACATTAACTGTTAAAAATGACCAAAAAAGTCATCAAGATTTGGCTTTCCTTTTCAAAAGCAGTACACGTCTCTGTCTCACACAGACAGTGTATTCAATGCGTTGTGTTGTCTTCCCACTTTTCACCAGCTAAGGCTCTGCTTCTTCCTCTTCCTCTTCTCTCCAAAACAAGACAAAATTCTCCAAGAATAACTTTTTTTCATTCACGAGAGTGGAAGATTAGAGTTTTCCAAATCCGAGTAAAAGACACAAAATCTCCGGGCTTAGATTCTCAAGTTAGGTCTCTTTCCAAAAGTTCCTATCTTCTCTTCGTCCAATAAAGAGATAGCTCCAAATCCAGAACAAAACAGAGTACTCTCTGCTCTATAAACTTCATTACCTTTATTACTCTGCTCTTTAAAACAGAGTACTCTGCTTTATAGAGATAAATGAGCTAAACTTTTCTATACAGAGAGACAAGACCAATTCAAGAATGGTTGCCTTAAGTGCCACGTTACTTATCCTTCTCTCAATCTTTCTTTCAACTCCGTCCAATGTTCGAGGCAATGCGGAGCTAAAAGCTTTAATGGAGCTGAAATCGTCGCTTGATCCTGAAAACAAGCTTCTCCGATCATGGACGTTTAACGGCGATCCATGCGACGGATCTTTCGAAGGAATTGCATGTAACCAGCATCTCAAAGTCGCAAACATATCGTTACAAGGGAAACGTTTGGTCGGAAAATTGTCTCCGGCGGTTGCTGAGCTCAAATGTTTGTCAGGTCTTTACTTACATTACAATAGTCTCTCCGGAGAGATACCTCAAGAGATCACAAATCTTACTGAATTATCAGATCTTTATCTCAATGTTAATAACTTCTCCGGCGAGATTCCCGTAGATATCGGCTCCATGGCTGGCTTGCAAGGTTAGCATCTTTCAATGTTTTGATATACCGGTTGATGCTTAACCGGTTTAGATTAACCGGGATTTACTTGGAGCTAGAAACAGAGAAATTACTTGGAGTTGATTTATATGTTTGTGTTGTCTTTTGTTGCAGTTATGGATCTTTGTTGCAACAGTTTAACAGGGAAGATACCAAATAACATTGGTTCTTTGAAGAAACTAAATGTGTTGTCTCTGCAACACAACCAACTAACCGGAGAGGTTCCTTGGAGTTTGGGAAACTTGAGTATGTTAAGCAGAATTGATTTGAGCTTCAACAATCTGTTAGGTTTAATCCCAAAAACCCTAGCCAACATTCCTCAGTTGGAAACTCTTGACTTGCGCAACAATACTCTCTCTGGCTTTGTTCCTCCTGGTGAGTTTCGATTCTTGAAATGTCTTTGTAAAGCTTATCTCTCTGTTTCTTGACTCGTCTTTTTCTTCGATATGTTTCTTGAAAGGTCTCAAGAAGTTGAATGGGAGCTTCCAGTTTGCGAACAATACCGGGTTATGTGGTATTGATTTTCCTTCTTTGAGAGCTTGTTCTGCTTTCGATAATGCGAACATCGAACAATTCAAGCAGCCTCCTGGTGAAATAGACACTGATAAATCAGGTCTTCACAACATTCCCGAGTCTGTATATCTCCAAAAGCATTGTAACCAAACACATTGCAAGAAATCATCATCGAAACTCCCACAAGTTGCGTTGATCTCAAGCGTGATTACCGTCACTATAACACTGATTGGTGCCGGCATATTGACCTTCTTTCGCTACAGAAGACGGAAGCAAAAGATTAGTAACACGCCTGAGTTTTCCGAGGGAAGACTAAGCACAGATCAACAAAAAGATTTCCGTGCATCGCCTTTAGTGAGTCTTGCTTACACCAAAGAATGGGATCCGCTCGGCGATAGCAGAAACGGAGCTGAGTTCTCACAAGAGCCTCATCTCTTTGTTGTTAATAGCAGCTTCAGGTTTAACTTAGAAGACATTGAATCAGCAACACAATGCTTCTCAGAAGCTAACTTACTAAGCCGAAACAGCTTCACCTCGGTGTTCAAAGGAGTCCTCAGAGATGGTTCTCCGGTAGCTATCAGAAGCATCAACATAAGTAGCTGCAAGAACGAAGAAGTCGAATTCATGAACGGTTTAAAGCTTTTATCTTCACTGTCACATGAAAACTTAGTGAAGCTACGCGGATTCTGCTGTTCTAGAGGCAGAGGAGAGTGTTTCCTCATCTATGATTTTGCTTCAAAAGGAAAGCTCTCGAATTTTCTTGATATACAAGAACATGAAACGAATCAGGTTCTTGATTGGCCTGCAAGAATCTCCATCATCAAAGGGATTGCAAAAGGTTAAGTCTTTAAAAGATCACTTCTTCAAGTTGCAGTAACAAAATGTATCTAACACACAAACTTCTTGCAGGTATTGCTTACTTACATGGAAGTGATCAACAGAAGAAGTCTACAATAGTTCATCGAAACATCTCTGTCGAGAAAATCCTACTCGATGAGCAATTCAACCCGTTGATCGCTGATTCGGGTCTTCACAACCTTCTAGCAGATGATATGGTCTTCTCAGCACTCAAAACAAGTGCAGCAATGGGATATTTAGCTCCAGAATATGTCACAACCGGAAAATTCACCGAGAAAACCGACATTTTTGCCTTCGGAGTCATCATTCTCCAGATACTCTCTGGCAAGCTCATGCTTACTAGCTCACTGAGAATTGCAGCTGAGAATGGAGAACATAACGGGTTCATCGATGAATATCTTCGTGAAGAGTTCGATAAACCAGAGGCGATTGCAATGGCGAGGATAGGGATAAGCTGTACACAAGAGATACCAAACAATAGGCCTAATATAGAGACATTGCTTGAGGATATAAACTGTATGAAGAGTGAATGAGTGTTTTGATTAGTAGTAACTCTGTTTAGAGAAAAGGTTTCAACTTTGTGCAAGTATGATTCTCCGGTTAAACTGTATCACACCAATTGGTTTTGTTTGTTTTGTTTCTCTTCAGCAAGACCGGGTCCGGTTTATATGTTCTTTAGATTTGCAGCTGAGAATTGAAGCCTAAATTTAAGTAAATAAAGATATGAACACAAAATTGAAGCTTTTATTGTTATCCGTTAAATATGGTCCATTATAACTAATTCGGCTAAATTAATTTTGTGTGATTTCATCAGTAAGCACAATGTGCCATGGTTTGCTTTTATTGAGGAGCTTAAGGAATCAGCTGAGCAACTTAGTATAGCAGACTTGGAGCTATGCTACAAGCTTCTTAGAGAAAATAGGTATGTAATGAGAACATTAAGTTGTTATCCGGTTTATGAATTGATCTTAGCTTATTTCTCTGCCAGGTTCTTAAGGCTGCGTTCCAACACTACGAAGCCGACTTGTAGAGAAGAACCACTAAGAGCGTTAGAGGAATCTCCCATTACAAGAAATTGAAATTGTATAGATATTTCAACAGTTCGAAGATTCCATAATACAAATGTTCATTGTGAATATTAAAACAATAGAAGAATAGAATGATAAACAAAATATCAAATTAGATCAAAGAAAATACTATATAAAAATGAAAAAAAATTACATCTGATAACAAAAAAAATACGTACAAGTAGGTAGTGATATGACTTAAAGTCGTTTAAGTCACTCACATGAAAGTCGAGTTCGAGTTGCCAAAAACATATAATTCCAAAAAGATTAGTTTGCCAGTGGAACACATATATTTGACTAAGCTTGACATCGTGAGTCGAATTTGCATGGACACGACGTTAAAGCCTGAGAGTGAGAGGTTGGTTAGTGTGTCATGATCACTTTTCAGTTCTCATTTCCAATTTGTAAAATGTTTTTATTCTGAAGACCATGAATATAGATATATGGTGGTCAATAAATGAATTATTTTATCTTCTTATAAAACAAAAGTGTACTCCAAATTTTCAATGTAGTATTTTCATATACCTTATAATGTGCATTGTGCAGTAAGAGTAACTGCAAAAAAATTATGTACCAAGTCGATCAAAATTAATTGTGTGAACATAATTACATAAACCTTTCAATATAACAACCAAATAGTTGTCTTCAGTTTAACTTTTGAGACGAGAGAGAAAATGAGAATCCAAAAAGTCATGAGTCACTTACTTTGTCTTTGTCCATGCATAATTTGACTTTGCAACGTACGAGGAATAAATATATCCGACTTGTAAAATATGTGATCCACTATATATCTAGCTACAGACCTATGGTTTCAATTACACGGATCATCTATTTAAATTTTTAAATAGATACAACAATTGGATGATACTCACAATCATTTTTTTTTTTCTTTTTTTCAATTATTCTAATTTGTATCTAACAAAAAAATTATTCTAATTTGTTTTATTACATTCACATTATCTATTCTTGCGTTCTTTTCATTTTTCTCACGGGTTGGAAGAAAATTGTTAAAATCTGTACATTCATTGGTGTTGGTCCTTCTGGTTCTGTAAAGTATAATTTCTATAAATACTAAAAAGCAAAACAAGAAGAAACAATATTTTGTACTTTACGAAAACGTCATGACTCCACCGAGAATCAATCTCGAGTTTCCAAAAACAGGTTATTCGAAGAAAGAAAAGTGACAGTAGACGCAAACATTTTGTATGCTATATATTTTCAATTCTCATTTTTCACAATCACAAAAATAAATTTTGACAAGTGGATGGTTTCGTCGTTTCTTCATTTTGCCAAATAAAATTGAAGTGTAATCGTATCAAGACGTGCTAACCTAGAAACATCACAACAAGATATAAGATCGTTCTACCTATCTCTAAATCATATAGTTTCATGTAGCGAAAAATAAAAATCATATAGTATAATATTTAAGTTTTCTAAAAATAACTGTTTTTGCGACAATGTTTAACCGGAGATATACAGCAGCCAGTTCATAAGATGAAAACCTTTCTCCTAACAAGTTGCAAAAACACATATATTTCGATATAACTATTTTCTATAAATAGAAATGGTTCTTAATCTTATGACTCTACAACAAATGAGAAAAGAATTTGCAGCAAAATGAGAATCAAATTAGTCAAGAAAAATAAATGATAGTGGTATCTATTCAATGTACACTAATTGTGACGTGGTATATCATGTACTATGCGACTATGCGTGGGTTAAGATTCTAAAAAGTAGGTAAATTAATAATACTTTTACGATCGGTTTTTACTTTTCCACAATCTCAAAAACAAACAATTCATCAAGATGAACATATATATAGCTCTTTGGTGACTTGACTTGTATTCAATTAATTTTTTAGTTGCCTTGTAATGGTACTTAATTTTCCCATGTTTTCACCTTTCACTATGGTATTATTTACTGTTCTTTTTATACAATGTGTTATATATACACGTATATATATATATATATTATTTGATCCGCATATATATTATTTGTTATTCATCTAATGTATATTATACTTCGATTATCCCTTGACGCAAGGGAAACAATATGAAAATATTATTTTCTGTTTTATTTTCTTAAAAACATTAATGTGGAATCCGTTAAAATGTTGCAAAGCAATATTTATACATTGAGTATTATGAATTAAAGTTTGCGAAAGATAATCCAAAAGTTTTCGATTGAATTTTAGTATTTTTAGCACCATGCTATTCATTTATATTATATGCCAATAACATGCATGATGGACATCTAGACTATTACATATGAATGTTGGTACTCATTCATACTCTTCAATAGATGTCTTTTTAAAATCGTTTGTACCATATGTAAACAGAAAAATATAAATTCATGAGTACTTCCTAGGAATATCTCTCTAACGTGAATTATAAATCTAGTGTTAACCACTTTTTAGAAATGGAAAGATGTCTAACCTCAGAACTCTTTTACAAATATTAAAAATAAATTACATAATTGTAAAGTAATAGTATTATTGTAGCACTACGTAACATATCAAGAGGTGTCCGTACCAAATAGCTTATATATATATATATATACATAGACATACACCCACCAGAGAGACTCATTCTCATCACTTTCATAATTTCTTCCCTAGAGTCAGAGGCTGAGATAAAGAGGTCACAAATCAATCTCTCTTTTTTTTTTTTTTTTAATTTCGCCTTTCAAATATATGTTTTATTAAGTCTCTCCTCTCATATCTATAGATTGTTCTTCATTTTTGCCTTTTTATAATAAGGGAATAACATATTTGAATCTTTTTAGGAAAACAATGGCAAAGAAAGTGGAAATTTACGGTGGTTTTGGAGAAGAATTTGATGATGGTGTTTACGACAGTGTGAGGAAAGTGTGTGTTGGAGTATATGGTGACCGTGTAAGCTCTGTTGAATTCGAGTATGGTAAGGGAGACCAATCGATAATTCGTTCTCACGGCCAAAAATCACAAGAAAGTAAAGAGGTATATATATATCTTGATTCTTGGTCATTTCTTGCATCCATTTTCTCTTATCTTTTTGTTCGCTTTGTTTAATGAATCCGGTTCTATTTTGCAGTTTGTGCTTGACCATGCACGTGGTGAATATATAAAATCCGTGGAGGTAACTTCCCATGGAAATGGTTTAATCTCTTCTTTAACGTTCATAACATCAGTGGAGAGAGACCGTGAGGTATTTGGGAAAGTGGAAGGTACAAAAAATTTCCTCGAAGCAAAAGGGTTTGATAAGCTTGTCGGCTTCCGAGGAAGGTCTTACCTTGACCGTCTCAATGCTCTCGGAGCACATTTTGCGGTGGTGCTAACTCCTCCGGTCAAAAAACTAGAAGCAAAAGGTGGGAACTTTGGGGACGAGTGGGATGACGGGGTCCATGACAATGTTCGTAAGATAACAATCAGACGCAGCGAAGGATCTGTGGAAATGGTCAAGTTTAAGTACGTGAATGGAACGGAGATTGTATTGGGAGACGCTCATGGGGATACTTCACAGCTTCCGTATGTAAAAGAAAAGGTCTTTGCACTCTTCAATTCTCAAATTTATTATTACCCAATAACTAATGTTACATATATGTAATTTTATTTTGTTTATGTTTTATCATATTGTAGTTCGTGCTTTCTGAAGATGAATACCTCACATTTGTTCATGGACACTATGGTCAAAAGTTTCCAGTTGGACAATCCGTTAATTTGCATGGTCGCTTTTGCGACGGTATAACGATGCTTAAGTTCAAGACAAACAAGGATACATATCAAGTGTTAGGAGCCGAAACAGAAGGTTATGAGTATGTGGGCACATCGTTCGTGTTGGGGGAGACTGATCACAAGATTGTTGGGTTCCATGGCAATTCTTTATATGGTGGTCTCTTGCAAATTGGTGTTTATGTTTCGCCAATCAATAACGCTTAAGCTTACTATCTTTTCTAAGTAGAAGAACAATAAAGAGAAAAGCTGTCTATGCTTTTACTCACGTACTCTCCTATTACTATCTTCTTATGTTGTGTTCGTCGTTGTTGTTTATACTCTCTTTAACTATAAATGCCTTTATAAAGTGGTATTTCTTCAATTTATTCGATTTTGAGATGATCGCATTCGCACCAATGTTTCTTTTACTTTTTCCTTCTATTAGTATTTTCTGGAAAATGTTTAGTTTTCAAAGTTGAAGGACCATCAACAATTATGGAATGGTCTCGCATTAAAAAAAATTGAAAATCTTGAGAAGATACAAAATGAACAGTAGGAAGAGTTAAACAAATATAGTAAGTTGAAAACTTTTTACGTTCAGTTGAAAATAAGATCATCAGTCACCTACAACTTAATTTATCAGTTTCTTCACTAACTCCAATTTATGGAAAAAGCAATTCACAAATCACAAGCCTAACTTTATTCATCAAGTATCCATGTTAAATGTTGTATCTATTTTATGTATGAGTTTCAAAAAGTTTGTAGAATATTTTTTAAAAAATCAGCCATAAAATTTATGTCGATCAAGTACACAATCATAACTATATCTATGAATTTTGCAAAACTTAAAGATAACCCTTTTAGATTATAAGCAACTAAAGAACTGATAAATATAGCAAAGATATATTTAATCGGTTTTTACTTTTCCACAATCTTAAAAACAAACAATACAAGATGAACAAATAGCTCTTTGGTGACTTGGCTATTACATATGAATGTTGGTACTCATTTATACTCTTAAATAGATGTTTTTAAAATCATTAGTAACATGTAAACAGAAAAATATAAAAACTAGTGTTAGCCACTTTTTTGAGAAATCAAAAGTAAAAAAAAGTTCTACAACTACTTCCTTATAAGTTATAAATGGAAAGATGTTAATCTCATAACTCTTTTACCAATATTAAAAATATATTACATAATTGTAAAATAATAGTATTATTGTACCAAATAGCTTCAATATATATACATACACCCACCAGAGACTCATTCTCATCACTTTCATAACTTCTTCCCTAGAGTCAGAGGCTGAGATAAAGAGGTCCCAAATCAATCTCTCTTCTTTTAATTTCGCCTTTCATATATATGTTTTATTAAGTCTCTCCTCTCATCTCTATATATTGTTCTTGATTTTGCCTTTTAATAATAATAACATATTTGAATCTTGTAGGAAAACAATGGCAAAGAAAGTGGGAATTTACGGTGGTATTGGAGAAGAATTTGATGATGGTGTTTACGACAGTGTGAGGAAAGTGTGTGTTGGAGTAGATGGTGACCGTGTAAGCTCTGTTGAATTCGAGTATGGTAAGGGAGACCAAACGATAACTCTTTCTCACGGCAAAAAATCATCACAAGAACGTAAAGAGGTATATATATCTTGCATCCATTTTCTCTTATCTAATTGTTCGCTTTGTTTAATGATTCCGGTTCTATATTTTGCAGTTTGTGCTTGACCATGATGAATATATAAAATCGGTGGAGGGAACTTTCCATCATTATTATTTCATCTCGTCGTTAACGTTCATAACATCAGTGGAGAGAGACCGTGAGGTATTTGGGAAAGAGGTTGGTACCAAATTTGTCCTCAAAGCAAAAGGGTTTGATAAGCTTGTCGGCTTCCGAGGAAGGTCTTCCCTTGACCGTCTTAATGCTCTCGGAGCCCATTTTGCGGTGGTGCTAACTCCTCCGGTCAAAAAACTTGAATCAAAAGGTGGGAACAACTTTCGGAACGAGTGGGATGACGGGATCCATGACAATGTTCGTAAGATTAAAGTAAAACGCTACCAAGAATCTGTGGAAATTGTCCAGTTTAAGTACGTGAATGGAACGGAGATTGTATTGGGAGACGCTCATGGGTTTACTTCACAGCCTTCTATGGTTAAAGAAAAGGTATAGTTGCACTCTCTCCTCAAATTTATTATTACCCTATACCTAATTTTACATATATGTAAATTTTTTTTTTTTAATCATTGTAGTTTGTGCTCTCTGAAGATGAATACATCACGTCTGTTCATGGACACTATGGTCAAAAGATTCCAGTTGGACAATCCTTTAATTTGCATGCTCGCTATTGCAATGGTATAACGATGCTTAAGTTCAAGACAAACAAGGATACATATCAAGTGTTAGGAGCCGAAACAGAAGGTTATGAGTATGTGGGCACATCGTTCGTGTTGGGGGAGACTGGTCACAAGATTGTTGGGTTCCATGGCAAGTCATCTACATTTTCTCTTGCACAAATTGGTGTTTATGTTTCGCCAATTAATAACGCTTAAGCTTTATTATCTTTTCTTACTCACTCTCCTATTACTATCATCTCATAAGTTGATCTTGTGTTGTCTTCGTAGTTGTTTACACTCTCTTTAACTATAAATGCCTTAGTAAAGTGGTATTTCTTCAATTTATTCGATTTTGAGATGATCGCATCAATGTTTCTTTCACTTTTCCTTCTATTTAGAATTTTGTGGAAAATGTTTAGTTTTCAAAGTTGAACGACCATCAACAATTATGGAATCTCGCATTGAAGAAAAAAGTTGAAAATCTTTAGAAGATACAAAATTAACAGGAGGGAGAGTTTAACAAATGTAGTAAGTTGAAAACTTTTTTCGTTCAGTTGAAAATAAAGATCATCAGCCAACTACAACTTTATCAGTTTCTTCACTAACTCCAATGGAAAAAGCAATTCACAAAGCACAAGCCTAACTTTATTCATCAAGTATCCATGTTAAATGTTGTATCTATTTTATGTATGAGTTTCAAAAAGTTTGTAGAATATTTTTTTAAAAATCAGCCATAAAATTTATGTCGATCAAGTACACAATCATAACTATATCTATGAATTTTGCAAAACTTAAAGATAACCCTTTTAGATTATAAGCAGCTAAAGAATTGATAAATATAGCAAATATATATTTATCATTAAAGAGCAGTATTTAAAATCCTCAAATTCATCATACAGTTACAATAATGATGCAACCTAAGTAAAGTAATTAGTCTTTGGTTACATTCACTAAAGATTTTAGAAACCATACATATAGTCGGAGGTTAGTTTCTACCATGTCCTCTTACATTCATTGCAGCTTTTGGTCTTCTGGATGATTCTGCTCGTGCATGAGAAGGACTTGGATCAGTCGAGGGAAGTAACATTGGTTGCTCTCTGTTTACAAGACCACCTGTAAGAATATCAAAGAGATGATTTCATCTAGTTCACAAAGAAATCGTACAACACGAAAAATTTGACGGCGTAATTTGACTACTTACTTCCAAAGGAACCAGACCGACCGGGTAATTGCATCTGCCTTCTAGCATTTCCATTCCAAGACTGTTCAAAGTTGGCCAATTCATCTGCAGAATTTTGCATTGAAAGCAAACGGTATATAAGGATCTCTCATCCACAATAGAATCTTTCTGAAGCTTAACGAGAAATGTATCAGTTACCTTCATTTAAATTGTGTAAGGTCTGTGTTGTATCAACACAGCCATCTGAGTTAAGTTTACGCGCAACAGTGTGGCCCTGCAAGTATAAGAACATAACTTATATTTGATCCAACAACAGAAGATAAAAGATTTATTATCCTCAAGGTTAAGGTATCTATATATAAACTACCTTGTTATGAAGGCCTCTTGAAATCATGTGCGCTGCTTCGCGCGTTGCAGTGTTGGCTTCTCTGCTTTCTTCAAGAGTTAACTGTTTCACAGTAAGACCGGTTTTAGTAGTAAGCATAAGCTAACATCCTTACACACACACACACACACACACAAATACATTACTAATATAACTCACCCCATCACTTCCTGTCCTTCTGGTTTTCGATGAAGTATAGTAGTTGCCGTTCTGACCACCGTATGTAACAGTCGAGCTCTGAAAACTATAACTACCTGTTTGAGGTTGCCACTGTCCATTGTTCACCATGGCATTCACATTCATGTTCTGCATTTGTGGGTTCCTTCTCTCTGCATTCACATTCATATTCTGCATTTGTGGGTTCCTTCTCTCTGCATTTACATTCATGTTTTGCATTTGCCGGTTCCTTCTCTCTGCAGCGAACATAAAACACAATCAGTTCCAAAGAAACAAACGATTTCCTTCCGTTAAATAACTAAGGTAGAACCGTAACAAATTATCACCTTCCACTCTAGCATCTTCAGCTTCAACCTCACTGCTTGACCTGCCATGTTTCCCTAGACTTCCTTTCTTCTCTTTATCTCCTTCTTTCTCATCATCTGATTCAATCTCTTCAATAACCGGTCCACGTGACCTACTCGCCTGCCTACTCGGTCCTGGTGGCTGATTATTCTCAATAAAACCCGGGGGCAAACGACGCATTTCTGCAAAAGGATTCATGCTAGGACCAAAGAAGTTGGACTGAAACATGCCACCACCAAAAGGCTGAGTGAAAAAAGGGTCATCAAACGGATCTCTTCCTCCGAAAAAATTAGCCATCAAATTTGGAGGACCATTAAGGCCACCAAAACCACCAAAGGAACCGCCTCCAAATCCACCAAAAGGGCCGCCTCCAAAACCCCCAAAAGGACCGCCAAAACCACCACCAAAAGGATCTCTACCACCTCCTTGCATCTTCCCTAATAAACTATCATCAAACACAACAAAATCACATATTTTTTTTTCCAGAAATCTGAAAATTTGCAATTCAACAAAATCTCTAGCAAGATAACAACTCTCTAACTACAAAGAAAATTCAACAGTAAAAATCACAATCCCAGAATTCTGAGAGATTACATGAATCGATCACAATCAAGTCAGAAACAACTCAGGGACGTAAAAATCATGGAGAAAAAAACAGAGACCTGAAGCAAACTAACCCTAACGAAGAACTCGAAATTGAAATTCAATCACAAATCAAAATCAAACAAAAGAATTCACCATGATCGAATTCGAAGTTCATACCTCGAAACAACGATTCTGATTTTCCAAAAATCTCAGAGATATTTGTTGGAATTGAGAATTTTTCTCTTAAGCCTTTTTAATGAAATTGTTACTCGGCAAAAGATTTTAAGATACTTCTCGAACTGTGTTTTTACAGAAGTCGCGATATGATTGGCTGATGGGTTTAACTCAGACACCGTTTCTGTAAGTAATTTTTCTCTTGCTCTAATTTGATGGATTTTCTTCTAAACATGGCATAACTTCAAAATTTCTACTTAAGTCCATTTCTTCTATATCTTTTTATAAAGTTGAATCTTTTTTTTTTACATTGTTCGAAATGAGTTCCCGCGCGATTTCATATTGTTTTAAAATCTCGTTCTGATTGAACGTTGAAGATGGATTTAACGATTATTCAGATTAAAATCGGGGATTAATACTAAATATTATATAACAATCAAAGAAAAGTAATTTTTTGGATGTCTATTATTCATAACTATATAATATTAATTAACTAGAACGGTTAAGAAATCTAAATTAAAGGTATTTTACATAAATTATACACGAGATAAATCCAATAATTATAAGGAAAACCAAACCATCGTGAACTACTTATCCGAACTACGAAATTACACACAAAGCCTTAAACATAACTTAAAATAACCACCAAAGCCTAGGAGAAAAGGCTACCACCAAACGAAGGAAAATGAAGGCCAAACTCGCAATCAACGGAAAGCGCAGAATGAGCAGCAGACGCGAAACACAAAGTTCACAAACAGCCGCCAAGGCAAAAAAAAAAACTGCGTAGAAAGGATCCAAATACGACGAGTAACAAGAACAAAAAACCACGAAGGAGAATCACAAATTTTTGCCGCACAATCTTCATACTAAAGAGTCTAAATTTAGAACTTTGCCTCCCCACAAAAAATTAGTCTTACAAGAACAAGACCAAGGAAGACCACATGAAAAAACTGCTTTTTCACCTAGAGTAAGGGCGGTGGAAGGAGTTTTTTTTTACATTTACCAAAATAAAAGGATGCTAATCGAAAAATAACCAAACCAGACAAACGACTACGCACACACAGACCAAGGACTCACGAGATACTAGACAAACAACACAAACAAAAACTAACGAAACATACACAAAACCTTGACTCACTTCAAGGGCTGGTCAGAAAACCCAAGAGCGGAAACATACATATAGTATATATACTACTATCAAATTTTCTTTTGAAAATCCCAAAAATGCAATCACTGGTTAAGACTTTTTTCATAATGCTCTCAATCTCGAAGAGGTTATGACCACTACTCACTGTTGAGTGTAGATTAATAGCCATATGTGAGGACTTATACGCCACTGACAGCAGAGGGTGCGGTTGAAGTAGAAGAAGGTCTACACATGCTGCTTGAATATACAAGGCTAGACTATGAAGTTTGGGTCCAACCAGTCTCTTTCACACTATAGAACACTGAGGTGATTTAGGCGGAAACTCTGAGGTTCCCGTCGTTTTTATATTTTGTAGTTGATTACTATATAACAAGAGGGATTCATGTAGTTGTGACATAACAAAAAGAGAAGAAAAGATCATCCTTCATTAGAAAATAAAGATCCAATCAGAGTCAAAGAGAAGGGTTTTAAGAACATTCTAAAGTAAGAAGTCTAACCTTAATCCCTCATTAAAAGACTAGACCAGCTAGAACCTAGAGATCACTCCTAGAACAACTTCAACAACATAAGAAGCTTGGACACTCAGAAGCCCTTTGTAGCTTAATCAATTACTTCCCTTGGATGTCTTGGGGGTCCTGTCAGATATTATACCATTCGGGACAGTCTCTTCCATCACCTTTGGGACTGTGAAATTGAAGTCGCCAAGCAGTGCATACTTGTAATCCTGATTGGCATCAATGAAGGCTGCGATTTCATTGCGAGACTTGAGCTTCTTCCCAGTAGGAGTTATGTAGTACGCATCCATTTTCGAGTAGTCCTTCCTCAGAATTAAGCTCCTCTTGAACCCTCTTGGTGTCTTTGGCAAGCCAGGCTTGTCGATGACCCATGTTCTGGAGGAATCATAGTTTAGGTCTCCAGCATCTTCACAGGATATACCTTCTTTCTTCTCGCACACATACGGGTCTTCTTGTATTCTACTTCTGATCTCTTCGTATTCATCTTGAGTAGCAATCTGCCTCCACTTCAGGCATTTTTCACACTGTACAGCAAAGACATCGATCGACCTCCCTGGAGTACCGGCTTTTTTCTACACAATACAAATAGAGAATCTCAGTGAAAAGGAGAACAGTCACTCACATACACACAAGCTACTTGGATAAATAGAATGAAACAAGAACCATACTACAACAGATCCAGTTCCAGAATCACACAACTCGTTTAATCTATAGGCAAGACAAGAAAACATGCCTAGAGAAACACAAAGTGTCACACTTTAAGCTTCTATAGAAGAGAGAACACACAATAGAAATCTAAGAAGTCCTATATATAGAATGCATGTTAGAAATAAAGTTTTATCTAAACAGGGACACCATCAAAAGAGTGATACTTAGAACAGACAGATCTAAACCAAATTTGACGAAAAAAGGTCACTGCGAAATAAAGTTATAACCTTTGTAAAATGTCTGCATCAAATAAGAAAGTTTTCGAAACAGAGAACTTGTAAAAACCCTAATGATTCTCCAACTAAAATCACAAGTAAGAGATAGAATTGAATGCTTAAAACATACTAAATGATAAGATCTGTGTGGTAAAAGGAGACACAAAAGCAAAATTGAATGTGATTTTGGTTAGTGCGGTAACCTTAAGGATTGGTTTGGCTAATTTCTCGGTCTGACTCTGATCGTCCATCTCAATTCCCCCGATGAAGCAGAGTGATGACTTGTTCAAATTCACTGCCAAAAAATGGAAAACATAAGAACCTTCAATTTCAAGCCCTAACTAGAGAAACCCAGAAGTGAGTTTTCAATTACTGATCAAACATCTAACAGCAAATTCAAGGAGAATTGAGTTCATACCTCGAACAACGATTCAGATTTCCAAAAATCTCAGAGCTTTTTTTTTTTTTGTTGGAATTGAGAAGTTTTCTTTTAACCCTATTTATGCAATTTTGGCCCCAGCAGTTGAAATGTGATAAAAATCGTCTCCAACTGTGTATACAGATGTCGAGATATGATTGGGTGAATGTCACGCAGACCATTTTGTGTAATTTTTAATGGATTTTCTACTAAACATGACATTATTAATTAAATTTCCATTGTTAATTAAGTTCTGTGTTTGCATGAAAACTCTCTATGTTGTGCGTTTTTTTTGTTTTTGGAACGTTTCGGAAACGGAAACTTTTGAAAACACGAAAAAAATGTTATGGAAATACGTTACTTTTGTTTGAAAACGCCATGAAAACTCACACTTTCGTTTCAGAAACGTGACAAAATCTTTTTTAAAAAAAATTTGGAAACTTAATAAATAAAGAGTTTGAAAATATTAAATTTATAATACATATAACTAATTTTGTAAGACTCGAGTTTTAAGATTTTTCTTTCGACGAACTAGATTTGGAAACATGTTCTTTTAGAGTTTTGGTTAAACTATTTAATATTTATGGTTTAGACTTGTGTTGTTTTGAACATTTTTTCTTTAACATAGTTCTTAATTTTATTTTTTTGACAACATATAGTTCTTATATTCTTATGTTTATTGCTATATATTTATGTATATATACGTTTCCAAAACATTTCTATTTCTTAATTTTAGAAAAAAATCGTTTTTCATTTTTGAAACATTTCACTTCCGCGTTTCCGTTTCCATGCAATATAGATTAGGGGCGACTCGGGATTTAAAAATGTAATATTTGGCCAAAGTAATTTAGTTAGAGTGATTTAGTATTTTACTAATTTTAGTTACTCATCATTAGTCATAACAATAGAGAAATTTACTTTGGTCAAAAAAAGGAGGAAGTAAATTTATTTGAGTAAAATATTGCATTATAAAATAAATAAATAAACAAATAAGAAGGGCAAAAAAGTAAATATTTTTGATTCCATCCATAAGCATACACAAAGTATGTGCTACATGACATCTTTGATCGTTACAATACATCATTCACGTGTCGTGATTTTTTTTATCATATATATTATTAACCTGACAAGTTTTCTATCGTTGGATTCATTATAACATGTTATTATTATCAATAGTGATATAAAAAGGAACTGGTATATTTAAGCAAATGTGAAAGAAAAAAATTATAATTAACATTGTTGGCTGTGTAAAGAAGCTTGAGAAATTTCATTTCACGAAAATGAAACATTCCATAAAAGGCACTAATCTTTAATACACAAGACAAGATATATATTGATACATACACAAAGCAGAGACACACTTCCAAAATTTGAGTTTTTAAGGTCATAGAGACTGAAGTGGCTCTGTCTCGGACTCCGACCTGCTCGTAAAGTCTAACCCTCCAAGTGCTGGCAACTTCCTCTTATCGGCCTCTGTGTACAATGGCACGAACCAGTACACTTTATCACTTCCAAAAACCTGATTCAACAAAGGAATAGAGACCAAACTTTTAAAAGCTTTCATTGTGTTTATGTGATGTCCAAGGTTTCATCTAAAGAAGCCTGAGACTACTTTCATTTAACCCAAGAATCGACAATTGAAGAACGAGTTTTGAGACAGACAAAGACTATGGAGAGAGAACCTGTTCAAAGTTTGTCTTACGACCAACGTTGTATGGCCAGTTAACTGTATGCTTCTCATACGCCTGCGATAAATAAACCATTAGTTTGGTCAGTGAGTTTATACTTAATAGTTATGGAGATCCCTGAGAAACCCCAAGAAGTTAAGAGCAAAACTAAGTGATGATGACTGATGAGAGTTGTTTACCTCAATAGTTGTTGTGTTACGAGCGACTAACATAATGTGCATAATTAGGAAGCCTAGGACACTTAGCGCAAATGCTATGTTCAATACTGGAAAGCAAGAAAGGGAAGATTTTGAATCAGATGATAACATAAAGGTGTTCTGAAACAAACAAGCAAACAAAAACGGAAATTGAGATTTATATATCTTTGAACTCACCAAATGCAACAAAGCTGGCTGCTAGGCT